GGTGGGTGTGTGTGTGTGTGTGTGTGTGTGTGTGTGTGTTGTGTGTGTGTGTGTGTGTGTGTGTGTGTTGTGTGTGTGTGTGTGTGTGTTTGTGTGTGTGTGAGAGTGAGTGTGTGTGTGTTTGTGTGTGCGCGCGCGGGCGGGCGGGCGGGCGGGCGTGCGTGCGTGCGCGTGTGAGCGTGTTTTTCCTTTTGAACCGAGGGCTCAACCTTTGGAACCGACGCTCGGCTTTGCTCCGCAGGGCGGCGAGCCTTCTGCATCCAACAGCTCTCGTACTGTCGGTTTGGAGCCTCAAAATAGCACTCTGAGGAGCTGACAATCCGAAACCGATGCTGAGCAGCTTCGGGGTATCGTCGCTCAAATATCTGCACACTCTGCACATCTTGGTCTTCCCAACGCATTCCCATGTACTTTCCTCTTCTTTCCCTGTACTTTCCCCATCTCTCTGCCTCTCTCTCTCTCTCTCTTGCGAGGTTCCGGCGTCGCGCGGCGTCATGCGAGCTGGGGGCTCTACTTCCTTGCAGAATCCATAGGAACCGGTGTGGGAAAGATCCCTGCTAGCAAGTCCCAACTTTCAGAGCTGTGACGTGACTTTTGGAGGCCCTGGCCGCCAGGATGTCCAACTCGGACAGGGAGGAGAGACCTCGCCGCAGGTCTGAAAGGGCATCGCCGCTCGTGAACTGCAACTACCCTGACAATCGCCGACCTGTCAGATGGCGAACGGCCTCAGTCACATGCGACAGGCATCTGACATAGGTTTAGGCGCCCATGGTCGAACGAGATTCGGGGATGACCCTAAAACCCTAAACCCCGAACCCTCCTTGTCTGGGCCCCCAGCAGATCGCAGCTGTTCTCCGAATTCTTTGGCTGCGGTGCCCTCTGCCCACCCGAAGACCACGGACTGAGCGAAGATTGCAAGTGGAGTGGGGCTAGCAGTTCTCCCCCAGTTTAGGGTTTAGGGTTTAGGGTCTAGGGTTTAGGGTTTAAGGTAACCCAAAGCCGAAATCTATATCCTAAACTCTAAAACCCTAAATTTCCCTCAACGAGAACCCTTGAGATTACATCTTAAAGGCCTAAAGTCAAATTGGGAGAGTGAAGGGGAAAAAACAACTCCCGCCTTCTCCTGGAAAATGAGGGTTACGGCGCAAGGGCCTGTGTGAGAAGTGCCAGCTCCACTGCCAGGTGGGTGGTTTGAGATTTGGGACGTAGAGCGTTTTAGGACTGGATAAGTTTTTAGGGTTTTCGGGCTTCTCGACAGCCTGCTTGGCCGGAAGAGCACTCGGTCATGATCCCCAGCGGCGCGTTTGTCCTCGGAATGTCAGAATCAGAAGTTCACATCTCTGCCAAGCTTGTCACACCGCTTGCCAATACGCAGGCTCACAGGCTGGTTCAAGCCAGACGACCATGTCTACATATATCGACCCAAGCAAACCTCACCGTTCGACCAGTGGTATGCTCTGGTGGACACTTTGATTGACAGCTCACTGGATGAAGCCAGCCAGTGCCGCCACCCAGCGCCCTTGCAACTGTGTCGGTGATTCTTTGAACCCGACACGTACGAACACAACCTGCAAGGGCCTTCGAAATCACCTCTGCACACCTCAGTACCCCGATCGCTTCAACAAGTGGTATGCTCTGGTGGACACTCTGATTGACAGCTCACTGGATGAAGCCAGCCAGTGCCGCCACCCAGCGCCCTTGCAATTGTGTCGGTGATTCTTTGAACCCGACACGTACGAACACAACCTGCAAGGCCTTCGAAATCACCTCTGCACACCTCAGTACCCCGTTCGCTTCGACAAGTGGTATGCTCTGGTGGACACTTTGATTGACAGCTCACTGGATGAAGCCAGCCAGTGCCGCCACCCAGCGCCCTTGCAATTGTGTCGGTGATTCTTTGAACCCGACACGTACGAACACAACCTGCAAGGGCCTTCGAAATCACCTCCGCACACCTCAGAACCCCCACCGGGTCGACAAGTGGTATGCTCTGGCGGACACCTTGATTGACAGCTCACTGGATGAAGCCAGCCAGTGCCGCCACCCAGCGCCCTTGCAATTGTGTCGGTGATTCTTTGAACCCGACACGTACGAACACAACCGGCAAGGGCCTTCGAAATCACCTCTGCACACCTCAGTACCCCGATCGCTTCGACAAGTGGTATGCTCTGGTGGACACTTTGATTGACAGCTCACTGGATGAAGCCAGCCAGTGCCGCCACCCAGCGCCCTTGCAATGGTGTCGGTGATTCTTTGAACCCGACACGTACGAACACAACCTGCAAGGGCCTTCGAAATCACCTCTGCACACCTCTGTACCCCGATCGCTTCGACAAGTGGTATGCTCTGGTGGACACTTTGATTGACAGCTCACTGGATGAAGCCAGCCAGTGCCGCCACCCAGCGCCCTTGCAATCGTGTCGGTGATTCTTTGAACCCGACACGTACGAACACAACCTGCAAGGGCCTTCGACATCACCTCTGCACACCTCAGCCCCTGATCGCTTCGACACGTGGTATGCTCTGGTGGACACTTTGATTGACAGCTCACTGGATGAAGCCAGCCAGTGCCGCCACCCAGCGCCCTTGCAACTGTGTCGGTGATTCTTTGAACCCGACACGTACGAACACAACCTGCAAGGGCCTTCGAAATCACCTCTGCACACCTCAGTACCCCGATCGCTTCAACAAGTGGTATGCTCTGGTGGACACTCTGATTGACAGCTCACTGGATGAAGCCAGCCAGTGCCGCCACCCAGCGCCCTTGCAATTGTGTCGGTGATTCTTTGAACCCGACACGTACGAACACAACCTGCAAGGCCTTCGAAATCACCTCTGCACACCTCAGTACCCCGTTCGCTTCGACAAGTGGTATGCTCTGGTGGACACTTTGATTGACAGCTCACTGGATGAAGCCAGCCAGTGCCGCCACCCAGCGCCCTTGCAATTGTGTCGGTGATTCTTTGAACCCGACACGTACGAACACAACCTGCAAGGGCCTTCGAAATCACCTCTGCACACCTCAGTACCCCGATCGCTTCGACAAGTGGTATGCTCTGGTGGACACTTTGATTGACAGCTCACTGGATGAAGCCAGCCAGTGCCGCCACCCAGCGCCCTTGCAATCGTGTCGGTGATTCTTTGAACCCGACACGTACGAACACAACCTGCAAGGGCCTTCGACATCACCTCTGCACACCTCAGCCCCTGATCGCTTCGACACGTGGTATGCTCTGGTGGACACTTTGATTGACAGCTCACTGGATGAAGCCAGCCAGTGCCGCCACCCAGCGCCCTTGCAATTGTGTCGGTGATTCTTTGAACCCGACACGTACGAACACAACCTGCAAGGCCTTCGAAATCACCTCTGCACACCTCAGTACCCCGATCGCTTCGACAAGTGGTATGCTCTGGTGGACACTTTGATTGACAGCTCACTGGATGAAGCCAGCCAGTGCCGCCACCCAGCGCCCTTGCAATTGTGTCGGTGATTCTTTGAACCCGACACGTACGAACACAACCTGCAAGGCCTTCGAAATCGCCTCTGCACACCGCAGTACCCCGATCGCTTCGACAAGTGGTATGCTCTGGTGGACACTTTGATTGACAGCTCACTGGATGAAGCCAGCCAGTGCCGCCACCCAGCGCCCTTGCAATTGTGTCGGTGATTCTTTGAACCCGACACGTACGAACACAACCTGCAAGGCCTTCGAAATCACCTCTGCACACCTCAGTACCCCGATCGCTTCGACAAGTGGTATGCTCTGGTGGACACTTTGATTGACAGCTCACTGGATGAAGCCAGCCAGTGCCGCCAGCCAGCGCCCTTGCAATTGTGTCGGTGATTCTTTGAACCCGACACGTACGAACACAACCTGCAAGGGCCTTCGAAATCACCTCCGCACACCTCAGAACCCCCACCGGGTCGACAAGTGGTATGCTCTGGCGGACACCTTGATTGACAGCTCACTGGATGAAGCCAGCCAGTGCCGCCACCCAGCGCCCTTGCAATTGTGTCGGTGATTCTTTGAACCCGACACGTACGAACACAACCTGCAAGGGCCTTCGAAATCACCTCTGCACACCTCAGCACTTCGACAAATGGTATGCTCTGGCGGACACTTTGATTGACAGCTCACTGGATGAAGCCAGCCAGTGCCGCCACCCAGCGCCCTTGCAATTGTGTCGGTGATTCTTTGAACCCGACACGTACGAACACAACCTGCAAGGGCCTTCGACACCACCTCTGCACACCTCAGCCCCTGATCGCTTCGACAAGTGGTATGCTCTGGTGGACACTTTGATTGACAGCTCACTGGATGAAGCCAGCCAGTGCCGCCACCCAGCGCCCTTGCATTTGTGTCGGTGGGTCCTTGAACTCTACAGGTAAAGGCAGAACCTGCAAGGCCTTCGAAGCCACCTTTGTCATCAAAACGGTCCTCAAGTCAAGTTGTGTGCTCGGCCTGGTACTTGGATGGAGAGCTCAGTCGTCAATGGATGAAGCATGCCAGCCAGGCCGTGCGGCACCCCGCGATGGTGGCTTGTTGTATCCTGAACTGAAAAGCCTTCAAAATTCCTCCTCTGCCACGGTGTGGCTTCAACGCCTTGCATCCAGTTACACTTTTCAGACAAGGCTCAAACACGCATGGGCAGCATAAGAAGCAGCCAGCTGGAGTCTGTACAAAGCGGTAACCCGGAAAATACGCCAAGTTCTAAGACGCGGCCCCGGGTACAATTTGCAGATTCTACACTGCAACTCTTCTGTGGGGTGCTGGTGTCTTTCACAATCTTTCACAAACTCACATGTACTCCATACTGCTAAACAAAGCATCTTTGTGAACCCTCAACTACAAATTGCGCAAGACGGCCAGCAAACTCAGAGCCGGAAAAGGGCTACTGAGAGGAACAAGACAGCAAAGGGCATGCGCTTCGAAGCTGAATCAGCTAAAACCCAAAGGCTCACGCATGTTACGTAGCGCATCTGCTTCCACAGGGCCGACCTTGCGCCTGCAGCGAGGCTGGGCCGGGTAGTAGACCTGAGAAGGCTCCTGGGAACAGTTGTAACTGAACCGAGCTGATGGGAACTTGCAGGTCCGTATCCAAGGCAAGTCCAGCGGACGCGCGTGTGGCTTGGTCTTTACGTTACCCTTGTCAGTGCTGGCTGGATGTCCACAAGATTCAACATGTGGATGCTGCAAACCCTCGCATGAAGTCATTCATGTGGTCAGCATCTCTTGTCATCCAAATGCATCCTGCTCTGCATCTGCATCACCCATATCAGGTTTTCGCGGATTCACGAGGAAGTCTCTTATGCGGAATCCCAGGAAGTGGTCATGCCTGCTGACGGCCCTTTGAAGATAAAACAGGCATGCAACATGGTCAAGTCAGCATCGTTGTCATCCTCCTCATCATCACCTTCATAGCTGCACCAGCACCGTATCCACCATCATCACAACCAATGAGCATGTGTGAAGTTATTCAATGCTTTCACTATAAACCCACACAGTGATTTGCTGTTTCGCGTTTAGTCTGCACTCCTCATCTCCCAGAATGTGGAAGTACTCCACACCGGACTCGCCGATCGTGATCTCTGCCGCGTACCTCGACCAAGCCACAGTGGGCACCCAAACCCCGAAACCCCGAAACCCCGAAACTTCCTAATCACCTAAACTTTCCAAGCCCTACACCCCCACACTTTCAACCGCTGTCAATCCCTGCAGGACTTAAATCCTCTACTCCGAAAAATCCCCAACCCCCCCCCCCCCCCAAAAAAAAAAAAAAAACAATAAAAAACAATAATACAATAATACTAATAATAATAATAGCCATCATATAAATAATGAAAATAAACGAAACGAAAACTACGGAAGTCGAAATCCGGGGTCTTGGCAGACCCGGAAGCCCTGGGAGCTCGGCCATGGTCGTGCAGCTCCAGCCTAAGGCTTAGGTGCTGGCCGGAGGTGTTTAGGGTTTAGGGTTTTTAGGAGCACAGGGGAGTTTAGGCCCCCGGCTCTTACATGTTTTTCTAGGACTTTGGGGATTATTTAGGGTTCAGGATTCACTGTCTGAGACTTTCGCCATTGAAGCTTCCGGCAAGGCCAAACCTCGCAGCTTGTGGTTTTGCGGAAGGAACCCCAAACCCTGAACCCTAAACCCTAAACCCTATGGCAGGAGGCCCTTGCCTCTTGTGTGCCTTCGGGTCTGGCGGAGTGTCGACCACTTCACGCCAAACCTCTCCAGGAAAGCCTCCCTCTCTGCAGAAGCTCTTCTGCACAATGGTCTGAGATCCTGGCTGCCGTGCCAGCAGCATCAACTTCTACCTCATAGAACTTGCCAATCTTGTCCTGGTGGCCGGGAGCTGAAACTAGCGATGCCAAGAGATGGTGCTTTTGGGAGTTGCTTGCGTGTGCCGAAAGGCGGTGACAGGACTTGTTGCTGCTGTGACAACTTGGAATGCAGGACTGCCGTGCGGGTCCTCGCTCAAGGGCGCCCCATTTGTCTCCCAGTCCTGGCTACATCCGATCTGAAGCTGTGAGGGCAGGGTGTTTTCATGTACCGAACTTTGAACTGTGATCAAAGTATGACAACGGTGTGAAGTTTCTTGGTTTTGACGAGGCCTCAGGATCGAGAGTGTGCTTGATGACCTCGGGCGGCAGTGCCTGGCAACAAGTACCAGTGAAACAATATATCAGGACTGCGATAGAGATTTGCATCATGCAGCCCATTTTGCGCGTTTAGAGATTCGCTTCTCCGAGGTCACTCAGATCCGACTGAAGCGGAAGCTCAACCGCCGGGCCAACCTCGCTGGAAACCTGGCCCTTCTTGCTGCCCACAGACTTCCGGCCCAGCGACCACAAGTACACCATCTTGTCCTCCTCGGTCTTCAGGTCGGCCCACTCGAAGTAGGGTATGGTCATACACACGTACCCCTCCATTTCCAGCATCCGCTGGTGCAGCTTGCTATAGGCTGTCCTCTGAGTCGTGCCGGCATAGTAGCCATACGGGCCCACCGCACAAACGACAGCCTTGCTAGCAGGCAGCCATATGTCGAGCACCTGGTCATCAATCAGAGGCTTCAGCTCCACCGTGATATCCATCTTGCGGAGCGTGGCTCTTACCTCTCTCATCCAACGTGACTCAAACGTGCCTATCTTTATCTCTGTGGTTTCAAAGTTGTGCAGTGCATGTCGGCATTCCGTGCTGAGCCTCTGGAACAGCAGAGGATGAAGCCGCCGGAAGGCCACGCTGGTTGGTTTCAGTACCCGGCGCTGATAATTGCTCAACTCCTCCTTGGACCACGCCAGCAGGGTCAAGAGCTTCTCGGCCACATCATCTGAGGTTCCAACCAAAGCCACCAACGTGCGGAAGAGGAGAACCAAGGCCTGAAGATCAAAGACATCCTGATCCCGCAGGTTGCCCGTTCGCCTGTACTGCGGCCCCAACTCCAGGGCACGATCCAGCTTTCTCACAGCAGCATCTTCGAAGGCTTTCGCAAGCTTTACGTTGTTAAAGTCCAGCTTTGCAAAGGCATTCATGGCTGTAGCCAGAGTCTCCTGGCTGAAGAGGTGTCGCTGGGCACAGCGGCGGCACATCTTCGCGATCATGATCAGCGCCTGCTCGTCTCTCCGATCCACTCGGGCCATGGCGCTCACGAGGATGGTCAGCTCCAGGGGGTTCATCGTCCAGACAAGCCCTAGGATGGCCCTCTAACAAAAACACCCCTCTCTGAAGAAATAGATTCCTGAACAAAACTCCTCTTAAACCCAAGAAAGGAAAAAGATCATCATCCTCTTAAGCCCAGTATAAGGGAAAATAAACAAAAATGTCCCCAAGGCCGGCCTGGAGTCGATTTAAGGACATGGCAGCCAGGCGCCAGAAGCGTGGACGATAGATGTAGAAATGTGCCACGGCGTTGCTCGTGAGTGCAACGTCCTTCCCCGTCCACTCGTCTTTCCTCTGACAGATTATGTTTAGTATGAGGTGCAGGTTGTCGGTTCTCTCATACTCCAACTTCTTGTGCGCAAGCAGCAGAAGGACAAGCTCCTCTGTGTTAAAGGAATCAACGTGTCGCAGAATGAAGGGTGAAAGGGTGTCAAGAGCCCTGGTATCACGATACTTGATCCGGGCAAACGCACGGAACATCAGCGAAATGTCCGAGGCACCAATCAGCGTGCCTGTCATGAGCACCCGCTGCGCAAAGCGCGCCCAGACCTCTTCGCTGCGTACTCCTCTCCTCGCGCAGCGCCACATACTTTTGGCCAGTGGCCCGGCTTTGAGTCCAGACCCTTCGTCGAAGGGCGCATCGTCCAGAAGATCCTCGGGCCTTGCCCGATCCAAGATATCCTCTGACTCCGATGCCTCTTTTCCTGCGAGGATGGGCGTCAACTCAGAGGCTCCCTTCTTCGGCCTTCCCTGAGTGCTCCTTGCCGCAGGGTCGGCACCGGATGATGCAGCTCGGCCAAAGGCAGAGCATGTCTCCAGCTTGTGCAATTGCACTCTGAAAGGCAAGCTTGAAGGCAAGACCCTTTGCCGGCCCAGTCGGGCCCATATCCTTGTGTGCATTTGACTCCTATCCCAGAGGTCCCCAGCATGAAAACGCACGGGACCGTCATGCGTCTGCAGTGCTGTCTCAAGCCACTGACCTGCCAATGTACTGCTCTACTGCATGAACATTTTGCATATGCCTTGAGTATGCGCGTGTGCAAGGAACTTAGTTGTCCAGGGCTGTAAGTGCAGTGAGAAGGCTGTCCCCTAAGATTCGACCAAGCCTCCCACTCAAGTGAAATGGCTGGCCCAGAACATGCGACATGACTCAACAAGCTGTCCACGGTGGCACAGTAGCTATACGAACATTTCCCCCAATGCCGCTTCCTGTTTGCACAACTCGCATTCCCTTCGGGCCTGCATGATCTTCTGCATCATAAGGCTCCTTCGAGAAAGAAATTGCTGCGACAGAATCAAGCAGGAGCATTTTCTGAATCGACCCCCGCCCTCCCCTGGCCTGTAATCCTTTTTGGTGACATCCCGGGCAGTCACATAGTTTTGCCCAAATGCCCTGAGCTGCTTGTCAAGATGTCAGGCATCGGCTCACACAGCAGAGCAAAGGCTCTTGATAACTGGGCAGGTGGCATGGCGTGGGCGTTTGTGCCTCCGCAGAATGCAAACACAACTCTGCACTTAGTTCCTGCGAAAGTCGGTCTGGCCATAATTGTTTTGCTCCAAATCCCGAGCGGCACTCTTTCTTAGGAATAAGCTAGGAGCAACCAACAGCACACTGACAGTGCAAACTCATTTATTCCAAGTGTTGTCTGTAATCGCCCGCGCTCTCCAAATTCTAAACCCTGAAAGCCTGAAGTCGTTCATCACTGGCTTCTTTTTGAGTTCTTCGGGCGGCCCTAGATAGAGGACTTGACAAGTGGGAGAGATGCTTGTGTGTCTCTATATGGATTCTCGCACCAAGTTCGTGCTCGCAAGTGTGCCACGGAAGCTTGGTAGTACAATCGGGCTTCCACCTCCAAAGCCGAAGGAGCTGACCTGAGTTGTGGTGATGGCACTCGTCATGGCTTGTGTCGCACGAACTGTCGAGGTCCCAACGCCAGTTACCGCGCTGTTGTAGTGTGTGACCAAGCCCTCTGACAAGAACTGGGTTGGGAATCCTGCCAAGCACGGACGGCACTGAACCTCTCTGACACACCAGAGTCTCTGCGGCTGCGGCAGCGCAAGACCAGACGGTGTGCCCAGTGTCAGCTTTTGTTGCTCCATATGTTGTGTCTGCTGAAATTCACCGACCGGAGTCATGATCTGCGGTGAGTTCCTGCATGTGCTACATTGGGGGCGGGGGCCCTGCTCCCTCGATCATGGTAGACAGACGTCCCATGGCGTGGGCTGACGTTGTTTTCGGGCTTTCTGTTCGGACATCCCAAGCTCCGCGAGTTGTCATGCTGGTCTAAAGGATTGAGGATTTGGCCTCGCTCGTGAAACTGCGTTTCGGCAATCGCTTCCTCCTCATATCTGTACTGGTCACGAAAGCTGACAAACTCGCCTTTTTGTCTTCGAGCGCCAGGGCGGGATTTGGGGACTCTGGTGTGAGGTTTATAGGGGTGAAGGTTCACGAAATGGTACCGAAAGAGGAAGTTAGCGAAGGCGAGTCGGCCTGATGTCCAAAAAAATCATGTCTGCTGTGCTTGTTCTACATGCAACTCGAAGACTGTGACACGTCAGGACACAGCCTAAAGGCAGGGGGGCGAGGGCCGTGCTTAACAGCAGCAAGTAGCATGTGCCTTGAGGGTGGCCGTAGTGTGGATGAAGTGTGGATGAGCACAATCTTTGTTTTACGTTTCTTCTTTGACTTTTTTGGGGGGAGAGAAGGCCCGCAGGCCCACCAAGAGATTTGTAAACGACAAGCACCACGAAGCTCGAAGGAGCGAGTTTTCGTGACCTGCATCACCCTCACCTCCATCCACTCAACCCTAAGCCTGAACCCTACAGAGTGCACTTGAATCCGCCCAGGCCACGCATCGGCCCCCTTTTTTTGCCTGGAATGGGTAACCCCCCGTAGGCGACCGAGATCCGAAAGCGGACGGCTTGCCGGGACCAGGGGAGGTCGGGCTCACGCTGTAAGGAAGGAAATATCCCCCGCCCCACCCCACCTTTCAGAGTAAAACAGAACTGCACCTTCTGTCTGGCAGGCAGGCAGCGCACCCTTTCGGGTTTAATCCCCTCCCAACTAGCTTGAGCCCTTGATGTGGGAGCCCTTTATCTGGCCTTCTCTTGGTTTGACATGGGTATGTTTTGTGGGAGCAGACGGTGCAGGCCCCTTTTTTTCTAGGCCCCCGCACGTCCCTCCTCTCCGGGAGCTGCATTGGGCAAGGCCGAGGCAGGTCGCGTAGCGTTAAAATTAACGTGGAAGCAGAGTTCCTACAAGCAGTTGCAAGGGGGCTTGGCTTTGGCAGTTTACGGGTTTACGGCAGTCCTTCCACATCCAAATGCGGGTTTCGCTCGCGAAGGTGGATGTTTGGACTCGCCTCACAGCGCATGACCTGCGGCACGTCGAAGCCCTCATCCGCCCTTTGCCCACCGACCCAGTGACGCACGTGCCTGCAAGATGCACTTGATGAAGCCAGCCATGCCTGGTCGGCAGGGATGGTCAGCACGAGTTGCATGCAGGGTACTAGTCAGCAGGCGGGCGGCTACCTCTTGAAAACCAATCCCCGTCTCTTTACTCATGCTGCCGGGGCGAGCAGCGTTTGAGTGAGAACAGAAAACACTTATGCAAGAGGATGCATGTGCCGAGTGGGGGGAACAAGTGCCATCCGAGCTCCAAAGCAGCTCGCTTTGGCGAGTACAATGGCAATAGTGCCATGTTTCTATGCTACTAACATGTAGGCCCCAGCATCCCAACGCCGAATAAGGCATTTGGGGCAAAAGAACAGCCCTTGGCATCATTACTGGATGTCTTGGCCTGCGCCACCTTCCAGGTGGCCAAGGTTCGTCTTCGAACTCGTCACCTGCGTGACTGCTGGTTTGCATCTGCGCCGAGCAGTGCCCCATATCCTGAGTCTCTCCAAGTCCGGTGCCATGAGGGGATGAGCTCGAGGGGACTGAACATAGATGCGCTTGAACGCCCCAACCTGCAAAGCCACAACATCCAAGCAGAAAGAGCTTCGAAATGTCTACCTTAGCGTGCTGACAGCACCTCGATGGGGTCGCCGAGCGCTGTCCCTGTACCATGGGTCTCGAAGCCTTGGGTAGAAGTCTTCAGCGAGTGTGCATGTCGTCCCCAAAATGCCGCGAGCAGAGTTCAAGAAGTCTTGGACGTCGGGCAGTCCACCTCTGCTGGCTGGTACTTCGCCTACCAGGCACTTCCACACCAAGCAAATGGATAATGGGAGATCTTGCGAGCAGATGTCTCAATGCAAGAAGCATCAAGAGACATCAGCTGCATAGCATTGTACTTCTGGATTCTAGGGCCTCACGGAAGCACGCTCGGATGCACTTCTCCTGTGACGGCCCGTTTGGTGCCGTGATGCTCGCACTGCGCCCATCCTGATTGGCCTGGCAACACAAGTCACAAGACAAGCCTGACTACCCAGCACTCGTTGGTGCTGATTGAGCTGTATGATATATGTGTTCAAACTGCAGATTCTTGGCCTGACAGCCCTGCACAAGGTATGATATGAGGCAGCGTTTTCTCTATTGGTATGCTCGCCAGTATTTGGAAAGATATACATACATGCACGTACCAGGAATAGCGTCAACCCTACTATGTCTTCAAACTGCAGATGCTCGGCCTGACTGGCGGGCATAAGGGTAAAGACCTGCCGCAAACATCAGAACCGGCGGGACAAAAAAGAGGTCCGGGATCCGGTCGCAGGCCTCCCGGCTGAATTCCTTGAGCTCCAGGAAGATTCCAGACACGCCCTTCGCAGGTTTGGCAGCTGAGGATTGGAGGTTCACCGACAAGTCATCTTTGGCTTAATTGCTGAAGGGCCTCCCCTCGCAAATACCCATCCGCTGCGACATCGTACGTGAAACATCGGCCCTTGAAGGAAAGCATGCCACCTTGTCATGTGCACACAGATGTTTAAAGATCTGCCAACCTCCGCCCTGCAACGCAGACATCCCGAGCAGCTACATGCGCTAATGGAGATAGGTAAAGGCTGCAAGACGTGCAGCTGGTGATGTGACGCTTCTTCGGACGAGCCGGCGGTACCGCTGCAGCATCCCAAGAAGCCGAACGGGCTGTAAGCCTAAGAGCAACCGAAGTTGTGAGAGGCAAGGTTGATGATTGGAGCAGATTTTTGTGAAGCTGGGGGGGGGGGGGGGGGGAGATTTGAGTTTCGGCCCCTTTAGGACCTTCTGCTGCATAAGGGCTTCCAAAGTTGTCCGTTAAAGACGCGGCTGACCCTCTAAACCCCCTATCCTTGGCGACTCCAAGTCCTCAGCGCCTGGCCAGCTGTGTTCCACAGCAGATTGTGCCGTCCAGGGGGTCGAAGTCCTTTTTGACAGCATCTTTGCTGGATATGCCTGTGTTCAAGGAGACAGCCCCCAATCAATGCGAAACCATGTGAAACCTCAAGCCCTCGGTAGATCGAGTCCTTGCGATAAGAAGTTTACAACTGCAAGTTGGGGAGGCGTTGTGGCTGGAAAACTTCAATGTTGCAATTTTGCTTTTGATGCCTGGTGTGTGTCTGTGTGTCCTTGTACTTCAGATGCAGCTTGCCAGTGTGTGTTGCCTCGGCGAACGCTTTGCCCTTTGCCCAATGGGTGGCTACACTGTGGCAACTAGAAAGATGCTTGCCCCTCTAGCCGCAAAGCACTTTCCCTGACCTGGGTGACATCTTCCTTGGTCTTTGAGGTCGTGTAGGGCAGGGTCCAAACCCAACATGCACTAGCACAAGCCACGCTGTACAAAACGATCAAGGCTCATCTTCCATCTCGCCAGCCCTTTGGCTGAAAGCATGGAACTTTCACAGAGCCTCTACTGACTCTACTGCCGACCATGGCCCGAATTAGGCCCGTCTGAGCAGCCTCCTGAAACCTTCTTCGCACCTGGACTCAGCACTCTGTGCGTGGCCCAGGGCGGATATCAAGGAACTCTTGAACCTTCGGATCGTTGAGATCCCATTTTGCTGGGGCAGCTGGTCGGCGTGGCTCAGCCTTGTAGTCGTTCTTGACCTGCTTAGTATTTTCATGTGTTTTTCCCTCGCGTCACGGCTCGCAGCCTCCTTTTTTGGGGGGCAACCACCGCACGACGCGAGGCTCTTCTGGGCCGCGCGCTACTTCCCCGCGCTGGAAGAGGCCTCCAAAGGTGCTTTTGTCCTCCATCTCCTGACATGCAGGCATCATCCAAGCATCCTCCGTTCCTAGACCTGCTAGTACAGCCATATATACAGCCTTCTAGCCTACTGGTAGCAGGCGTCTCCTGCTTCTTCTTGTCTTTCCGTAGCTTCGTTAGCAGGTTCCGCACCTGAAAGCACTGCGCCCTTTTGCGGCCGTTTCAGGGTCCATGACGGGCAGACTGTTCGCCTCCTTGTCGTTGGGGGCCAACCGTGCGGCTGCCATCAAATCCTGCAAAGACCATCGACATGGATTGTGGTGTGAACCGCTGTCGTTGAAGAGGACATATAGCATGGTGCAATCCCACGATCCTGCATGGCAGCCTCACGATCTGCATCTACAGCCGAGATGGGTGCCAAGCGTGCCTGTGCACGCCGGTACAGGGCTTTGACCTCAAGCGAGAGCACAGATCTCGAAATGCCATGTGCGCAAGCCTCCTATCACAATCCGGGGCACACTCTCTGGATTCACTTTCTCCAGGACTTCATCACACGCCCGCTTCATCTCATCGAACTTGCACAGCTTCTGGCATGCAAGTGCTATGTTCCTCGGGCTTTGCAAGTGGACGCGAAGAGCATTGCGATGGCCAATGCGTTTGGCAATTTTTCGTGAGCCGTTTTTTTGAAGAAGTGACTCTACAGCGTGCGCGCCCCTTGCTGGGCTTTGGAACGGGCCTTCTTTGCTCAGGGCCTGTGAAATCCACACGTGAGCCCTGCTGGGGCGTTCAGGGGCCTTGAGGGCCTTGTTAGGGCACATATGGCTGACTTCTGCCGAGATGCAGGTAGCAGGAGGCCACGAGCTCCGAGGCCTCTGGCGAGTCGAGCGCCGACTCGTCCACGCGAAGGAAGTCGTCTTCAATACCCTGACAGAGGGGTTTAGGGTTTAGGGTTTAGGGTTTAGGGGTTGCTTGCGGATCTTACATCTCAGCTACATCGGGCCACTGGCATCCGTGCGTCACCAATCCTGCTTGCCGGTTTTCGCGAAGCGCAAGCCCACGATGGCTTAAAGCTTAAGGTTCTAAGGCTTGGCTGTTGGGCCTTTTGGGTGCGGATGGGTTTTTCTGATTCGGGGCTTGTGAAAGCTTGGCCTTTTGCGGTTTAGAGGGGCACCTTGTAAGAACCGTCGTCGTTTTTCCAGTCTTGCCGAACACATTCCACGTATCCTCAGGCTCAACGCGTGCCGGGCTGCAGATGAAACCGAGCGCAAGCGCTTCCATTCTTGGCAAGCGGCTGAGCAATCCGGCAGCTTTCTCATAGGACCGTACAGCTGCTTCCAGAGCTTTTCGCTCTTCCTCCTCCTCCTCTTCCATGACTTCCTGTCAGGCCCGTCCATTCAGTGAGCCCTCACTCACCCCACTAGTGCGGAGGTTCCACAGCTTTAAAGGATGAAGAACGAGGGAACAAATGCGAGCCTCCAAGAGCTCAACACTGCGTTCGGATTTTGCCCTCAGAGAGGTCAGCTGCTGCCGCAAGTCCTTCCGCGAGCTTTTGTTTGTAATTATGGGGACAAGAAAATTTATGTACCTCTGCACCGAAGCCGCAGTGCCATCTAGAGAATGCAGAATATTGCGCACTATGTAGATTATAGAGTGTGCACGATTCTGTCCTTGAGCTCCTTTTCCTTCTCCCAGATTTGGGCTTCCAGCTGTCTGACAGCGAGAGGCGTCAAAAGCATTCTACAGGAACATAGGATCACTCCCCGCGCATGAGAAGCTGAGGTGCTGGATCGCCGTGTCAAGCTCTCGCTGCGCTTCTTCGCGTTCTTTGCTGGCTTCCCCCTCGGGCGTCCTCTGCACATGTTGCCCAAGGCTCTTCAAGGCTCGTCCAACTGATCCATTGCACCGGCTCACACTCTGGAAATGCTCTAAAAACGCCTCTCCTTTTGGCAGACTTCAGAAGCACGTTGCCTTCCTCTTTGAGCTGCTTGGCGTGCTGCAGTTTTTCGTCAAGTGTCCCGGAGTGTCGCAGGTGCTTGACCTGCTCGTCCTGGCATGGTTGTGATACTCAGCTTGGGCAGCGCAGGCGTCTCTTTTTGTTTTTGAGGCCTGCTCACCATGGAAGATGGTGTTCTGGAACAGCGAGGGAAAGCTGTTCCACAGCTGCATCTTGTACTGATCCTTAGACCGACATTGGGAGGCAAACATCTACACATCGTGTGGTTCATGCAAGCGTTCAGTGTTGTCAGCTGTCCTTGCAACTCATGGCACCTGGGCGGTGCGCATGCCAACGGCGTGGCGCAGAGGGTCCTCCATGCTGCCAGAGCCCCATTTCTTCCTTGGCTTCGAAGTCTAAACTCCCAACCGTGCACTGCTATGTCCCAGCTGGGAACAATTGGAATGCAGCAGCTCTCTCGCAACAACTGACAGCTCTTCTCCTCGGAGTCTCATGTCCAGCTTGATGAGGCCTGGCCCATCATCTGGATTCTCATCATCGGCCATGGCTGGTCAAGAGCTTGCTGGTGCTTGCTGCAGTTTGCTGCAATGATGGAGGTTTCGTGCTTTCTTTCCGTCAAAGTGGCCCTCTGACCGGCGTGGCAAACTAACACCCGCAATCATACAAACTTGCTGGCCATGCCGGACCAAGGGCAGACGCAGCTTTGGCAGCCCCAAGGCTGCTACTACCAGTCCGGATGAGCATGCGGTGTTGATCGTCTGACCTCAGAGGCTCTTGTACTTGAGCTGGACTTTGGCTGAACACGACTGAGCACCGGGCTCGCCCCTTTCAGGTTCAGAGAGAAGTTCACGCGATTCGAGATGATGGCCTCCGCACCTCACGATCTCAAGGAGCTCTTACAGTCGTCTGCAGGCCGCGGCGGCACCTCCACAGCCAGCTGCGTCAGCTTTGTGAGGCACGAAGCCCCTGAGGCAGCAGCAAGGTCATTGAGAGGTCAGTTGCGCGTGAACCCCTGAATCTCCAGATGAAAAGACTTGTCAACTCAGCAAACTTGCTCGCGCAGCGTGTAAGCTACCGGCCATTCTGATCCACTGACGCCGACAAAGACACCTTTTTTATATGTGTATGTTGCTATAGTATTAAACACGAATTCACAAATACAAACAAATGAATACATATGCATGTCTACATTATGTGTTATATACAACGTACATTATCCAACTAAGTTGTTCATGTTCTATGTTTTAAGTTATGGATTACATATTATATAGTACGATCCATGACATATTGCATGTTAATTATTTGATCGATTGTACCTCACATATTATATACTATTCATTGTGCATCGTGAATGATACCTTTACTTTATATCCCCGATATGACTCTATACGACCTATATTAATTAAGTATAATGAACTATTTCTTGTATATTAACGTTAGAAGTTATAAATCATCCACATTCCCCGCGAACAGTGTGTCAACGCTGAGAGGTTCCCGCGTTCAGAGCTCCGGGCCGAGGGCGCCGCGCACGCCACTCGAGCTACCCCCCACTTGCACTGCACGTTAGAACCCTTACTGTTGACCGGCTGTTTGGGAAACTATGTGCAGCAATATATGTGTACATGTTTATATATATTTTTTATACGTGTATGACATAGATGTATATGTCTCCTTGGCAAGAGAGAGAGGGAGAGAGAGAGAGGGAGAGAGAGAGAGAGGGAGGGAGAGAGGGAGAGAGAGGGAGGGAGAGAGGGAGAGCGAGAGGGAGAGAGAGAGGGAGAGAGAGAGGGAGAGAGGAGAGAGGAGGAGAGAGAGGGAGAGAGAGGGGGAGGAGAGAGAGGGAGAGAGAGAGGGAGAGAGAGAGGGAAAGAGAGAGGGAGAGAGAGAGGGAGAGAGAGAGGGAGAGAGAGAGGGAGAGAGAGAGGGAGAGAGCGGGAGCGAGCATACAGGCATAGCTGCATCTGAGCAATCGACCGATGTTCTTTGATGCCTTCTGGAGGCTCGGCAGGTCATATCCTCCCGACAAATAAATGCTGCGCTTTGCTAATGTGTTAATGTTATACATTAGAAGAATGTAGCACACAATATATGCTATAGATCGTATATATATATATGCTATACTATTTATTGAGCACACGTGTGAGCATAACAAAGTTCCACCCACGCAGGCTCATTTACGGATGCAGCCTGCCATGCTGACGACTTCGTAGGAAACTTCCAAGGTCTGCATTCGCATTCAAGCGTGGCTGGCTAAGCGTGGCTAAGATTTGCAACCTGCCGGTTCTCAAGACGAAGCTTAGGCTGTCACGAGCCATGAAAGTCAGCACAATCCTTTTAACTTCAGTCGCACGTCTCGAGTCAGGGTGAAACTGTCCATCAGCACAGGCACCTGACCAACGCAAGAATGTCTCACAAGGATCTCAGGCACTGAAACATTGGAAGCCATCGAGCCTAGAACGGAGTTGTAGCTCACCTCATCGTACGTCAGCTGGTGCCCCTCCGGGAACGAGGTACTGGACTCAAGGAGACTAAATGCCAGATGATCTTCTGGGACAGCATCGCAGCTTACTCCGTACTCGTGCATGCAGGATTCCCTTGCGAAAGGAAGGGTACATGACCATGAAAGCTAGCCCTTGGCCGATGCAAAGACGAGCGCGGGAAATACCAGTTGCCGGAACTATCAAGAAGTTGACATCGTAGCTGCAGCCAGGGTTTGAATTCGTTTGTCAGTGAAAATTGCCAGCTGAATGTAGGAATCGTCGCTGCGCAGCTTGAGTACCACTAGTTACCATGGCTGGTCAGAAACATTGCTCATGTGTAGCAATTCCAAGTTCAGTACTACTTGCCGAAGCCCGTGAAAAGTGTAGTCCTAGGGGCACGAATTCTTTCACAGTGGAGTGCATATTCTGTGCTGTCTTCGTTCGGACCGTTTTCCAGTCCCATATAGAATAAATTAAAGCAAGGGCCTAGCCTAGTTGTGCTTCTGTCTGATCGGGGCTGCAGGCAGCATCCTCCTTGCCATGCCAACATCCTCACCAGCTACGCTTGAATGCGTGGATAGTGGCTCTAAATTCCTGCCCCAAAAGTAGCCACAAGTTGGAGTCCCTGCTTTCTGAAGAATTCCCTTTCAATTAAGGGACTCTTTTCCCCAATGGTCCATCCCTTTCAAGGACCTTTAGAACCCCCATGTTTAGTTCTCTATGGCAGCTGATAAGACACCGTTGCTTTGCTGTGCGCCTTCATCACCTCGAAGAGCAGAAGCCCTCTGCGCCAATGCGCAGCCGAGCCACACCTTGGAGAAGGACTGAGCTCTCGAAATTCTTCCTGTGAATTGGTGATCGCAAGCAGGACTTGCTGGACTTCGGGGCTCTGTTTCTGGCCGAGACGCGCCGTGATCGTACTGTGGTAACTGATGCGATCCATCTTCAGCCAACAGCCCAGCATCATCTGCAGCGTCAAGACCGAGGTCATCCAGCCGAGCGATGATCCACAAGCACTCCTTGCAAGGCGCCTAGTGACTTAGTGTTCCGTCACACCACATCCAATGGCTGGTCCACTTCATCCCAAGACTACCAGTGACTACAAGACATCCAGCTAAGCGTCAATGCCGCATTGCAGCTCACAGTGTCCGGGCGCAGCGCGACTTCCGAAATCCTTCCAGGGACGGCATGAAGCCACTTTGACTTCAGCACTTCTGCTGGAGCACTGCCTGTCTGCAAGGAGAGGAAGAAGTGACCGGGACGCTAATAGTTGATAATTTGTCACAGGGTTTTCGGAGGCATGTCCACGATTGAGTCACTACCGCACGTCTGCCTCCACAGCAACCTCACTGACTGATGCCAGACGTTGGCACACGAGTTGATGACAGCCGTGAAGCCTCAACAAGGGGTGAACGGGTCGAGGGTTTAGGATGGCCACGCTGGCCGCCAACAAAAACACCCTCACCCCGACCATCTCTGCTCCCCTGCAATGATCACTAGACCAGCTGACCCAGTCACACCCGCCCCTTTAACTTACTGCCAGGCAGCTCACCGCATCAGGCCGAATCTGCCTCAGAAGCTCCATGGACAACCGCCAGGGTGTTGTTGCCAGTAGCGCGTTGTAGCCTCGGAGTCATGGCCGAGCTTTCCAAATGTCCGACTTCCCAATGATCGTTGAGCCATATTTACAGCATCAGTGTGCCATCCCAGCAACTGACCAGATCCGGGACAAGACCCTTCGCCGCTTGGAGCAGGCTTATCAGGCCCACCGCATCTTCCCAATTCGCAGCATCACAAGCCATGAGGGCCATCGCGTAGTCCTGCCTGACAGTCGGCTTTTTTAAGGCACCACCATGGACCGACTCTGCTGAATCTTAAGACCACAGCTGCAGTGCTTCCTCGTGTCCCTGTATTTCCTGGCCTGCTGTCAAGACGTGAGATGGCCAGCTGCCATATCTGCCATCTCGATCCTTCGCTTCCTGCAAAAGAGATCGCGGCAACAAGACGCATTTCTCATTGGCGCTCCCTCCTCGCGCTGCCTCTTTGCAGTAGTGCTCGTCTCCAACTTCCACATCTGTCGAAGGCGTCGCGCACCTCCAAAAATTCCAAGAGTCCCAGCCCTACGATCTTTCCGCAAGCTGATGGACTACCAGTGACTACCAGGAGCCTTCAAGGAGCCATCCCCAGGGCAGCTCTGGCTCCAACGCTCCAGGAGCGCAAGCGCGACGGACCAGGATGGCTCGGTCCTGGCACACGAGAGCTCTCAGACATTCTCAGACCATTCCCCACGCTTTTTGTCAACGTGCATGGACCATGCTTCACCCTGGCACCCAGCCTGCACGCGCGAAAGCCGGCAAGGTAGATCATGGTTCCGAGCCGAAGCTGCGCGTCGCGGACCTCGGCGAGGAGCTCCAAGGCTGAGCTCCAGCTCTCCGAGCTCTCCGAGCTGCGCGAGAGAGCGCAAGTGCGAGCTCTGATGCTGAAGTTGAGGGTGAAGGCATCCGGAACCAGAGCTGAGACTTTGATCCGTGAAAGCGTCTGGAGGGCAGAGGCCCACGCAGACGTCGCAGACTTCGCATGCACTGCTGCCGAGGCTGCCGAGGCTGCAGAGTTGTAGCTGACCGTGTCGAGGGGTGTGCCCCGCATCCGCGCAGTGATAAGCTCATGGAGGCTACGATTCCAGGTGAAGCTCTCCAACAGGGAGTTGACACCAACCACATCCCTCCTCAAGCAGTCCCTGCTGCTCTTCCCGGCATATTCAAGCGCCACCTTCCAGTGAGCTTCGCCTGCAACGCGGCATAAGGAGTTGTAGGAAACTTCGCTGGCCTCGAGGTGGCGCTCAACGAGGCAGTGCAGCAGCATCGCGGCTCGGCTCCACTGGCTGGCAGCACCAGCTGCATCTATCGCAGTATTGCATGCCCTGATGTCCTGTCTCAGAGAAGTCACGTGGAACGCGTCCAGTAGAAGCTGGGCCTTGGCCCACCCTGAACCTGCCCTCCACGCTCGCATGACTGACTTTGCACTGACCTCATCCCCAAGCACGGCTCCACATTTCGATTCCATTGAAGATAAAGCTGCAAGAGCTCCTGCCCAAAGATTGATGTTGCAGCAGCTGTCGGCGATTGTCCGGAAACATATGGGATCAGGGTCGACACGGTCGGCGGGCATTCTCGCAAGAAGGCATACCGAAAGCCTCCAATGGCTCAACCGAGCATAAGCCTTGAAAGAGATCGCATACTCCCACGCGCCGGGTTGAGGCTGACGTGCTCTGGAAGAAGCTGGGTCACGACCTTCTGCTGTCCTGTGTCTCGCCGTTAGGGCTGATTTCGAACTGCTTCCTCGCTCCGCATTGTGTGCTCGTGCTTCTTCCATCGGCTCCTCGCATGGTAGCCTCTCTTCTGGAGCTCTCTCTCCATCGCCATATGGATTAATCGCGAAACACCCATGGCGCCTCGCCTAACGAGCTGACTGCAACGTGAGGGGAGCAAGACCAACAAACTCGTCTCTGCCACTGTTAAGTGACTCAGTGCCCCAAGACCTTAAGCAGAACCCAAAACGTTGATGGCTTTGTAACTTTGTAATCAACTCCACTTGCAAATCACATTCACCGCATGCGCCCGTGTCTTGAGCCCAGAGAGTTGAGTGTGTAGCCATCGTCCAGTCAACACTCACAGCTTTGCTACCTGTGCCCTTCCCGCCACTTGCAAAAAGAACGCTCACGGCTTGCAAAGGCCTTCCGCTGGTTCGGATCCATGGCTTCAGCCTACGGATTCCCGAGCTACGCAAGCGCCAAGTTCACAACAACAACATCAACGAGAGCCCTGCCTCCATAGACGAGATTCCAAAGAACTTGGCATCGAAGAATTCGATGCCATCCACGTATCCCTGGCACTTTCAGGGTGACACCTATAGATCATGCCATGGTCTTCCCGCAGTACTCCCAACTGCTTTTCTTCTTGGGCGCGCGGGCGGCCGAGAGGTGAAGGGAGCTCCGCGCTGGTCGGACCGGTCAGCCCCAAGATGCACCCAGCACATGAATCCGCCTCCCAGTCCAGGCTCGCCGTCGTGTCCGTAACGAGTCGCACCGGCGTGAGATGTCGTGAGTGACGGTCGAGCAGCAGCACCGTCGTGGCTGGCATTTCAGAGACAAACCAGGGCCCATGCACATGGGCGGAGGTTCGGAGGCAGGCACGACGAAGGTAGTCCAATCCAGGCGATTCGGTTAAGTATGAGTTGGTGCAAAGTTTGCAGCTGCTTCCTTGAACTTAGTTGCATCTGACTCCAACACGAGCCGACCACCAGGAAGCTGCTTAGCGAGGGCGGTGGCATCTTCCAAGGCGTGTAGGTGATCGTCCTCCAGGCCATGGTGGAGGATCAGGGCTGGCACCTGAAGCCGCGCAACCTCTGCAGAGTGGAGGCCGAGGATGCTACAGCCTTCGAAGCGGTCCATAAAGGCCTGCGACCTCCGCATGGTGGAGACAAAGACCTTCGGATCAGCACTCAGAAGCTCATCACGAGCCCTTGAGGAGTTGTTGGCCAAGATCCGAAAAGGGCTGCCCTCTGCTTCAGCAACTGCCTCCATGCCGCCGGCCTCTACTGTGTCAGCACAGTCACCATAATAGGCTCTTCCCAAAACCGAAGCAGCACCATAGAAGTCTCCGGTGGGCAAAAGAATCAGGCCCGAGACGCGCTCGGGATGACGAGCAGCGAACAAAGCCGAGAGCCGGGCGCCCGAACTCAGCCCTACCAGACACACAGGAGATATGGGAGATGTCGGATCTGTCAGCTTGTCCAGCAAGCCTACCAGGTCTTGGACCTCCTGCTCAGGGAGAGACTCTTCTTCCAAGGGTGCCCATGCACTGGACTCACCAGTGCAGCGGCGATCCCAAACCAGCACTCGCTTCCCACGCTCAGCGATGGCGGAGGCCAAGGGTCTTGCGGCATCTCGGGCGAGTTGGCCTCTCGGCGTCACTACCGTCTGGATGGGGCCGCCTTCTGGCCCAAGCACTTCCCATGAGAGGTGCAGGTCACCAGCCGAAGGAATTTGCGACGACCCCACTTGACCTCGTAGCACTGCTGCCGAGTTCCGTTCCAGCCGCTGCCACCAGCGGCTGCTGGCTTTCCCCATCAGTGGCGCAAGCCGGGCCATGAAAAGGCTCTGTGCAGCGAAGCACCGCCTTTGAAACGTAAAGGCCATCATGGCTGTCGAAAACTCATGCTATAGTCGTGCCGAGTATCATAGGTTTGTGTACTAGGCCTAGGCAACCCAATGAGTTGCAGAACTTTGGGCCGCCAAAGTGAGCCCACAGTTGGCATCATGCAGGCCGGTTTGTGATGTTGGTCCTCGATGCGAGCTCCACATTCCACAGAAACCCCATAAGGCCTGGTGCTTTGTGTAGGCCTTGCCCATTGACTGAGCTTCCTGCAGCATACAACATGTTGGGTTCTGGGATAGCGGGCGCCTGTGAACCCGCTTAACTGAGCTTCCCACTTGCATTGGCGCATCCATGCAGTACTCTGAGATGTCATAGCCTATGCCATCACGCATCGTAAGGCTTTCTCCTGCCTTTTGTGGTTTAAGGGCTGTCATGGCTATTCAGAAAGCCGATTCTGCTCCAGAATCCGCGAGCCGCCAAGGACAGCTGCTAGAAGCGGCTAGGGTCGCGGCGTGTAATCGGCGTCTGGACCGCTGTGTCCGTGCCCGCCTTACTCACCAAGCAGCACAGTCTTCAAGCTACGATAGCAAGACTCTAAGCCAGATAGAGCGGCCTTGTTGAACATGAGCCAGTAGCACTTGTGGTCCTCACTACCCCACTTTGGCTTTGAAATGCAGCAAAAAAAGCAACTTTCGCGCATGTCCTTCGAGTCTCCACCAATCTGTGTCGCCATGCCGGTGACTACCACGCCCTCCCCCTGCCAGGCATTGTCATGCTGCCATACATCCCAAAAAGGGATCCTAGTTCCACATGGAGGTTTATGAAAATAAGGTGCCCTCAATATAGACCCCCACATAGTAGGATTCCCTTATGATGAGGACCCCAATTTCAATAAGGTAGCCCCCCAATGTCGTAAGCCCCATATGCTGCCCATAAGATTGTTCTGACATGCGGCCTTCGGAGGCTCGATCCCCTTCTCTGCCATGGGTGCCAGGACCTCGGCCACCCCAATCCGGCAGCGAAATCGCTGACTTAAGGCTTGGGATGTTCCCCCTTATACTAACAGTCCTCAATCAGGAATATAATAAAGGGGGTACTATAATCCCCATTAAGGACTGTTAGTTTCCAAGGGGGAGCATCGCAACTTAAGGCGCGCGCTGAGAGGTCACCTCCGAAGCTGAGCATCTTGTACTCCGGCCGCTGGCCAAGCAACCTTATGAGTATTCAGGCTCATGAAAGAGGCTTAGGGTTTAGGGTTTAGGGTTTAGGGTGTAGGGGCCTGGGCGCATTGGGCCTTTCTTATTGAATTGCCACCAAGGCACCATGTTTGGAGGGTCGTTGTTTTGCCATCACAGGTGTGGCTGTACCTGGCTGGAACATGCATCCGGTGCCCACGCCTAAAGGAAGTGAGTTCCGGCCCAGATGCTGGAAGCGCTCCGTCATGAAGAGGACCATCTTTCCAGGTGAGGCCTGGCCAGGGCAGAAGTACACCTGAGAACACCAAGCCATGAGCCAAGCTGACAGTACTTTCCTCGCCTCGATTTCAAGATCCGGGCCTCCCTCCCGGGAGATCAGCTTCAGCTTGCTGGTGCGTGGGCCCAGGAAGTGCATCACACAGACCCTCCGCCGCTTCATCAGGCTCATGAACATCTCCCGCTCAGTGCTGCCTGGGTGGTCGACTGGTTGACAGCTGAGCTCCTCCTCCGAGCTGGAGAAGGTCTGCCTGACCATGAGGTTGGTTCTCCCGGTGATACGGGTCCCCAGCTTTTCCCGGAGGGCCGTGGAGATGCTGTCGCCCAGTCTCGTAAGTCTGGTGTCGCTATCACTAAAGATCCGTGTGACTTCATCAGAACACTCCTCGAAGTCTATCAGAGCATGTCTCTCTCGGCTCTCCAGGCCCAAGTAGTAGGGCTCAAACTCTGCGGGAATGCGCGAGAAATCGAGCTGGGACTCTGCCGTCAGTAGCTCTGAGAGTTCCGTCCTCTTATCCAGCACCTGGCTGACAAAATACCCATCTAAAACGAGCTTGGAAGCCATGGCTTCGGCCAAGACCTCTCGATTGGAGCTGGGGCCCACCACGAAGTCAACGCCGAGCTCCTGGATCTCCAAGGGTCTAAGTTGACTCGGATCCTGCGAGGTCACGAGCCGCCCGTCGAAGGTGAGCGCCAGCCATCGCTGGGACGCCCTGTCGAAGCGCTGCAGCTGTGCCCCGCCGTCCACGTTCACGCTGCCCAGTTGCTCCAACGAGGGCTCACCCTTTACATAAAGCTCCAGCACCTGCCGGCATCTTGAAGTGAGAGGGACGTAGTGACGTAGTGGGACGTATTCAGCAAGCAACATAAAACACGCAGACATGGTGCTAGTGTGATGCAACGCGCTATGCACCTCCTCATGGGGCCCGGAGAGGTGGACCAAGGCTCCCTTAACGAGATGCGACGCCATGGCTCTGCCCGGCAGAGATTCTACGAGAAGAAAGGATATGCAGATTGAGGGCTATGCTGGCTATGCTGGGTGCTGGAGGATGTGCCCTGACCGGCAACTTCCCCCGAGCTGAGAGCTGTCGTGTCAAGGCTGTGGCTTTCCGCAGGAAGCTTGCCCAGCTGCTGGTAGTAGCATTTTTTCACTTGACTTACATGTTGCAGGTCTTCTATGCCTTCTGCTACATGTTGAGGGCACCTTGAGAAACAGCGTCACAACGGCAATGCACATTGCTGCCTTCCACGACGGGATGGGAGACATAGGAAGATGCGTGCAGCATCTTGCAGTTGCACGGCTCAACTCGGCAAGCAGCATCCATCGGCACAACTGAGTACACCCGTGTCTTCTTCATATGTCGAAATCGGAATCGTCATCGTCGTCTTCCATGATGCGGTCGTGGATCTGCGAGATGTTCCTGAATTTCCATCCCCACGCAATAGACGTGAAAACAACCTAACCCTAATGTGAAGCATAGCTGCCTTGCAGCAACCTCACGGAGCTCGGGGGGCATCTTGCTGGCAATGAACGCCTCAAAAAATGAAACCGAAACCCACCCACGCCGACATTTCCAAGCCATCCTGGAGTTGCTGCCTCTCGCAACTCTTCCGAGAAGTGTGATCTGTTCTGAAGGCCCCAGAACGGATGGTGCAACCTTACACAGATTCGTCGCTTACCAAAGCTCACTGCACTGGCAAACAGCTGGTCTCGGCAGCGTGCGTGACAGACGGCTCCAGATGCACAGCATACTGCCACCTCACACCGGACGCACAGAAAACCCAAACAACCGTGCACAGCAGAAGGCACAGCAGTTCTCCCATCTTCCCACTGGGGTACGAGCCACCCTTTCGGTACAATCAAGGACTCGCCGGGATGAAGGATGGCCGACTGCACAGCTAAGGCCAGGCAACGTATCAAAGAGTTCTCAAAGTCGGATCCATTAGGATCCTATACAAGGGCAACTCAGGCTTTGGGCTCCACCCAAAGCCAGTGGTCGAAAGCAAGGCGCACGTTAGTATAGACAAGCATAAACTTTCTAAACTGTGTAAACTATGGTAAACTACGCAGCTTGGAAAGACAGCATGGCTTGGTGAGCACGGCTTGCGCTCGGATGATGCACAGGAGAGGCTGCGACTGGAGTTGTAGGTTCTGACACTTACGCGCCTGCGCCGAGGCCTTGGCAAAGGCTGCGTGCCTGCATGGTACATGCGCGCGCGTTCTCCAAAAGCACTCGGCACTTTCATTCTGAACATGTCATGCATGCTGAATGCCTCTTGGCGTTGGGGTGGAAGATGTCAACCGGGCTAACCGAAGCTGCGTAGCCTGTCTCAACATCTCATGCCGAATTGAATACTTTGAGGTTCATAAGCAGGGTAACTATCGTCGTTGTGGACCCGTCACAGCCAGGGTTCCCTTACACTGCGACAGCACAAAAGGGGGGCCTAAGCTCCAATGCCCCTTCTAAGCCAGCCTTCCAGGTGGTCCACTGCGGCACCCTCCTCCTGAACCCAAGTTGTGCCAAACAGGCGAAGAGACGTTTATGCTCTGCCATGATTGCCCAAGGAGACACACAACACCAACTTGAAACACACCTGTCTGCCAGCTGGCTTGGTGTCCTCAGCCAAGATGGCTGTGTCCTGCGGAGGGAAGAGGAAGAAAAGGCGCCGGCCCTGTATCTGTCGGTGCCACACATGCGCGCCATTGTTGGCCCGATGCAGCCGGCTAATGCTACCCGGAGCTCCCAAAGCCAGCTTGTAAAAGCGGGCGAAGAAGTCCATAAAGTCCATGTTGAACACGGTGGTGAAGATCTTGATCCACTTGGGTGACATGTCTTTCACTCCAGCGGGCGTCAGGTCGCGCCAATGCTTCTCCAGAAGAGCCGCACCTTCCTTGCTGATAAAAGGGCACCATCCATCCATGATGATGCGAGGGAAGGCCAGGGCATTCTCCTCCAGGCAGTCCGGGTCCATCGAATGCAGCAACTGCGCGTATTCCATGTACTCCGGCGGGGAGCCCTCGACGTCGACGCTGTCTGCAGCTTTGCGGTCGTGCTCGAAGGCCGGGGACCGCGACCGGCAGGTCCACCACATGTTCTGGCCAAGGCGCTTCCAAAAGTCCATATCCCAAGTTTGACCACACCAGTCTCTCGCCGAAACTACAACGGGAACTTTGGGAACTGCAGGCGCTTGGGTGGAAGTCTGCACGGGTGTGGGCATCAGCTCCAGGCTTGGCAGCTGCTGCAGCTGCTTTCGTTGCAAGTGCCTGGCCCAGGAGAGGTACTCACCCGACGCCTCCCCGATCTTCAGCTCCGCAAGACGCTGCCGAGCACGTGAGAGCAGTGGGCAACTCTTGGCCTTCCCCTGGTCCTCCTTCGGCCTCAGCTGCCCATTGCTTGCGATGTAGAGCTCAAGATCCGACTTGTTCCAGAAACGCGCGTCCTCCGGCACGGAGCCCTTGAAGTCGGGGAACAAGGAGAGCAACTCGTCGATCTCTGCTTTCTCCAAAGGTGTTGCAAGCAAGTTTGCCATGGCAGCTGGGCCCCATCCAACCTTTGCCTATGTGTGTGTGTATATATATATATACATATCTTTTGTATGTGTATATATATATAACATATATGTAGATATGCATATATACATATAAAATAATGTCACACGAACAGTACTTGCTTCTCCGTGTGGGACGAAGGCTTTGATACTTTGATCGTTGTCACTGTGCCAGCGGATTCTCTGACACTCTTCGACTCGCCAACGCTGCAAAGCTCGTGAGCGCAATGAGTGTCCCCGTAAAACACCAGACATGTTCTGCAACAGACCCCTCAAGCATACTCAAGCCAGCTCAGAGCGGTCTCCTGTTTAACAGCGACTGCACGCATGTCGATCGGCTCAGCCGGAGCTTCACGAGCCACCACCTCACCTAGGGTGAGCGATGGTAGTCGCCTGGCCAGCCACGGCCACAGAATTGACAGTCTGTGAATCTCATCCTGGGTCGCCTTCTTCCTGTCCGAAAAATGTGCTGAAACACTGTCTCGCCCGCTCAAGGCAGGCCAAACCTCGGCGTTGCGTTTCAGCTTCCGTTTCCGTATCCATGCGGTCACGACGTTCGCACTCACATCCGTTCGGCTGTACCTGGGGCTTCCGCCCCGTAAGCGCGACTCAAACGGTGCACTGCCAGCACCTCCAGGAACGGATCGGCGTGTGAAAATGTGTAAAAAATAAGAAAAGTGGGCTGATGAACAGCTGATGACAGAACTGAGCAGGTATTGCCAGGTCCCAGGAATGCAGTGCGGCATCAACAGCAAGATGTTCATGGGCTCATGAGGCTCATGAGGCCAGGGCCTCGCGCCGCAGTGGAGAGGCTCTCACTGTCGAAGCGGAGAAGGCTCCGCGAGCGGCTGCCTCGCGGGTTTAGGGTTTCATTAGGCTTTAGGGCCTAGGGTTGATAGTTGGTAGGGTTTAGGGTCTAGGGTCTAGGGTTTAGGGTTTAGGGAGCAAAGCACGTCCTCCCCTGAGGGCCGAACTATCGTGCACGCCACGGAAGGAAGGTGCTGGGGACTCTTGCTCTGACACCTTCCATTGACTCAGGGTCTAGCTAACACGCGACATCACGTGCCATATAGTGTACGTGGCACAAAGCGCGACTATGTGTCACTGAGTACCACTACGTGCCGCCGCTGCAGTTCTCACCGCTACTTTCCGAATTGCTGAAGCGACTTTTCCTATTCTTTGCGAAAGCAAAGCAGAAAGAGTGCGTTCAATGATGAATGGCCGCGACAACTACTTAGTTACCACTTGCTAGATACCTACATCGTCCGTCGACATAGCTCCTTCTGGAGTTTCCTGCTGTACATTGCATTCAAGAACTTCCCGTCACTAGCCGCAAAATGCTAGAGCGTCATGTCTGCACAGCAGCCATCCAAAAGCAGCACAATTTGGGGGGCTCCACCTCACTCAGCGGAGAGAGGACCGCTGGATCTGGTGCCCCAGGCCTTGGCGATTCTGATGTACGAGAAATGGGGGAGATGTGGCTGTCCCAGTATTAGTAGCTCGCATCAGCTGATTAAGCTCTCAAATGGCAGGACTATCTGAAGAGAATCGTGAATTTATGAAAGCACGCAAATCGAATTCATTGTGTACTCAGACTCGTAGGCGTCCTTAACCCTTGTCCCGAAGTGCTCGACATGCTCACGCAGCCTTGTCGCTTGCGCTCTTCGCACCCCGGATGGTCGCACGTTGCGAACAAGAAGCAAGGTCTGCCCACTGTTGCTTCGATGCCCTGGCGCCGGAGGCTTTGCGGCCGTGGTACGCGCCTGCACCTGGCGCATCTGCAGAAGGCAGGAAGACAGCTACCAAACTCAGAGCCCCTAAGCAGTAGCATCCAGCAGCAGTAGCCATGCGATGTTCGGCTTCATGAAGCAAAGTCTGTTTGCACTCGTTGCAAGTGGGTTCTGCCCCAGAGAACTCGTAGTTTTCGTGCACTGTGTTTGGGCCTCCTGCTGGCTACTGTCACCGATCTTGGCTTGTAGCGCCTGCCGTGGCAGAGCACAGGGTTGCTAGGAATTGCTAGGGGACGCGGATCAGGGGTACACAGCCGTCACCGGCCTTGATCTGCTCGTCCGCAAGACCTCACCAAAAACTACAGGCAAGTGCAGATGCGCCGGTGGCTCACTTCAGCACTTTGGAAACTTCAAGGTCTGTGAAGCCAAGTCACCAAATTCAGAGTCTTTCCATTCTGCGCTTGGACGGGAAGCTGGACACAGGGGAGGCCAGACTGCAGCATGAGGACAATGACAAATCCACAATGCCTGCCGAGAGCTTCCGCACGAGGGGCTTGGTGCCCGCAGCTGCGGCCTCCCAAGCTGTCCATCTTCTGTGGCTGCCAGGATGTGCTGGCCAGAAAAAACGCGTCTATAAGGTGAGTTTAAAATATTTAATGACAGCTGCGGAGTCTACGGGGCTTCTCTGGAAAGCCATGCCGACGGCTTCCAGAGACATCCACTGTTCTATTCATTCTTCGCATCATTTTCCGACCTCAAAGATGAGGACATGCGAGTCAAGGAACGGGGTATCTAGACGGACGAAGCCGAAGCCCTACTTCTCAAGCTCCCTATGATTCTGTAAACCACGCTGGGCTGCGGAGGACGGATTGGCATGAGCCCCTTACCTCAACCCTTGCCACGCGGCAATCCACACACGGGCAGAAGATCGCAATCCTCAATCTCCCTATGCAAATCCTGTTCTCAGACTCTACTCTTCTCCTTCCCTTAAACTGCTCAGACAACTGGAGCACTGGCGCCTCATTTATCTGCCTGTCGGACACACCAAACTCCTCAGAAGCGGCAGCAATCTCCAAAGCAACGGTTGAACAGAACACGTCGATGAAGAAACTTGTTCACAGTCCCTGGCCTCTGTCGTTGCCATTCTGACCTTTCCCCTTGTTATTTTACAGTGTACCCGACTCCGACTCCTACTCCCACCCCCACCCCTAAACTACTCCAACTACACCGACTAGTCCGACGACTCGTCGTCGTCCTCCCACTTGCTGCACTAAGTCATTCTTGTTCTGGTTTGTAAACCTACCAGGCTGCAGTATTCATAGCTCCCAAAGTTTCAAGCACCCATACGATGTATCTCAGAGCATTGTGACCTCAGCAGCTGGCCGAATCAGGGACGCTGAACCCAGAGCTTTCTGTCAACCTCAGCACTCCCAACTCTTTCCCACGGCTGCACGATAAACCCTACAGTAAACTACAGTAAGCTCTGAAATCACGGCATGGTGATGGTGACTCTTTGAGGCTGGAGCGAACGACCCCGTATGTGCCCACCACCTGCCAAAGGGCACCCACATGCACACGCAGACACGCAGACATGGACCTAAGGACCACCCGCAGTGGATACCTAGAGGCTAGGAGAAGATAGGGTTAGGAGACTGCACCTCCTTTTGAGGTCTGGCTGCATGTGCCCGAGTCCTTTCCACACATGAGCTTCTTCTGTGTATCCCAGCGCATCGAGTGGCCGAGGTCCTCTGCATTCCCGGAGGGCCCCGTCCTTGCACAGTCAAGCTAAAGCAGCTTTATCCGGTTTTCTGGCATCCCTCAATGCAACCCAGGAAGACCCAGGCCTGTCTGTCTGGTTCCCGTCCATGGCTTCGCGAGACTCGCAACTGCACGGTTTACTACACGAGGGTCCAAGCACCGAAGCGCCGGCTACTTAGGATTTCCGGTTCAGAACTCAGGGTGGCAGATAAGCACATGCTGTACACCCGATGGGCTTTTGTCTCTAAACTTCACAGAAAAATGGCTCTAGGCCAGCGGCAAGAACAGAATGAGATGCAGGATGCCCCTACTGCATGCAATCTGCGTTCACAGCATGCAACGGTCGCACAGTTCAAGTCGCCAGAACTTGGAGCAGAAACGTCAAGTCTGGCACGCTTCTTCGCATGCACCAGCTGACGTCCAACACGTATGTACAAGGCCTGTAGGCCGATCCTGTCATCCCCCCCAAAGAAATTATTTTGCTTCGAACATCCCCACCCTCTCTTGGTAGAGATAATCTAGGGTTGGGCACTCCAGGGACACTCTGGGGCTGGGCACTCCGGGGACATTCTGGGGTTGGGCACGAGATTCTGGGTTGGGCACTCCAGCTCCAGGGAGACTCTGGGGTTGGGCCTGGACTCCAGGGAGACTGGGGTTGGGCATTCCAGGGCTAGCACCTAAATACGCTAAATGACAAGATCCTTTTTTTTGGGGGGAAAGGGGAAGGGGGGGCCAAGGCTGGGGCAATTCTTAGGGGGGAGGCAAACTCACTACTCATCAGACGAAGACGAGCCATCTTGGCGCTGGGAAAATCCCAGGGACCGGCCGAGGCAACTCTCCGCGAAGAAGGTCTCGAGAATCCTCATGGCGTCAGGCGCATCATGGTGTATCATTCCTCCCCACCTCCATGCATACAGTAGTACTAGGCCAGGCCGCATGCAGATCCTAGGACTCCGCAAATAAACCCAAATTGAGCCCCGAGGCCAGCCCAGAGTGGCCGTGGGCATGAGGTCCGTAAACGGCAGAAGCTCCTTCGACTGACGTGACCGAAGCGACCAATGCGACCATATGACCTTCAGAATGCGGAAGGTCCTCCAGCACTCCCACGGTGGCGATGCCTTAGTCCATAGGCTTGCGAATGCTTGAAAGCAGCCTCACACAATCCAAGTTCAGGCGAGAAGCTTCTTGAGCCGAACAGCATCATGAGGGCAATCCCCTGAGAGCTGTGAATATGAGCACCATGATCAATTCGAGAGGTTCGGAGCACTCCTGCCTGGATGGGCGCGTAGGCCAAGTCGACCCCCTGGTGCTTGGAAGCCACCATTAAGGCTTCTTGGGGGGTTTCAAGCAGGGTGCACGACATTGGCACCTCACCAATCACTGGAAAGAAGTACGTCGCGTCACCGAAAAAGTCCAAGCCTGGAGAGCGGGTGACAATGGCTCTGCTCTCACGCCTGACAGTTCAAGGCACCGAGCCGATACATGCCACCAGCTTTGCAAGCTGCGACGCTGTGCAGGCCTCCGCGCGTGCTGGCGCAGAACACGATGTACGACGCACCCATTTTCGGGGAGTTATTAAGCAAATCAGGCCTTCTGGCAGCCGGATGGCGGCGGTAAGGCCTTGGTTGGCAAAGCCCACACTTCTCGATGTTCAAATATAGCCAAAAAAACATTCAGAAAACCGAGAGGGAAGATCCAACCATCCTCAGGGGCTGCTGCTGGACCTGCAGGTGATGCTCCTCCGGAGATGGGAGGAGATGGGAGATGCAGCTGCACACATCTTCTCCAGTCTCCCACAATGGTGCGCGACCGTAACTTCTTCGCATTCCTAAAGTGCGACAACAGACGTCCCACATCAGGGTCCTCGCATGACAGAGACTTGCGGAGCGTGCACCTGCAACCAAGACGAGCAGCCTAGGGCCCTGGTGAAGCACCATCATTTGTCCCCTCCCCCGCACCATCGAGGCCTTACCAGATGTCACCGCAGGTATCAGCTTCATGGCCCATTTCACCTCTCAATCTGGCCAAATAGCGCTGTCAGGATGTGTCCAAAGGTGACGGGCGCCAAGGCCAAGGCTGGTCTGTGGCTGGTGCAGCTGACATACCAATACCAGACGTTTCCATAGAACAAGAGGCACCTCTCAGCCACGCGTCTTGCATGTTCTGGCAGCGCACAATGCCACATGGATGATGGGTCGGGCCGGAAAAATTCAAGACCTTTGACCGCTTCAACAACTTGCTGACCTCTGATTCTTGCCAGTTCTAATCCACCACCATCATTCTTCCTAGAAGGAGCGGGCAAACAGGCCGGAAGGGCCAGAAGAAGGCAATCCCCACAAAGGCAGCGGCGGACCCCCAACCTGCACTCATCTGCACGCTGCACTCTGTGATTCTTCAGCGTGCTGTTGCTCTTGGAAGCCTTCAGCGTCTTGAGGTGTGCAGTTGTTCTTTCCCTACAAGCCCTTAGAAGCCTTCAGGATCCTGTGGCGCTTCTGGTGTTGTTTGCGGCTCTCGATGAACCGATCAATGCTACCACTTACCCACGGCAAGCTGTTCTCACGGCGTAGCTGCTGGACGTGGAACCTTGAGGATCGCAGGCAGCCGGAGTTTGGCGCATCCACGAGAGGCCTGGGTTTTTTAGGTGGCCAGTCCAGAAAGAATCATTCAGGCAGAAAGCAGGACAGGCAGCTGCGGCAAGCGACGATGTCAACAGAAAGGAGCACGTAAGGCAAGAAACCAGGAGAGCGCGCACCCGTAGTCGTCAAGCGCTTCCCCTGATAGTAACAGTCTTCTAATACCTGGAATTCCTTGTTTTGCAGCAATCCTGAAGCACCTAAGCCTTTGCAAAGATAATTCACCTCGGGCTCCGAAAGGTGTCGAGAACAAACAAACCAGGATCTGGCATCTTTCCCCCTTTCCCAACCCTTCCTACAAAAACCCTAAACCCTAAACCCTAAACCCTAATCCCTGAACCCTAAACCCCTTTCTCCCGCCCTCTCGGAGCTGGCCAAGACTACACGAGTCGCTGCTGAAACTTGCTAAATTTGTTGGCGCTCCTGAAACCTGTTGAAACAGAGCTTCCCTGGGCCTTGGTCAGCTTACGTCCCCAAACTATTGTGCACTGCGGGTTCAAGGTTCCCATGCGTGGGTTGCCTGCTCTCCCGCGTCTGCTTTTTCGAAGTGCGATGCAAAACTCCGAGGCGTGCTCTGTCTTCATCTGCAGAAAGTAAATAACCCCGTCTTCCGCACAGCAAAGCTTCAGAGAAGAAACAGTTCCTACCAAACGAGAGGGCTCTTCTGGTTCCTAGCAACACAAATGTCCCACCAGTCTTTCTGATCTGAAGAGTCGAAAACAGAGCAAAAGACCGAGTCAGGAAACGGGATGGCACCAGTCAGAAAAAAGAGATGGCATGAGTCAGAAAAAACAGGGAGGAAACAAGAAACGAGCGTGTCCATCTCAAACACTTAAACCTTTTAGACCCTGAAATGCCTTAAGCCTTGAGAACTCCCAGCAGCTTTACTCCTTATAACCCAAAGTCCGGAAACCTTAACGCCCTGAAACCCTGAAAGCCTGTGGAACCTTAAAGGCCGCCTCGAAAAGACACGCGGGGAGATGCATTCCCCGCGCCCTAAAACCCCGTGAGCCCTGAAACCCCCTGTTCGGCCTCTGCCCTAAAGTCTAACCCCAAACCCTACACCCTTCACCCTGAAGTCTAAACCTCAAACCCTAAACATGAGGGATCTGTGCCGATATTAGGGGGAGCCTTATGGGGATCTTTAATATAAGGGAACCCATCTATGGGGTTTATATTGGGGGTCCCCTGTTTTCTAAACCCCGTATGAAATTGTGTTCAACTCCTTGGCTGCATCCCTGCGTTGGCCGACATGCATCTAACGAATGCGGACATTGTTGCGCAGTGTTCTCTCTCAGATGCTTGCCGCAAACGCTCCATACGAGGGAGCCAATCCACGCGAAAACCTGAGCTGGCCAGTTGAAACCTTCGATGCACCTCTCCCTTGTGCCGAGTGCATCTATGTCACATAGAGGCAGACACCGATGTCATGAAGGAAGACTTCCTGGAAGCTCTCCTGTCGCATGTGCTCCCAAGGCTCTGTCACACTGTGTCGCACTACTGCTCTCAGAGGGTGAGAACTGCTCCAGTGGTGAAGGCAACAAAAGCACGAAGATTGCCAGAGCTTACAGCACCTGATGCAGAGAAACAGTTGATCCAGATGCTGCTGTACTAGCGCGAAGCAGTGTCCCTTGGTGCCACTTGCTTTTAACAGGAGGGGGAATGCTTGGAGCGATTGCACGGATGCTCAAAAGGCATGTTGAGGCTGAGCTTGCAAGAAGTCAAGTGTCCTTGATTGCCTTCTGGTCCATGTCTGCAACACCTGCCTTCGCTTCAAGCCTCAGCTGCGGAGTGAGCTTTGCAAGAAGTTTGAAAGCACAAGAACACCTCGCAACGCCCCTCCATGCTCCCATGCCAAGTGGCGTCTGCATCAACTGATGCTGGATGTACGGAGCAAAGATGAGGTTGAGCCAGGCACAGCCTCAGCACGAACTCCCTTCACGCCGGGGTCGTTTTGATCACGCGCGTTCTTCTTTTTGTCGCAAGTGGTTTTGGGCTTCTCCAGGTCAGGGCTGACAGGACTTAAAGGCTTACTTGGAGGTTAACCCAATTAGAAGTGTAGCTGTCACCACTTACAAGCCCCCTAAGTGCCCTAAAGGGCTTAAAAAAAAAAACAGCTCTATGGTTGTTCACCCTTGTCTGCGGTGCTTTGGGAGACAGACAAGCGGAGCAGTCGGCCGGGACTGCGGTTCGCAGGCTCAGGGCTCAGGGCTCAGGGCTCAGTGTTCAGGGTTTAGGGTTCAGAGTGTGTAGAGTTGGCAGACTCAGGGTTTAGGGTTTGGAAGTTTTGAAGTTTGGAGAGTTCGGGGATGTTAATGGTTTTTACTCGTGGCAGATTTGAGTGAGTCTACATTTGTACTGACAGCGGATAGCGGGCACTGGTGCTGCACTTCATGCGTGCTTGCTGTTGACACATTTGGTTTTGGCCGAGTTCTTGGATCACTTGCATCTTTTCTACACAGTCATGAGGGTTGGGGTTAGGGAGGCAGGCTGGGTTCGTGTGACCTCTCTGGCGCGCAGGCTGGGTTCCATTGAAGAAAGTAGATGTGACAGCAGTCGGCATCTGCCCATCTGCTCAACTCAAACAAGAGCAAACAAGGGCCATCACCCATCTGAACACGCAGCCAGGAGCCAATCCCAACCTCAAGCTTAGGATTGAAACTGGGCTTTAGGGTTTAGGGTTTGGGGTTTAGGGTTTAGGGTTTAGGGCTTAGGGTTTAGGGCTTGGGGTGTGGGTTTAGGACTTAACCAGAGGCCTAAGCTTTAGGAAGCTTAGGGTTCAGTTGAAGGGCGGCTTCTGTTAAAGGCCCCCCTTACTCGTACCACTCAGACAACGAGCACAAGCCCATGCCCAGGGGCCGCACACTCTTGGCCATCCCATCAGGAAAACTGCAGTTGCTCAGGTCATCCTGCCAGGGTTTGGGGTTTAGGGTGGTGGGTGGCTTAGGGTTTAGGGGGTATCGTTGGGCCACAGCGCTGTGCTTGCTCGCACCTGTCCTGCTTAGCAGTTTAACATCCTTTGAGGCCGTTTCTAGCAGCTAGCAGCAGCGCCTGCAGCAACGCGGCCAAACAGAAGCCGATCTCTGCGAGGCTCATTAGGATGGCCTAGGCACATCTTGTAAATCGGCAGCTGAATCCCCCTAAACCCGCCAAATGGCCCCCTATATGAATCTCAACACCACTTTGTGCCATAAACTGATAGAGAGCGGAAGCTGAGGACCTCGGCACACGCAACGTAGAGGCCAAGCGGGCGGTTCATACAGGCCGTGCAACTTTCGGATATGCCTGAGCAGCAGTCCTGTCATCGGTTGACTGAGTCCAGTCTGTCTCGCATGCGAGGCACCTGTGACGTCAAGCTACCGGCAGGCCTGACACGCTTCACAATCGCAAAGCTCGCCACATGCCTGACAGGCCTGCCAGAGTCGCTGGAGTTGAACCCCTGATAAGGCAGAAGCCTGGCTTAAAGTTTCTTTCTGGGGGGTGGATTCGGGGGAAGGACCTGGAGTCAGCACCCGCAGGCAACTTCCGCGTGCGTCTAAAGTGATGAGCCCATTGGGGTCTCAGCACAGCATCGTCTTCTTAATTCCTTGTGATATGGGCCACAAACAGGCCCACGGTTTAGATGAAACTTCCTAGATGCACTTGCCAAACGTGAATGACCGTGCCCTACAAATGTGCGTGTCGCAAGAGATCGTGAACAGGGCTCCTGGCTTCCTACATATCTCGTTTGGGAACATGTCTGCCCGCTTTGCGCATGCTGTGCCTTGGCTGGCAGAGAGCAGACCTCTTTGCACCCGTTAAAGACCTTGGCGGGCGACGAAACGGTTTTGCGGTGGAGCCAAGATGCTGTCAAGCTGTGGCTGCAAAAGACAAGATGCTGACGTGAATCATCAGGTCCGGGCGGCTGCTGATTTCTACCAAGCTAAGATGTAAAAGCTTGTCAACTTTGTCACGATGTGGCACTGCATGAACATGGCCATGACTGCCGCAAGATGTCATTCAGGAATGTACCAGCTCTCTTGCAATGTATGGTTTCTGATTCATGTTCGCTTGGTTCATGCTCGCGTGGAATCTGTAAGTGAAAAAGCTGCCTCAACCCCAGAGTACAAAAGAAACTGATGCTCGGAGGTTGTACAATATGGTCTTGGTGCTCTTGATTTCCCCTGCAAGGTGCCGGACACTCTGTATGTGTCACAGTCCTCTAACACGCATGGCAGCGCACCGAAGCCTCAAGAAAAGACCAATTCGATGGGTGTTAAGCAGATGCAAGAATCCAAGAGTATTGCTCTACAAAGTCCGGTCTGGGGGGGTGAGACTGTGAATTTTGGACAAAGGTGAAACTCGTGAGACGCTGAGTTTGCTTTCGTCGAGTGCAAAAGGTGCTCGATGCTCATTGGATTCCCCAGTGAAGGCCTACGGGCACACGTTGCACCGGAGCAAAACTCCCTACTCCCACACTGCGCGCCTATTGCCGATGGCTTTCCCGCCGGTCTCTCAGCTGAGGCAGCCTGCCACAAACGGGTATCACATCGCAGCTTTAGGCTGATCCCTGCTCATGGTAGACTGGATAACGGATAACTTGGCAGCACCACAAGCCTGCGCATTCTGCCCACTGTGCGACGTGTGCGATGTGCTGCGGGTCGGCCCCGACCTAGGATGACCCCCAAGAAACGGTTTCTGGACCATATTCTGAGCACCCCCCCCTTTCTCATGCCCCTGCACTGCTACATACTCTCCAAATGCACCGATATCTCACTGTCTAACGCCCGGCGCATCTGTCTTTGTCTTCTGCCTCCGTCTTGCAGCTTGCGGTTTTGACCCTACTCCACGGTTCTGACTGAAACAATCAGCACGTGGTGGGAAGAACGCCAAAGCTGAGCCGGTTTTCACCCTACTCCACGGTTTTGACTGAAACAGCCAGCACATGGTGGGAAGAACACGACTGCTGAGCCCATCATGCACGAATTGAAGTAATGGTTAAAAATGAGATACACTAAACTCCAGAAAGCTGGAACATGGTTTCAGGACAATGTGTGCAGGGACTCCGTTTAGTAACCCTCTTGGGGATATGAGGACAATGGTGTCCCAACTTTGGGAGTTTACTGTATGCTGCTTTCTACAATGAGACACTTCTTGCGACTGCGCGGACGCGAGCAGTGGTCAAACTCGCACTGCAGTCCGCGGGCACAGCCTGACTTGGATAAGAAAAAAGGGCATGGCAAACATTCTTTTGGCTGATTGGCACTGGTCAGCGGAACTGACTTTCCAGCCTCATCAACCGGCACCTGTGGATTTATTTGCATCTCCTCCCTGATCACCGCCAGTTTGGGTTTGCAGAAAAAAGGATGCCGGATATCTCTTGAAACTCTCGCAGATTTGGAGCTGGCGATGCTTCTAGTAATCCAAGAAGATCCATCTCCAGGCTCAATCTTGCAGAGGTCTGTCATCGGGCTGCGCACGCAATGGTCCTTCGGCTTGGGTCGCCAAACCGAAAAATCAACTTTTCCTGCAATTCGCTGCAGATTGAGAAAAAATTTTTACAAAGGGACCAAAGTGGGGTTAAACAAAACAATCCGCCGAGGCCTTAGGCTGTCCATGGGGAGCAAAGTGGACAAGCCTCCTGATCCCACGTATGCTCTGGCATGGGCTCCAGCTCTTTGGGACCCTTGGTGGGGGTTTAGGGTTTAGGGTTTAGGGCTTCGGGTTTAGGGCTTAGGGTTTAGGGTTTAGGGTTTAGGCGGTTTAGGGATAAGGTTTTAGGGTTTAGGGTTAGGGTTTACGGAAATTGGGTGTTCCCAGCCTGCAAAATCTTGTTTCTGTCGTAAGGGGGGGGTGCACAGGAACCCTGGGGAGGCGTGGTGCCCGACTCCCACCATGCCACGCTGCCCTATTTTCGCACCCTTTGTCCGAACATCGAACCCTGGAATACGTATTTGTTCGCCGGCCAGCGCAAAGCCCAAGATGTAACAAGTAAACGTCACACAGGACATGCAGCGCCGATCGGGTATTTGCAGTGTCCTCAGCAATGGCCGTGTCATACTCGCTTGGTTGTCGAGTCCTGTGCTGGCCAAATCCATCAGCATCACCTTGCAGCGGCAAGCTCCGGGCAATTTGAAAATAGGCTTACATAGGCTAATAAACCTGCTGCACTACGCAAACACGATAGTTTAGGAGTCTGCAACCACCTCTAAACCTTGAAAACACCGGGAACTGAGACACCATCATCTGCGGCACGCCTGCATCAGCCTTCAACAAAGTCATCTTCGAGGCTCTCAGAGGGGCTTGCCACTCCTCACATGGGCCTCGCAAAAACTCGGAGAGCACCTGGATGAGTCTCCACATGAGGTTGCTCGAGATCAGGGTCCCTAGTAACGTCCGACAAACGGGCCGAAAAGACAAGGGACCCAGACTCTGGTTTGGAACGACCCCACGCGCTATCGCTATCTGAATGAAAGCCATGGTAGATCAAGACATGGAGTAGGAGGACATTACGCTCATGGGAATTTCCAGATGCTTCCTCGCTGGTCTTGCCAGGTCCCTGAGCCAAGGCCGCAGTGTTTCGGATAGGAAGTCCGAGTGGTTTACCGTGCTTGGGGCTTTTTGTTGGGCCTCGGGGTTACCACTCTTGCTTCTGGGCTCTTTGGCATGAGGCAGAGCAAGATTTCCACACGCAGGTGGGGGGGGGGGGCATCAAGGACCATTGCTGCGGCACATTACGGCACGTTGGACGTTGCACTGGGCTGGAGTATCAAGTAACAACGACTTTAGAAGAAGAACGCAACCATTTGGTTCCGGCGCCAGGCGCATCACTATCCATCTCGGTGAAACATGTTCCCTGCAAGCGATGTGCAACACGCTTGTCGGGAAAAGCAAGATTTCTTGTGCTGAAACAGTGTGCAGTGTGCCAAGGCACCTGCCTATCCTGTCAATAACACTTGGCCCCGTGCCGGAGCTACGTTTCGAGATGCTGCACTCCTCTGTGCAGACAAATGCTTCTTCACGTTGACTTGATGCGGGAAGTGACAAAACTCGCACTGTATCCCGCGAATGCATCCAGAAGGCTTGGCAAAGAACATGCACGGGCAACAGCCGTTTGGATGAGCGCTGCTCCCTACGGATGTAGGCTTGCCAGCCTCAGTCAAGGGAACCTGGGCCGTAAGCCTCTCAAGTTCGGCTTGCTTCTGAGCTTCGGCCTGCCAATATTCCGAGCTAGTGGCCGACGCCGCGCTGCTGTCGCTCTGGAATCTCTTCGGTTTCCAGAAGCAGGGGTCACTGGCATCACTGTCACTATGGGAGCTGTTGGAATTCGAGAAGTAGCCACTGCTTCCTGTCTCAGCATCTGGACGTTCTGCCCTGTTCACAGGTGATGGCTGCATCGCCTGGGCTTTGGCTCACGTTAGGGTCCCTCGAAGGGGGTCCAAACTACTATAGGGGGTATATACCGTCATGTGTGTGGTGCAGCCTCCTCGCCCCCCCAACCACATACCATTCGATCCTACAAGGGTGTACGGCTTCTGGCCTTCTACCTGGCCTTTGAGAGTTGGTGCGGCACGCTGTTGGTGCAGGTCGGGGAGGCGTTCTGGACTTTGATGGGGTTTGTGACTTCCCTGGAACAGCGATTGGGATAGCATGGCCCCTGTGCACGATTCGCAGCCCCTCATGACCCTAAACCCTAAGCCCTAAACCCTAAACCCCCATTCATGCCGAGCAGCTTCTGCATCCGCGGCATCGGCTTCACCAGGCTCATCAACACTTGCTTCCGGTGGGAGCTCACTCATCTCAGGCATCTGAGGTTGATCATCACCTGGCACCCACAAAAGACCCTCAGACCCTCGGACCCTCAAACAGCCGGAGAAATTCGGCTTCCTGTTGAGAAGCGTTTGGAAAGCAGACACGAATCCGGTCTCCTTCCCCCTAACCCAACCCTTCCCCCCATGCCCCCATGCCAAATTTTTGTGATGCACCCCGCCCCCCCCCCCCCCCCCCCCCCCAACCCCCCGCCGCTCTGTGGGACCCCCCCCATCGCTTGGGGGCCCTGCAACCATCAAACCCTGCCAGAAATCCTGCCGGCCCGGCTGCCGAGGCGGCGCGCACAAGCGTTTACAATTATCAGCTCGATTCGGCTTTGATCAAGCTTTGAGCTGGCTTTGTGCAACTAGAAGCGATTGAACAGCCCAACTTCACCACTCGAAATGTCTGGAATGTCAGAAGTCAGCGCCTCGAGATGGTACGGCAGAAGGCGCTGCTCTGGGTGCTCGCCGGTTGCAGCAGAACCACCCTAATCGCTCCGGAAGCTCGGGTTCGGAAGGGTCCATGGCCATGGTGGGATGCGCACTGATGTCAAAAGTCTCTCATGAATTTCATTCGTCGCTACCATGGAGTGTCTGTGTGGGATGCTTACCTTAAACAACCTTCGTGTCTTACGCCTGGGCCCAACAAGGGCCTAGTTCGATTTTGCCTTGTTGGTCCCCCTGGGCAGGCTGATACGATTGCCGCGAGCCCGGTGGCAGCAGATGACAATACTCAGCATGCTGACATCGTTAGCAGCGGAGGAGTGCCACTTTGTGTAGCCTCGAACTTCAGCTTCGCGGAGAAGGAGAAGTCTTAGGGTAGTTACATGGTCCCTGAATATGGGCCCGTCATTGGGGAAGGCTTATGTGCCCCTTATATGCCCTAGAAGTATAAAACCCATCGGCCCATACTTCAGAACCCTCTCCAGAATGTGAGGGACCAGATGAAGAGACCATGTAACCTCCCTTAGCAGTCGAATGCGAGCATCAGCAAAGAGCAGAAGAGTTCAAAGGTTCCAGTTGTGCCAGGTTGCTCATGCGCGACATCGTGGAAGGTTCTTTGAGGAGGGTGTGCCAGCACCTTGCCCAATTCCATTGGCAAAGTGGCTCTGCAAGGCAGAGGCTTCCTTTACCGGTGACTTTGACTCCAGCACTGGTCGGATATTGGGTCTCATCTCTCAGCACAGAAGCCTCAATGAATCGCTCCTTCTCGCAGGTCTGGCGCCATGTCTCTTCCTTCACAAGGCTGAAGATCAAAGAGGCTACTTCTGCAAGTTCTATGGCGCCTGAGTGTTGAAGCTCTTCTCCTTCTCACGGAGGTTACACGAGCCAAGGCGGGACATCCTCGGGTGCCGTGTCAAGATTACGCGGACAGAAGGCTCCCCAAGCACAATAGCGCTGTTTGCAACTTACCCCGAAAGCAGGAGCATCAGCATTTGGCAAAGATTGACACCTTGGCACCGATAGCTGGGTGACGACGGGGGGGGGGAATCAGCTCGAGCAAAGTGGCTTCGTGACGTGTCAGACATCAAGAAGCTGAGAAGCTGAGCCGGGATGTGCTTATCACACTTAAGTCAACCTTTCACTGCTGCTCCGATGGTCCTTTTGCATACCGGCTGAGCTTTGAAGGAGTCTTTGGTTTTTCGGAATCACCTTGCACTCTCCGGACCATCTGCACGACGGTGCCTTAATGTCGTTCTGAAGGCAGGACTTGGAGAGGTGCGCAGGCCAGATCACACGACAAAATCTGCTCCTGTCTATGGAGCATTCCACAGAGTGCTCACACTCTGCAGAACATGTGTCAAACAAATCTCGTTTATAGGGCTTGTAGAGTGTTTATCGTGGTTCATGGGGCCTATAGGGCTTTCATGGGCTTTAGAGTTTTTTTTGGGAGTCTAAGGTTTGTAGGATTTATAGACTGCGTCAGAGTCAAGGGTTTATTGCGGTTTCTGCCACATTTGGCGCATGGAGATTCGGGACTCCAACTTGCCAGAGCCTTACTGTACAAGATACAAACTCTGCTCTGTAGACTGGAGACACCAAGCTGAAGACACTATGCATTCGATGTCTCAGATGTAGAAGCTGAGCGGTTTGCATCCCAAAAGCTGGCAACACATGCCCATCACGCGCCTCACCCTTCGGAGACTGTACACGCAAGGCAGCTCTGGTATCAAGCTTCCTTCAGGGGACGCACTGCTGAGCCCGAAAGCTCGGAAGGCCTGTAAGCCCTACTCTGAAAAAAGTAATTATTTGCATGCAACAGTCCCCCCCCCCCAAGGTTCCACAGCTGCTTGCGTCTTTGTTTGGCGAATACAGCACATCGAAAACGCCACAAATATCGACACTTTCCGATAACAGTTTGATGACAGTACCAGCGTGGGGTCTTACATCGACATTTGCTTGGTCACATACGTGAAATAAGTTATAAGTGCAATAAACCACAACTTACTGATAAGCCCTTCATTACAAAACTCTACTCCTAAATTAGTTCCCTCACAACCGAAAACTGCAAGCAGCGTCGCATAATTGGAGGTCAGTTATAGCAGTTACAGTCACTGTTCACCGAGCGTTGAATGCTTCATCATGGAGTTCTGGCTACACTTTATAATGCAAATTACAAATTACTATTCGTACGGTGTAACTGTGACTGTTAGACACATAGTGAGGTAAGGCGGGTCTGAAAAAAAACAAAGCTCACCTAGTGCACCGTTTGTCTCAGTGGCTGCTTCAACAACTTGTTCCCATTGAATATCACTACGCGCATGCCCTCATCAACCCAATAAACCCTACACCACCCCAAACAATCCTCACCGAAGGAACCCTCCATAAACCCACAGCAACCCAAGGTCAGCCTTGGCTTCTCCCTCTTCTTGCTGCGGCATGTCCTCGTCCTCCGGTCACGCGCATGGTCCACGGTACGGGTGCACATGCGGTGCGGGGGAGGGGGTCCTGCGGCTGGGATACCCGTTTGGAGGTTTCTTGACCCTTCCGGGGACCTTCCTTGGGGCCCTTGGCCACAGGAGTGTGCACGTCCCCTGGCTTGGACCGGCTGCCGAGGCAGCACGCGCACGTGTGTACAAGTGGGCGCAAATCTGGTGGTCTGACCATATGGGCTGTATCCGCCGAGGCCTTGGGCCGTAGGTGTCTGGGCAGTTTGCACCCCTCCATTTTGCATTTTTTGGCCTGGAATTGGTAACCCCCATAGCCAACAAGTGTCCAGCCCCCCACCCCTCAGCAGTTTTGCACCAAGACAGCACCACTCATGAATCTCATGTTGGCCCTCACTCGAAGTCACTGCACGTCATGTTCACTCCTGCTCGGCGTCGAAGTCGAATCGACGTTCCTGTGCTGAGCCGGAGTCACTATGGTCAAGGACTCAAGGAGCCAGGAACAGCAATGGGCCTTGTAGGGTTCGCGGATTGGCCCCTTACCGAGAGCTTGGCACCTGAGTCATCTTCATCTCTGCAGATCCCCTGCTTTAGGCTTAGCTGCACGCATCGGAGAGCTGCCACTAAGGGCTCTGGTACGACCGTGCGTTTCGCAGTGTTCTGGCCAAACTGGGCAGGACGACATCTTCCCGAACAGGCCCTTGGATTTCTGATCCTGCAGCTTTGGGGAAATAGGACCACAAGTTAGGAGACCCCAAGCAACCATATGCGCGATGCCATGTCCTCCTCTTTCTGCCCGGATGCCGCCTGCTTGGCCAGTGCCCTTGCCTCCCTGTTCTGCGGGTCAATCTCCAAGATGCGCTTGACCTGATCTCCCACATCTCCCACATCTCCCACATCTCTCTTATATCTCTCATATCTTTCGAATTAACTCCGATCCAGAAGAGGGCCCAGCATCCCTGGTACAGTCCCCAAAGTTCTTGAGGCCGAGCTCTGCCTGTTCAGCAGTCTTCCTGTCTTCCATTCCGTGCCCCATGCCAGATGCCAAATGCCTTTTGTTCCGTGCTCAGAATCGGCTAGATGCCCTGTGCATTCCCGGCCTGGGCTCGCCGGAAAAGTGCCTTCAGGTTAGCCGAGTCGTCCTGTTACCAGGAAATCGTGTGTATTGCGAGGCAAACGAGGAGCATACCGGGGCCAGTGTGAGACACGCTCCTTCAGAACCGTGTTGCACGAGGTCTTGGCATCCGCGAACAGCTCGCACTTCAGTTGGCATGCGGCCTTGTTGAGGGTGCAGACCTGGCACCACATGCGCTGACTCTTTGCGACTTGGCAAGTTCCCGAACTCACAGCCTTCTTCAGATCTGTGGCTTTTGCCTTGTTTTCTGCCTCAGGACTTCCCGCAAGACTTGCTCTTCTGATCGGGACACGTTCTTGCTCGCCCTCGTGGCTCATCATGTATGGCTCAGGGCTCATGAGACTGCCAGGCTGCCTGATAGTTGTCAGTGTAGCTGAACATGTCTGCAACCTCAGCTTGCTGCAGAAAACTGCCACACACTGCCACCAGGCAAGTCCATGGAGTTCATGAGTCCATGGAGTTCATGAGTCCATCGCCTTCTTGTACCGCTCCATCGCCAGCAGAAAGCGGCCTTCTTTGAAAAGCTTCCCGCCAACCTGCGTGCAACTCTAAATTGAAATTTGGGGCAGGTGCCCAACAGATGACCAACAGATGACCGCACACTCCACATACTGGCCTCCTTGCGAGCTGAGGCGAACTCAATCTGGGCACTTGCTCGTTCTTGCAATCAGATCCACACTACGTCACTTGGGTCCAGGGGTACTCGGCCTTCTCATCCTCAGACATGTCCCAGATGTCCTTTGCCTTCTCGAAGCTAGACAGCTCCAAGGTGAAGACCACCTCGGTTCCCCACACACCCCCCAAAAACCCCCAAAGCCTCGGGAGAAGAAAGCCACAACCCACAACCAACTCCAACTTCCGGTTGGCTCAAGCCTTGTCGGCCTTGATCTGCGCCAGGCCGAGCTGGGCCTCCTGGGAGAAGCGACAGGTCTCATGCTGCTCTTCGGGAGGATTGCGCTGCCAGCTACCCCCACGCCTGACAGAGCGCTGGTGAGGTACAGGTGAGAAGTGCCCTCTCGCCTTTCTTCATGTCCATGACCTGCAAACAGAAAAGCTCTCTCCCTCGCTACAAACCGCTGTAGCTTGACATTGTTGGAACCCCGTGGCACCGCCAACTCCAAAGCGTCGCAGACGTTCCCGTCTCCAGCCGCAAACCTTGGAGCTGAGGCGTCAGAGGCTGTCACGTTTTCCGAGCAACAGTTGGGCAGCTGGGTCGCACACTCGAGCGTCTTGGCGCTAAATCCGGACAACGGCCCAGAGCCATCAGTAGCGGCCTATGCAAACAATTTAGACTGCAGAACCATGCTGAAACCATTGCGAAACATCCGCACTTCAGTTGCTGGAAAGAAAAACTCAAAGAGCTGGAGGGTGCCTCGACTTTCAGGGAAATCTTGGCACCTCTGAAGTTGTGCTTTCGCAGCCAGATTTGAATTTCTCAAGCGTTCGAAACTCATCTGCCAACGTCCCGAGAGGTCCCGAGGCACTGGCTCTCCTTGGGCCTTTCGTAGCCCTCACCCTCTTTGATCTGACAGCAAGCTGACAGCAAAATCCGATCTCTCTGCGTCACCAGTGTCACGTCTACCAGCTACTTATTGCGAACACCACCATGCTCATGGCCTTGCTGGCACATTAGACCCAGGCAGATGGCACCTGCTTCTTCATCAGCGACTTGTCTTTAGCAATGGAGACATCGGTGACCTCGTACAACTCGTCCTTAGATGTGGTGGCTAGGCATGGTCAAAGAAACGACCCCTGTGACCCCAATGAAACTTCCCGGAATCCTTCACGCCATTTTGCATACATGCCCATGTTTCACCTTGTCCTTTCAGGCGCACAGGAGCCGCTTGTCAGACCCAACGGAGAAGCCATCTACCAGTCCAAACCGGTATGGGGAATTCGGCGGCGAGCGCTGACATCACAGTCCACTGGGCGGTCCAGCGCGCACTGCTCCAACCACTCAACTTGACCCACGCTTCTTGTGGGGCCTTCAAGGGGGTCGAATCAGAGTCTGTCTCACTACATGCAAGTGGAGAGTCATGCCGCTGGTGTTTGGTTTCGCGGCTCACTTTGCGAGCACAGCGAGATCATGTCAGCTGCAGGCCACAAACCCGCTGCATGCTGAGTCATGCTTGGAATGAATTCGTAGCATCCTGCCGGCATGCTGAAACATCGTCTTCCCAGCTACCAGAAGCAATGACTGGAAGGCATGGATGACATAAGGCCTGAGATCGCTAGCTCCGAATGCCAAGTGCAGTTTGCAATCCAGGCTCGATCGCCAGGTCAATGACAACACCTGTGTGCCGGTGCAAAAGTCTCTATCCCTAAACCCGAAACCGCAAACACTGAACCCCAAACCCCAACCCACAAACCCAAAACCCTAAACCCGCCCTAAAGCCTAAACCCTAAACCCTAATTCCCTGAACCCTAATTCCCTAAACCCTAAACCCTAAACCCTTGAGACGAGGGCAGCTGGGCCTTCAGGATGGGCGTCTCCAAGCGCGTAGTCCTCTGGCACGGCTATCCGCAGAAAGGCTGTCGGTGGGAAGCAGGAAAGAAGCAGGACATGCACATCATATTGATACATATACATGTGTGTGTGTATATACACATTATACATACACATGTATATATATATATGTAACATCACAAAAAACAACTCACATCGTGGGAATCTGATGATGGTAGCAGACGCCCGTGTCCTTTGAGCATTGCAACTTGCACTGCTCGCCTTTCTTCATGCGCAGGAGAGCCTGAGCACGTTGAGCACACCGAGACCACACCTTTCTAAAAGACTTTGATATTAGGGTTTGGGGTTTGGGGTTTGGGGTTTAGGGTTTAGGGTATGTACTGCTCTGAACTTTCTTGACTCGCCTTCTCCACAGCTTTGGTCAGCGGCCCCAGCGCTGTGGACCCCATCGTGTACCTTTGCTTTGCACTTTCTGAGAATCTCTGAGAATCTGCACCATTCAGTTCTACTCATCAATCTACTCGGATGCTCTCGGATGGTCTCGGATGCTCTCGGATGGTCTGGGACACTCGAAAGAGCCCTTGTCCTCGATGACACTTCCGTCCGGCTTGCAGACCTCAAGCTCACTCTCCTCATTCTTCACGAGAAGCTAGAGTCAAGGCTAGAGCCAGCCTTTAGCGAGATCTTCAGCTCCGTGTTCATCTGGGGCGCCTGGTGGAAAGCAACGCTCTCATGGCCCTAATGAGCCGAACATTCTTGCCCACGCCCCCCTGCCTTCCAGCCGGAGCCTTCCTTGACCATCACTTTCAGGACTCCGCCATCTGAGAAAAGGTCTTCCTCGTGGGCCCCAGCGCCCCATGAAAGCAGACATCTACATACCAGCAGCCGACATAGCTCTTTCTTGATCCTGGTTGGTGAAGTCCAGCAGCTCCACTTCGAAGATTAGGGTGGCCTGCGAAGCAGCCCCCTTCCACCAGCATCCTTTTTGAACCCCCGGCGAGTTTGCGCCTTCTCTGGGATCTTGGGCGGAGACCCCTGGTCACCTGCACCGCGTGTTCCGTGTTGGAAAAGCCTTCAGTTATCTCAGTTTCGATACTTGCGCGCCGTAGGCATGCTCCGAGGCGATCGTGAACTTGGCCACCTGGGAATCAAGGGAAGCAAAGGAACCCTTCAGGGGCGACGCAAAAAAGGAGCAATCGCAGCCGGCTCGTAGCCGGCTCAGCCGACCGGCCTCGCCCTTCTTCATCGTTGCCACGCCAAGGTCCCATCCCTCGATCACCTGGCCCTTGCCAATGATGAAGGTAAACCTTCGCACACTCTCAACTGCCATACGAGAGACAGAGAGCTGTCGCGAGAGAACCTCCACATCCTCCGGGCCCCAAGCGGCTTGTCCCTGGAACGTGAAGAATCGAATTCGGTCCCATCAGACCTTTGGGCAAGAACGGCGAGCCCCAATTCACTGAAGAGGATGCTAGGATGCAAAGATGCTAGGCAACTGTAAGGGAGTAGCGGGTCCAGGGCGTAGGGTGGACGGACATTCAACTGTCGCTAACGAAGACCAAAAAAACTACACGTGCAGATCAGACCAGAGCCCGTTACAGCCTATGATGCGTTTGGCTTGTTGCACGCGGATAGCACCCCTGTGCTGACATTCAGAACACGGGTGAATAGGACGAGCCACTCGCCATGTTCCGACCCTTTAAAGGCTGTCCGCTTCTTTTGCCAGCAGATGCCGGTAAAAGTCGGGAGGGCACAATGTTGGGTACATCTGCCCTGCTTCTGCACTACCTCGCACCACCCCTCCGACACAGACCAAAGCGATTTGTCCGACCACAAGCTGGTCATGCAACTAGTCACCCCCTGTGTCTGTTGCACGCGGATAGCATCCCTGTCTTGACATTCAGAACACGGGTGAATAGGACGAGCCACTCGCCATGTTCCGACCCTTTAAAGGCTCTCTGCTCCTTTTGCCAGCAGATGCCGGTAAAAGTCGGGAGGGCACAATGTTGGTGTACATCTGCCCTGCTTCTGCACTACCTCGCACCACCCCTCCGACACAGACCAAAGCAATTTGTCCGACCACAAGCTGGTCATGCAACTAGTCACCCCCTGTGTCTGTTGCACGCGGATAGCACCCCTGTCCTGACATTCAGAACACGGGTGAATAGGACGAGCCACTCGCCATGTTCCGACCCTTTAAAGGCTCTCTGCTCCTTTTGCCAGCAGATGCCGGTAAAAGTCGGGAGGGCACAATGTTGGTGTACATCTGCCCTGCTTCTGCACTACCTCGCACCACACGTCCGACACAGACCAAAGCAATTTGTCCGACCACAAGCTGGTCATGCAACTAGTCACGCCCTGTGTCTGTTGCACGCGGATAGCACCCCTGTCCTGACATTCAGAACACGGGTGAATAGGACGAGCCACTCGCCATGTTCCGACCCTTTAAAGGCTCTCTGCTCCTTTTGCCAGCAGATGCCGGTAAAAGTCGGGAGGGCACAATCTTGGTGTACATCTGCCCTGCTTCTGCACTACCTCGCACCACACGTCCGACACAGACCAAAGCAATTTGTCCGACCACAAGCTGGTCATGCAACTAGTCACGCCCTGTGTCTGTTGCACGCGGATAGCACCCCTGTCCTGACATTCAGAACACGGGTGAATAGGACGAGCCACTCGCCATGTTCCGACCCTTTAAAGGCTCTCTGCTCCTTTTGCCAGCAGATGCCGGTAAAAGTCGGGAGGGCACAATGTTGGTGTACATCTGCCCTGCTTCTGCACTACCTCGCACCACCCTTCCGACACAGACCAAAGCAATTTGTCCGACCACAAGCTGGTCATGCAACTAGTCACCCCCTGTGTCTGTTGCACGCGGATAGCACCCTTGTCCTGACATTCAGAACACGGGTGAATAGGACGAGCCACTCGCCATGTTCCGACCCTTTAAAGGCTCTTTGCTCCTTTTGCCAGCAGATGCCGGTAAAAGTCGGGAGGGCACAATGTTGATGCCCTGCCTAGTTCAACAAGGCACACAGCAGGCCGACAGAGTAGCGCGTGATTTACACGGGCATTTCCCCAAAACAGGGGTCCGGGGAAGCCTTTTCTACCCCTAGTAGAATAGAATCCCTTAAAGGTACCCCTATTTTTGGAGACCCCCAAAATCTCTCTTCTTCCTTAGACAATTCTTGGCACCGTTGCAGAATCCGAGCCCCGTATCTTGGGTGCCCTCGCCAAGCTCGGGGTCGGGCTCCAAGGTGCCCACGTAATGCACTGTCACCTCGTCGCCTGCCTCGTTGCGCCGCTCTGCATCGCTCCGCACCCAGAGGGTTTAGGGTTCTGAACCCTAGGGGCAGGGTTTCGGGTGTAGGGTTTAGGGCTTTAGGGTTCCCAGAGGACACATCGAAGGCCCAGCCTTAGGCGTCGAGTAGTTGGACTCCGGCGCTTCTTTCAAGATCTCCTTCTTGATACCTGCATCAGTTGGAACGGGCGGAGGTTTTGACACGCCAGCTGCTAATCCTCAACTGCACCTGGAATGGTGTCTTGCCATGAATTCACAGGCCTTCCGGGAGCTCCTGCCGCATGCCCATGTCATCATCGCTCATGTCGTCACCTCAAGACTCCAAGCGCTAAAGGGTGAAGGGGCCCTTTGGCAGCCTTTGGCTCGGTGATTCGTGGGAGGCTTCTCGGCTTCTCAGGCTTCTGCCTTCCATGTCGCCTGCGCGAACGTCATCTGACATCTCCGACCTTCTCAGAAGACTGTGCGACAGCACCACGTGCAGTCATAGCACACGTGGTTCTATCGGATGAGGCGGCGGCATGCTGAAATGATGAGCTGCAGAAGGGTAGGACTGTCTAGTAGGCTACTGCACCACACAGTGCTTTGACCGGAGGAAGTTGGGCAACTGAAGACACCTGCAGCAAAGGCAGATACAGACGCTGTAGCACAGTCATCTGGCAAACTGCATGCACGAAGTCTGGCGTTTGTGCTCCTTCTTTTGCCTTGCAGCTTAGCTGCATGTCTTGTCTCTGCCAACATCGAATTGAAGCATTGTAGCTTTGCAGCGATTCGGACGAGTGGTCTGCGCGACTTGTTATTGACTCGTCCAACTTTGCTGAGCAGGGGGTCTGCACTGCCCAATGCTGGTGTTAGTGCATGTCAGCTAGTTCCATGTCTGACGGCAAGCCCCTGCTACAGAGTGTGCAGCGAGTCTTGAATTATCTCAGGAGCGAACCCAAGCTACCATAAAAAAAAACGCTGCGTGCAGTGTTTCCGCCATTGTCTGGCAATTCGTTTGCTCTCAGGCACCTCCGCCTGCGACTGCGCGACCAGACGGGGCCTGCATGGATACGGTCACTTCAATTTGATGGAGATGCGGGATTCGCACGATGAACTCAACACCCTTTAATTGGGCACTCAACAAATCTTGAACCCTACACAGCCACGCTTCAGGCCATCGCACAGAATCGTCAGACAGCAAGCCTTTGACATCTTTTCTGGTCGGCCTGTCTTTGGCCTGAGCTCCCGAAAACACAAGGGCAAAAGACTCTTTTGTGCAGCTTCTGAGGGCAGAGCGATTCAAAAAAGAGACAGAGTATTTCAAAGCCATAAGAACACGCATGCAAATTGCAGGAACAAAGCAACGAGGTACTGATGTGGGGTGAGCGAACGGTTTTCGACCGCGGGCTGTAGTTACAGCACCAGCTGATTGATACTTCCTATTGCTAATGGATCCATGTGGGTGTGCGTGTGTGCGTGTCTCGTCGATTGCTGATGTTTGACATTGTTGCCTTTACTTCGAGGGCTGGTTTACTTGTCTATCTCTTAAGTCTTAAGTCTTTATCGAACGGGGGCTGCTGGCACGAGAGACTACCGGCAAAGGCCGGTAACCCAGGGGCCAACGCCCGCTAAAGAGGGAGGTTCTGAGCAACTCAGCGCAGAGCTCGACGGCGCGCTTTCGCTTTCCCTCTTTGCCCTCTTTGACGTTTGGGACTCGGGACAGGATGTCTGGATGTGCGTTGACCATTGCTGTGTGGGACTGGGACCCAAACTGGGAACGTGCACTTCGGCGGATCGCACGAGCAATCCCTGCAGGATCTCAGGGAACTTTATGACCTGAGAACGGGGTGCCGGGTCCAGAAGGAACAGGAAAACAGTCATTAAATCCCGCCAACCCCGCCTCTTCGGCAGCTGCGATGCGCTGCAGCGCATCCCTGCTGCAAACCACCTCCTCCTCAATTGCGGCGTACCTGCCCAAGCTCTCCTTGTGAACTCTCGCCTTAAGCATGTCCTCAAAGCACAGGAATGCACAGGGTCTCTCCATCACTTGCAGTTCTCACAGGTCGCATTTCTTGGAGGCCAAACTCTTTGCACGTTTGGAGGCGGGAGACTGCCTGCAGGCGGCTGCAGCTTGGTAGTGCTGCAGTGTCAAGTCGTACGTGCCGGGGCTCCGAGCATTTTGGCAGGTCAAGTTCTGACCCAAGTATCTTGTGGCCGATTCCTGCGCGGATGGCCCAGACAGCTCTCGACTCTATGCTCCAAGGCTCCCAGCATGCAGCCTGTAGGCAGGGAACATCCAGTTGCGTTGCCAACCGCAGCACGTCTTCATTGGCCTCATCTCCCAAACACACGCGGCTTTCCATCTGACATCATCTGACGTCTGAGAAAACTCTTGGTATCGCTGAGGCGTCGACGGCATCGGAGCTGATGTTGTACTCTGTGCCAAGGCCGTAGACCAAGTCCAGGAGGGCCCTGGCAGCCTGAAAGTAGTGGACTTACACCGAACTTCTCCGAACTTAGTCCATCTCCTCCGACTGGCTCTCCCCCAACAGCCATACGAGTAGAAGAGCAACAGCATAGAAAGAGAAAAAAGAAAGGAAAAGGGGGAAGGGGCTCGAAGGCCCGAGAAGAAGATCCTCAGATTCTAAACGGGGGGCCAGGCCTCAGGGCTGGCGATGTCCAGGTGCAGCTCGGGGCGTGTGGCGGACAGGGGCACCTGACCCAGCTAGTTACTTGTGTGTGTGTGTGTCAGGGTAAGAGAACCCGGCTTTCGGGATGTTTCGGAGAGTTGGGGGACGTTTAGGGGGAGTTGGAGATCTTTTTTGAAGGGGGCTCCGTGACTCTGAGCGCCTCCAAGGCTTTCGGAGTCTCTGCCGCCGTCTTCTCACCTCAGGATCCGTGAGCTCTCTCGTGTCCTCCACCGACATCTCCACAAAAAAACACGTATCAAATGCGGTTTAGGGTTTAGGGTTTAGGGTTTAGGGTTTAGGGTTTAGGGTTTAGGGTTTAGGGTTTAGGGTTTAGGGTTTAGGGTTTAGAGTTTAGGCTTTAGGTAGGGCTACTTACCGAGGCACCTCCAAGAAAACACAGGAAAGTCAGGCCGAAATCAGTCCCGGAACTGTCGGGCTCCGAGTGCGTCTCGCTTGGAACAGCGGGCACGGGCGCCGTGGAATCCGGAGCTTTCCACTGGTTGCTGTAGATCGGCGGCGACGTCGCTGGCACCTGCAAGAGGCCACGCAAACAATGCAAACATCCGCAGACAAGACAGAAGTACTGCATGCGGGCAACGCCTCCTCAACGGACGACGTGGTGGCTGCTTCCTGGTGGACCTCGACAGCCTTCTCTTCTGGTTCAGCATCTGAACCCGATGGCGGTGCCTACAGTATCGGCTAGCAGTGCGCAGTGTTTGACAGAGTGAATCAGAGTGACACACCCGATCGGAACCTTCTCAGCTTTCTCGGTGTCACTGCTGGTGTTGGAGGGTGACGCAGGCTGACCTCGGTGGACAACGTGCTCGCAGGCGCCTGACCACAGCCATTCCCCTTGTGGAAGACACACTCAGACTGGGGGCAAGACGCTGCTGCTGGAATTCTTTCACAGCCTCAAGAGACACGCATCCGAGGCAGCTTGGGATGGGTGATTCGCATGGCGGTTGAAGCTTGAGAGGCCTTCTGCACCTGCTCGCAGCATGCCCGACTCATGGATGCCAGAACCACCTCTGAAAGCAGGTCTCGAAGTCGTGAAGTTGAGGGGCGACACGGAGCTTAAGCAACTGCAAAGCACGCCTTGTGAGCAGGCAGACGGGTAGTGCCAACAACCAAGTTGAGGTCATACCTTGGAGAGCAGTCTGAGCAGTCCGTGCCCCAAACCTGGAGACTCCAGGAGGGCTGAGACGCGTGAAAAAACACTGCTAGGAGCCCTGGCAGCTGGCAGGTTTGATAGAGGATCTTGATGCCTCAGTCGAAGGAGAACTGAAGGAGACAAATGCAGAAAGTCGCAGACAACAGCATGAGCGTAGATTACGTGGCCGCGAACCTTCTGCGAGGTTCCGCTCCGCAGGCAGGGGGGGCAAGTCATCAACCTGCCCAGGAAACGAAACGATGGCACCGAAGAGTTTGGTGTGCCATCTGGCGTACCTCAATCTCCAGCGGCGTTGTCCCAGCAGCTGTCAGGCTGTTGATGGCCACGACCTACACAAAGCCAACGCATTGCTCTGCAAAGGTTACCCAATGTTCCCCAGGAGGGCATATTAGCCAGCATCCCGTAAGTAGGAAGCAGGAAGCACTTCATCACGCAGGGAAGTCCTACAGTTTGATGGCGCTGCGGGAGCTGCCTTGCCCCACTGCGTCATCTTCACAACAACTCACCCTCGGGCACCGGTTGCTGTCAATAATTGTTCTTGGGCCACAGCAGCCGGGCTTCGAACTCTGAGTGCACGCAAATGTTGCCAGTGTGGACATGCAAACAAGCCAACTGCCTCAACAACTTGTGGGCTTGTCATTGTTTTCATGCAATTTCATGAAGAGCCGTTGGCCAATGTGATCATTGAGTAGCATTCCTTCTTTTCCCTTCTCCACGACCAAGTACTGCCTTCTTACTCGTCCGGGTCAATAGAACGTGCCATTTCACCACCTGGCACAGGCTTTCTTGGAAAGGACACAGGCATGCTGTGCATCAGGATGCCATGCAGACAGGCTCCACTTCCAGAATCAAAGGGGGCCTTCCAGAATGGAGCCCAAGTTGCCAACGTCAATCGCCTGCGTTCCGCGGCAGGCCAGCTCCGCAACCAAGAAGTCAGCCGATGTGCCCCAGCTCACGGCCACCTGCAGGTCAAAGCAGCCCGAACTGTGAACCTTTCAAAGGCTCCCTAGACCAGACATTCCTGAACTTCGTAAATTTCCTGAACGTGCAGTAACAGGCGGGCGGCGACATCGGCTTTGGCTTGCTGGACGGCCGCCAGGGTGGCCTCCAATTCTTTATCTCAACGGCATGTGCTCTGCACCGCATTCCCCAGCAGAGTTTTGGGGTTTTTTAGCGTTAAGAAAACCCAGGGTTTGGGGTGTTTTAACCTTAACATAAACCCTAATTGTGTTCTGTTTGTTGGGGCGAGTCATTTGGGAGGCACACCTTCACCACGCCGGACCAAGAAGAGCCCAGCGGTGGCTCAAAGCCCACGAGGTCCGGGTTCAGGGCCAGCACCTTGACCAGGGGCCTCCTAGGGGCTTGGGGCTTGCAGATAAAGAAGGGGCTTTCAAGTAGGGGCTTTGTAGGGGGGCCGATTTCGCAGTTTTTTAGGCTTGGGACAAGAGGGCCACGGACTCAGTTCCGAACCTTGCGCGACTTGGCGTAGGGGGGCGGCTTCTGCCCATGCCCGAGCCTCCACAGGTCTGCGTGTAGCCATTGTGACTTTACGACTTTATGCATCTTGGCTCTCTCGATGGTGCTTTCTGCGGAGCTTTGTGCTGAGGTAGCTCCACAATCTCGGTCCCCCACAGCAAGTTTGAAATTTTTCTGCAACCGCCACACCGCCGAACAAACAGATAGTCCAGGGCGGCCACGAGCAACACCTCAGTGACAACAGACATGGCTTTGCCCACGAGAATCCAGCTCTGTCCACTTAGAAATGGGGCCGGATTGGGAAACCGGGAGTGTAGTAGCATTGCTTGTCACATGAAGGCGCTTCTCCTTGCGGAGGAGCTGCAAGCTACACCCCAGTGTTTTTTTCCTAGAACCTCCTACTAGCGGTAGTTACAGTCTCTGTTTGCTACTAAGACCGGCTGGACTTCGAAGTAACTTGGGGCCACTCACTCGCTTGTGCAAGGCAATGCATTTTCTCCAATGTCCTTTTAGAGTAGCCTATATTTCTGCATTGTAAAAGAATGTGACAAGGTATAGGATGAGTGCGCACTTGAGGCTACAGAATGCCTCAATGAGAGGGATTTGAGGGATTTGAGATTCAGGAAAGCGTCGCTGACTATAATCAGACACAACAAACTTCATCAGCCCGGGTACGGTCTTGTTGAAGAAGACCTGTTCCCATTGCGCTTGAAACTCCAGGAGGCTCATGGCTTCTGGGCCGGATTTCGGCCTGTAGTTCCTTGCATGGCCAACTACAAGCATCTCCAAACCTTCCTCCCCAAATGCTCTTCATGAAGCCTTGCTGGACTTGCAACTGGGGCCAGGACACCAACCCGAAGCAATATCCTGTGGCATGAGGCTACTTAAGCTCTCTTTCAGTCTCTTGCAGCACTCGAACAGTGCTCTTGCAGCCCTTGCAGCTGAGGGGCTTTGATCCGGCAGCAGGCCGGATTCAAAAAGCGCTCGGGTGTTTGGCAAGCCTGCTTCCTGCCACCACTCAAGGTGGGTTTGGCCGAGAGCCGCCAGAGTAGACATGTCGTTGGGATCGATGATGCCAACGCAGAGCCCGGGACACTGTGCTTGAACAGAGAAGCCAAGTCGTATCAACGTGTCCGTGTATCTTGCCAGTGGGCCATTGACCTCGGAATTGAGCTGGAGCTGTTCGCCGTCATTGAAGCGCATGAGTGACCCGCCAGCCAAGAGATGCTGCATAGTCTCCATGTGGTTCTTGACCAAGCTTGCAGAGGCAGGTGGTGCTACAGTCGGACTGGCTGGCGTAGGGCTACGAATCCTGCGCAGGACTGGTGTCCACAGCTCGTGCCCACAAGTCCCCTCATGCCAGGGACAGGAACCACTACCTAGGCAGCTCAGGTAGCGGTCGACCATCCTGTCCAAGAGCAGGACCTCGTCGGCATCTACAAACTCTGCTGCCTCGCTCAGAAGGCACAGAGCTAGTGCCGCGGTTGGCCAGCGAGCCAAGTTGCCGCCCTCACTAGCAGCTCGCGCTAGCGCAGCCCAGCCCCGCGCGGGACATGAAATGGAAGACGCCCGGTGGAATGTGATGAACGTTGCCACAGCAGAGCCGCAGAGGGGAGCCGCCTCGGGAGCCTCCTCACGTCGGCCTTGTGAAACTTGCGGGGCTGGGTCGCCTGGGCGTGCCGAGTTCGTGGATCGCATGGGTCGCTGTGCTAGTACATGCAGGATCCTGCCGAGGTCTTCCGGCTGCAAAAGATGGAGGGGCGCTGCTACTTGAAGTGCATGCAGGGCACTGTACAAGTGGTGCCGTCCTGAAAGGCTAAGGACAGTGGAGATGATCATCAGAAGCGACATGAGTTGAGGCGCACCGACGCCAGCCGGTTCTTTGGCAGACACATCCTGGTCTGCATCCAGCAATTGGCGAAAGGCGTCACGCAAATGCGGTAAATTCGAGACGGGACGAGCGCTTACAGAGTGGAGCAGGCGGGATAGAAGCAATCGTTGGCTTCTGGACCAAAAGCCCCACGGAACCTCAGCAAGCAGGCAGGCCAGACACCTGAGTCCCGACAGATCTGTCTTGCAAACCTGCACCAGGCAGCAGGCAGCGCTATCGTGGCCGTAGATGCTGCAGTGCTTGTCATGGCGCCCCACATCACGCAGGGAGAAGGCCTGATCGGCCTGTTTCGGTATACCACCTATACCCCTGCGAGTGATCTTGCAAGATACTTGCAACAAAGCGGCAGCCGCTGGACAAGCAGGCGCACGCGACAGGAGGTTTAAGTGGCGACCGAACAGAGAGCCTCTGCGAATCGCCCTCCGAGTTTCAGGTCGACAGTGCCGGGAGCCATCCAGCAAAGCCTGCGCCACAGCCACCCTCCACACCTTCTGGCGCGGCTGTGTGCAGCGCGTGTACTTCTGCAGAGTCGTGTGAAGTCGCTGTGACCCACAGCAATTGTTGGGATGATACCAAACGTAGGTTTGAGGCTCCGAATCAGATAGCTTCGTTTGCTGCACCACCCCGAAGCACTTCGGGCGGAACTCGGCACTGACATAGCAACAGGAGACACGCGAGGGAAGCAGCGGCAGGCGTGCTGCCGGGTGCAGGGAACCGAGGGACCGTTTTGCGGATCTCCAGGTTGCCCTCCAGCAGTCAAAGGGATCCGGGCTGGTGATGGTCTCCAACTCCACAGCATATTTTCTGGGGAACTTCTTGTACCAGTAGAAAGGCTGCCAAGTCGAGACCAGTTCGGACTTTGTCTGGAAGGCCAGCATGGCCACACCTGGGTCATCGTCCTCTCCCTCGCTGTAAGCGAAGCCAGCAGTCTGGCGTCCATGAGACCAGCCTCACACATGAAACGCGCAAAGACACCAATGAAGACATCTTAGAGACATCCATGACATCCAGAGACCTCAAGACATTGCTAAGACACTTTTGCTTGCTGTCTCACCTTGGGGTGGCCAAGCAGCCCAGGCAGTCACCGGCGAGGAAGGGCAAGCTCGAGCGCAGGCTGGCTTCAAAGACAGCGCCTGCTCGACCTGAAAGAACTCAGCCATCTGCAACTCTTGCAAAGAGCTGCAATGCACTTAATGCACTCTGCAACTCAAATTGTTCATGGCAAGGCAAAGCAAAATGTTTCTGCAGCGTCAGGCTGCGAAAAGGTGGTAGCTCGACAGCAGAGCGCACAAAGAGCTCACTCTGGTTCACTCCACGATGGAAAACAGCAAGCCTTTTCTGAAATAAACGGCTGACTGTGTTGGCATCTGCACACACACACACCCACACACACACACACACAACACAGACTCTGCAGCCGAGCAGCGTCACGTTCTTTGGTGCCAAGACCTCCCAGAGTCTCACAGTCGCCTATGTCCCTACGCATAAAATTCTGCTACTCTTGCGACTCGCAGCAAGCCACGCAAGAACCCTTGGCTGGGCTACCCGAGGAGCAATGTCAGAGTCAGCGAGCATGTTGCGGAAGTCATCTGCTAAAACAAGAACAATCCCGACAAGGCAGTCCACTGGCCTTTTGTCCTGGCAAGGCCTCATTGCGTAGCAGCACGGCGCCATGCAAGCAGGAACTGCCCAGGAACTGTTGGGCACCTGAGACCTGTGCGATCTTCACCTTCCGAACGCGGCCGGGTGCTGATGGGCAGTGGGACAAGTCGACCTGAGTCTCCCGTAACCCGGGTTTCAGCTTCTCTTTCAGCAACTTCCGTCCTCAACCAGTCAACAGCTTAGATACCCCCTGCCATACTCAGACTTCTTCCTCCATTTCTTCATCCCCTGTCCGAGTCGTTCCATGTAAGGCCCGCACCACTGTCAGGGGCCCCGTGGGGTCGCGATGGCGGCTGAGCTCTCGGAGCTCTCCAAGCTCACGCCGAGGCAACGGCCAGGCCTGGACCTGGAAGGTTCACAAGCGAAAAGAACAACCCCTGTTGTAAGGGACCTTTAAGGGACCTATTTTTGACATAAACCCCAAAATAGTATAGGGTTCCTTTATAGTAAGGACCCCAATACGGTTCCCCCAAATTTCGGAAACCTATGAGGACTGCCCTGAGCTCCTAGGAGAGTGGTTTTGCAGTTCATCCTTCTCAGGGCGTGGCGGCCACGATGGCGTAGCTTGACAAAACCGTCACTGGGGGCATAGCCGGCATGGCGGCGAGCTGTTTGTGCTCACATGGGAGTTTCCGAAATGAATTAGGGGTACCTTACCGGGGTAATCCTACCATTTCGGGGTCTACACATGGGTTGTTGTCAAAATGCTTGTTCCCGAAATTGACGTTAAATCGGAACTCCCTCGGTGCCGCCTTGTGTCCTGAAGGAAAAAGAAGCTGATTGAGATGGAGTAGCAAACGCGACATTTGAAGGATCCAAGCATGATTTCCTAGAAAGGGTGCTAGCGCGGACCATTTTTCAGGCGCTGCTGTCTGGAGTTCTGGCACGAGCGAAGGTTTCTCCGCTGTCGCCACTTGCGCGGCTCGAGCTCCAGCAAGCAAAGCGCTCTCGGTTCTATGGTGTTCCTTTGTGGTCTGCTAGAGGAGGAATGGGCCATGGTCTGCCGGGGGAGGTTGCGTTGACATTTTGCTAGCGCCGTGCTAGCGCGGCGCTAGCGCAAAACACTTTGCCGGATTTTCCAAGACCTGATACTACGACGTGATGAACGTCATCTTTTTCCTAGAACAACCTCTATCCTGGCAACAGGCGCCCCGTCAATTCATAACGAAGCGGCGCGGGGTTTTTACACCACCCCGGATGTTGTACGCATATTTCGGGTGGTGCGCCTGGCTGGGCCTTCTCAATCAATCTCTGTTGTGTTCGCTTAGTGGTGACATGCGAAACTTGAAATAATGTTTGTTGATTTTACCTAGCGCGAACCTAGCGTTTTCCTAGCGCCACACTGAGGTTTTAGGGGATCCCCCTCGGTGCCGCCTTTTAGCAAAGACATGAAAATAGACCGGCCAAACCAATAAATGTAAATTAAAGTAACTGAGCAGACACGCGAATTTTGAACGCAACCCACATGCGCAGCAAAGAGTGATGGATTCGATCTTCCCCACCACCACTGCGTTCCTCCTCCTCCAAACCCCTCGGAATCCCTCGGAACTTGGCAAGGTGAGTGTCTTGCTTGCATCAGCTCAAGGCAGGCACGCGAGCCAGCTACAGGAGCATCCTGGCCAGCAGCTATCATGAATCATGCAACTGTCCGCCGACGTATGGCCGCTTGCTCGCAGGCAGAAGCGCTTTTCAAGCGCTCCGACTTGCTTCTGCTCGCGCACGCAGCTGCGACAGCCTCCGAGGTCGAAGTCGCATTCAAAAAGCCCAGGAGCCTTCAAGCAGCCTCCTAAAAATTCCCTACGTCCTGAAACTGAGGCATGCTCCGGCGTCGCAAGTCAGCGAAGTCAGGCAAGTCAGCTGCGCCAGAGCCTCGAAGATGCTAATCTCTCGCTTTTCTTGGTGGAGCCTCTGTCTTCGTTTTGCTTGAAGAAGCGTGTGTACACTCTTAAGTACAACGAAAAACCATAGCCCCCGAGACCCTAAACCCCAAACCCACCCCCCCCCCCCCCCCCCAAAAAAAAAAAAAAAGAATGGCTCCCTGGCCTTGTGCCCTGGAGGCATCGGATCTTAAAGCCTCGGCTCGGCACTCCGCGCCAAGGCGCGCAGCGGAGCCTCTGATGAAAAAACCACCGGTTTCGGGGTTTAGGGGGTTTGGGATTTAGGGTTTATAGGGTTCAGGGTTTAGGGGTTTAGGATTTAGAGTTTAGGGTTTAGGGGTTAGGGGTTTAGAGGGTTTAGGGCGTAGGGGTCTTTAGTAGCTGGTTAGGGCTTGAAGGGTTTCGTGTTTAGCGGCTTAGGGTTTAGAGGGTTTCGGGTTTTAAGGGTTTAGGGTTTAGAGGGCTTCGGGGGTGAAGGGGGTGAAGGGTTTAGGGTTGACTGTTTAAAGGTTTAGGTTAGGTTATTGGGTTTAGAGGGTTCAGGATGCACAGGATGTAGGGTTTGGGGCCCTCATCTACAAGGAATGTCCGTTGCAGGAAACCCCAAGAAAGGCCCTACAAGTTACATCAACCCATAAAACAGCCCTGTCGAGCTTCGGCCACAGCTTCAAAATCTGCGAAATGCGCGTAAGGTGAGCCAGTGAGAAGGCATCCTACAGCAAATGAGAATTTCCTAAAAGCCCTCGAAATATCTCGAAATGCTATGGCCCTAATGAAAGGCTTGTTTTATGGGAACCCTAGAGCTGAGAAAAGTCGGCTCTCGGGCTTCGTGCAATCCCCCCAAACCTCTACTGATACTGATGTTGAGAACCCTCGAGCCCTGAAAAACCCTACAATGGCCCTACAATTACAACCCTTCAAGGGGGGGGCAGAGGGGGGGGCGGGGGCAGAGGGGGAGCGAGGACTTTTTTTGTCAATTTTTCTGGGTTTTTTTTGTGAATTTTCTTGCTTTTTCTTGCTTTTCTTGTGGTTTTCAGCACATGCCCTCCTGGTTCTGCCTGTCGTCCTCCTCTGGTGGGAATTCTTTTCTGTGTATTTTTCTGGTTTTTTTGGTGAATTTTGCTGGTTTTCAGCTTCCGATGGCCTCTCAGCGGCACCGCGTGTCCGGAACAGGTCCAAATCTCAACGTGCTACAACAACACATTACGTCCAACCCTTCGTCCTTTTGCAACTCGCGCTTGGAGCGTCGGGGCGGCCATCTTTGGCCCCGACAGGACTCAAAAGCTAGTTAACGTCCGGGGCTGGTTCAAGAGGAACCTCGGATGCTTCAATCTGAAACTTTGCTTCGGTTTAGGGCTTACTGCGCATGTAGGCCGCAAACATTCTATCAGGATTTGCGGCTTATGGTGGACGATTTGGGTCTTATTAGGCTCTACGGTTTGCGGGGTCAAGGTTGCTCCTCGTATCATTGCCCCTTCAGTCCGGAACTACGGCTTAGGGTTTAGGGTGTAGGGTGTGTTGCGGGAAGCGGGGGGTTGGGGGGGGGGGCAGCCCCTCCCATTTGCAAACACGATTCTCGCATGATGGGTTTCCGAAAATGTGTGCATATGGCATATGCTTTGAGGCAAGCTTGCACGGCTTGAGAAAGCGGGGGGGTTGGGGGGGGCGCAGCCCCCCCCATTTGCAAACACGATTCTCGCATGATGGGTTTCCGAAGATGTGACGATTCTCGCATGATGGGTTTCCGCAAAAGTGTGCATATGGCAGGAACTACGGCCGAGGGTTTAGGGTGCAGGGTGTGTTGCGGGAAGCGGGGGGTTGGGGGGGGGCGCAGCCCCCCCCATTTGCAAACACGATTCTCGCATGATGGGTTTCCGAAAATGTGTGCATATGGCATATGCTTTGAGGCAAGCTTGCACGGCTTGAGAAAGCGGGGGGGTTGGGGGGGGCGCAGCCCCCCCCATTTGCAAACACGATTCTCGCATGATGGGTTTCCGAAAATGTGACGATTCTCGCATGATGGGTTTCCGCAAAAGTGTGCATATGGCATATGCTTTGAGGCAAGCTTGCACGGCTTAAACAAAGCGGGGGGGGGTATTTCTTTCTTTCTTTCTTTCTGTCTTTCTGTCTTTCTTTCTTTCGTTCTTTCTTTCTTTCTTTCTTTCTCTCTTTCTTTCTTTCTTTCTGTATTTCTCTCGTTCTTTCTTTCTTTCTGTTTTTCTTTCTTTCTTTCTTTCTTTCTTTCTCTCTTTCTTTCTTTCTTTCTTTCTCTCTTTCTTTCTTTCTGTCTTGCTTTCCTTCTTTCTTTATTTCTCTCTTTCTTTCTTTATTTCGTTCTTTCTCTTTTTCTTTCTTTATTTCTGTCTTGATTTCCTTTCTTTCGGCCTTTTTTTCTTTAGTTCTTTCTTTCTTTCTGTCTTGCTTTCCTTTCTTTCTTTCTTTCTTTCCTTTCTTTCTTCCTTTCTTTCTTCCTTTCTTTCTTTCTTTCTGTCTTGCTTTCCTTTCTTTCTTCCTTTCTTTCTTTCTTTCTTTCTTTCTTTCTTTCTTTCTTTCTCTCTTTCTGTCTTTCTTTCTTTCTTGCTTAAAAAACAGGAAAAAAAAACACAAAAAAAAAAAAAACAGAAAAAAACACAAAAAAAAACACCCTACCCGGCAGAGGGGGGCGGGGGGGGGAGAGGGGGCAGAGGGGGGCAGAAGGCGAAAGGACGCGTTGAGGCCAACTTTCACCTTTGACCCTTGGCAGTCGGCTTAGGTTTGGGGTTACTCGGTTGAGGGCTTACAGCATCGGGCGTAAACGGGTCTAAAGGGCTTTTTGGGTGTAGTGCTTATAGGGCTTCGAGCTTAGGGGTGAAAGAAAACCCCGTCAACCCCTCTTGGAGAGGCGCAGAGCTTCTGAGGCAGCGGCAAGAGCTTGCTTGGGCATTTGATCCGTGCGCCTGGCTTGGCTCACCAACACCCAACCCCCCCTAAGAAAACCTGCAAACGATGGGAACCCTAGAAGCCACTGTAGCTCAGCCCCGTCATCTCTAACATTATGTCATACTATATCATGTCATATAATATGATATATAATATAACATAATACAATATCATACGAGTAAAATATAATATCATATCATACTCGTCCTCAAGAGCAGTCCGAGCCACGGCCGGCTCCTCTTTGAGGTGCCGGGAGAGAAGGTCTTGCATTTGACGGTGTTTCCGCCCCACCTCAGAACTTCCCATGAAATCACTGATCACACACGAATGATGTTTGGTTAGCAATATTTAGCAATCATAAATAGTATAACAATGGCACATATGGTCAAGTCATATCTCAGAGGGCCCCCTTAAGCGGGCTACTAGTAGAACTCTGAAGCCTAAAAAAACAGGCGCATGGTGGCTGGGCAAAGGTACAGCAACTCCGTGCCTCATTCAGGCAGGCCATGTAGGCATCTTCATGACCCGCAATTCCAGGAGCCCCAGGATGACGGGACCTAGAGCTCGTTCCGATTCCGATGACCCCGAGACCAGAATCTGTGGCACTTGCAAGAGGCTTTCTTTGGTAATTAAGCACCGTGCCGGCTAGCTGGTTGTGGAGCCTTGTGATTCTGGGGCGCTTTTCTGGCTGGGCTAACCCACTAACCGACATCTGAGCAGATGCTTCCGGCCTTGGCGAGCTTGCTGTTGAGTGCCGGAGACATTCGGCGACGAAGTGCCGCGACCTTAGACGATGACATAAACCTGCCAATTATAGGATTGCCTCAAACCAGGACATCCTGGGATGAGGGGATGCGGACTTGTCCGTCACCGACACGGCTGCTCGGTCTGCCACCCGCCGACGCCACCTTGCCACCTCGCTCTGGGCACCAAGCTGCGCCAGGCAGGCCTGCATGCAAGTAGCTATAGTCACGTGGGTGATCAAGGGCCGCAAGGGTGGTACAATGTCGACCTTTTGAACTCTTTCTCACTGCCCAAAGTTCGCCGAGGTGTTCTGCGATGGCTAGTCAAGTGGACGCTTCCTTGCAGCCTTTCGTATGCAGGCAGCAGGCATCGGCCGATTCATGTCCGACTCTGCCGACGGGAAAATCCGAACGACGGCCCGCTCACATAAGCTATTGGAACTACATCCCCAGCTGCCATACAGCGAATGCTGCCACAGGAAACCTCTGCGGCAGCATGGCCGAAACCCCAACTGCACCCTTGTCTCTAAGACTTGCGATGCAAGCACTAAACGCATTGCACATGACTCATCCCTTGTGCATTTCTCCTGCTGGAGGCAGCCGGATCCTACACTCTCTTGCTATGTGCAGGCTATGTGTAAGCCCATGCAACATCCTCTCACAGCCTCCTTCGCTCCTTCAACTGCGCGCTTCCCAGTTTGCCACAACCTGTGCTGGTAGCCGGGCACGTGCGCGGACGACGAGGTAAAAGTACGCATTGAAGGCGTTCATGACCTCACGTGCAGATGGGTAAAAAAAAAACCCTCCCAAGAGCCATCATCCCGAACCTCTTTCGTATCTTGATGCACGAAGCACTACATGGCTGCGCCATCTGACTGCATTAGCATAGCGAGAGTTGGACATGCAACACAAGGTAACACATGTTTGCACCTTTATCTGTCATCATTCTTTCATCTCTCTCCAGCTGTTCTTCTCGACATGTTTTCCCTCTTTACGTGGCCAGAAGCCACTTCATTCTCCAGGGATTCTGAAGACATGCGCATTGAGCCCAGTACTGCCATCGACCAGAAGTAGAGCTGCATCCAATCCGTTCTGTCAGAAAACGCCCAAGACGTCCCAGCAGCAAAGGCGAACACACCCAAACTCTTTCACGCCTGCCTTGCAAACGGACTGGTGTTTGCTGTTGCCAGCTGCCTCAGTTCCAAACGTCACCAGAGCCCCTATTCTCGAGGCCGAGTCTGCAAGCTTGTGCACTTGTGCAGCACTTGTGCAGCACTTGTGCAGCACTTGTGCAGCTAGGCTTCATTCTGGTAAAGAAACCTCCCTTGACAGACAGCTCACGCCACACAATGATCACGGTGTCCTTGGGCAGGAGGGATGAGAGAGAGAGAGATAGACAGTGGAAAAAAAAACACAAACAGTATAGCATGCGGCCTACGTGACTCAGCCGCGGGCAATAACTGGCAGGATGACTCTGAGGACCAGGTACACCAAGGATAAACGTCTGGGCTGTGGGCAGCGATGGCAGTACAGCTGTACAACTCGACAAGATATGCCGGAAATGCTTCCGAGATGTCAGCAGCTACACATGATTCCTCCTGCAATCGCAAAAGACATTCATCGGGCACGTCGCAATCCTTGAGGCTGCGGGCAAGCTTCTTGTAGATGTTGGACGCCGACAAGTGCGAGAAGCGCAGCAAGAATTTGCACATCCCAAGGATGGCACCAGATGCATCGATGCAAATGCACAGTTGGCAGAGAACACGGAAGTCTACATCGGTCTGAGTTGAACAGAGGACGCAGATCGGGGACACGAGGTGATGGATCAGCGTCTCTGGCTCCATCCTGCTCCCAGGCAGAGCAGATGCAAAGTGTCACTTGTGGAGAGTTTAGGGTTTGGGATAGAGGGGTTAGCTCCTCTGAAAGCCCAGGCTGAAGCTGTCGAATATTTCGTAAGACACTTCGAGGCAGAACGCATGCAGAGCGAGCGATGGGGCGCCCATCACCCATGCCAGCAGCGCCAGGGTGGCGACCACGCTATTGTGGACCACCTAGCAAAAGATCTTAGGCGTTCAGGGTCCCAGGCTTAAGGCTACAGTATAGAAGACTCTATGGCCTCGAGTGTGTAGAAAATTTTCAGGAATGTGTAAAACAGGACTGGCCGCAATGAAGAGAAGCTCCGGCCCAGTTCTCTTCCGAGGCGACTTCCTCTTCTCTGTGGAGCCCTCTTCGGCGGCTTCATGTGCAGGCTGTGCTTCCTTGCGCGACGAGATGTGTGCCCCGACGAGCCCCTTCAGGGCTATATCACACGTGCTGATGAAGAGCCGGTTCCTTTTTTCTCAGGGTGTTAGATCCTAAGTTAGCATGTTGCATATTTAATGTAAGATTTATGCATTAAAACTAATCGAAGCTGATGGCCGCCAGGCTGCCTTGCCAGGCAATGGCTCCTTGGGGCTGGCAGCGTCACTGAAGACTGGAAACGGCTGAAGTCACTGAAAACCGCAAAAATATGCCGCAAGTTTTTGTTTTTGTTCCCCTCCTTTTTTTGCTCTTGCTCAGTTCCTACTTAAGAGAACCAGCCCCCTCATATGCAGCGGGAAGCACCTCCCAAACTTCGTCCCGGAGCGCTAGCGTTGGGACCGATCTCTGGAGCAGCCTCACCAAGAGCAGTGGCGAAGACCTTAGGCAGGAGCAGCGATTTCACACCAAGCTACACCAAGTTCAAGGTCATCTAAATGGGTCCAGCGCCTCGTCAGAAAGTAGCCTGCAGAGGAGCAGATTAGTGTTGCCACAAAGAGGGAGACTGCGATGTCCTCACAGCTGGTCGACAAGCGCTCGGGAGTTTCCTGCATCTTCCTGCTCTGGAAACGGCAGCGTCCTCCACCGGAAGGGGCCCGAATGCTTGCCTCTCTGGAAAGATCGGCACCAGAATCCGAAGCGGAGACCTAAGGTGCTGCTGAGCCCGTGCCCTGTCGACTTAGCAACCCCCCCACCCCCTAGCAGCGTGAGGACCTGGCAAGATGATCTCCTCCATTGCAGCACGTACCCTGTCTGAATGAACCTGTATGCTGCTGTGTGGGCATACTGAGTGCTTCTTAACGGCCTCTGCGCCGGGGCATCAGTGCTGAATAGCCAAGCTTCATGTTTCAGTTACACTAGGCCGCTGTGAATCCACATTCCTGACAGCTCTGACACTCTGCATACTGAGATGACAGTGCCAAACATGGCGTTACGGCACCATGCCTTGAACCAACGCCTTCCCAAGGACAAAGTGACAAGGCATGGAACAACACGGCACTGCTGGGACTCGAGCAAGAGTATTGCAGAAAACTGTTTCCCTCTCTTAGTGCATCCGCAAGTTTGGTGGGTCACCAAATGCGGAAACAGGCTCAGCGTGAATTGGGTGAAAGCCAGGCTAAATTGCGTCCACATGCTGTCACGCGCCTCTTTACGGCATGGATAGGCATGGCAAACCGGTGGGTGTACAGCACATTCTGGCTGGAGCGGGACAGCTGCGGAGATGCGTTACATTCACGGCCAATGGGGCTTCAAACTTCTTCAGCAAAGAGACCTACGGAGGCTCCTCAGAAGCCGATCCTGTGGCGCGGCGCCTTCTGCGTGGTCTCTGGCTCATCCTCGTTGCAGCGCACTAGCTCGATCTTCGCCTTGCTGCTCTCAGCTTGTCCATCTTGTGAGAAGCTGATGCCACTTGAAGCATTCTTCTTCATCGGGGACATCTCCGTACGCGTTGGGTATGGATAGTCCCAAGGCTGCCGGAGGAAACTCCGGAGCTCCTCATAGTCCCCATCACTATGAGCCCCTATGCCACCCATCTGATCCAGCAGACCACAGTCACGATAAGTCTCGTCGTACCGGGCCACCTTGCAGTACCTGTACACCATGGCAGCTGCCATGGTCGCTTCGCTTCGGAAGTTGGCACGCTCGTCGTCTACAAGGACGATGTTCTCAAGCTGGAGTTTGCTGAGGATGCCGGACACGGGACTACTATCGCCTCCTCCCATCTGCGGAAACCATCGCAAGGGGTGCTCCGCGACATGGGTCAACACGTCTGCCTTGTGCCTGTGCACTTGTGAGCAAGGCGTCTGAAAGAGGTGCCACCGGCCGCTCTCCCAAAAGGCACCGTCACACTCGCCGGACTGTGCTGGCGACATGGACCAAATTGCACTAAAGTGCTCGGACAAGTTGGCCAGCTTCAGCAAGTTCAGCACAGCTACCACCCCGTGGGCGTTCTGAGTGAGGATGGCTAGCACACGCTGCTCTTTCTCGATGTCCTCGAACATTGCCTTGAGCTTCTGTACTCTTCCCTCGCACCACGGGGATTCAAAGTTATACTTCACAAGGTCTTCTTGGCTCCAGTCTTTGAAAGCTGCCTCTGCTGGAGTCCAGCCGACCTTGGTTGCAATGGCCTTGCTCTGGGGCATGAAGGTAGCCAACGTCAGCGTCTCATCGAAGTCAAAAACGACGAGCTTCACTGGCGGCTGAGTCTCCCAACCCCGAAAGTCCCGCTCCTGGCATCGGATTTGGAGGGTCTCTTTGCACATCCATGGGTCCTCCACGAACCGCTTCAGCGTGTCATAGTCCGCGTCATGGTGGGCACCAATGCCTCCCATGTTCTTGACCATGCGCATGTCGTAGTAGAGGTCTGCATCGTAGCGTGCCACCTTGCAGTAGCGCAGTATGCTGGCACCAAACTGACTTTGGAAGTTGGCCCGCTGGTCGTCCACTAACACGATGTTCCCCATCTGCAGGCTTTCGATGGCCTTGAAGCTGCTGTCCTGGCCAATCTGCGGAAACCATGCATCGGGATACTTCGTCACATGATTGAGGACATCTGCCTTGTGGTTTCGCACCTTGTCCGAAGGCGGGTCAAACAAGTTCCACTGGCCCTTCGTGTCTTTGTAGGCCCCGTTAGGCATGTACTGCCGCCAGGGCATAGTCCATACGGCACTGAAGTACGCATCCAGACCAGCGATCTTGAGCATGTTGATCACTGCCTGCACGCCCTTACCATTGTTGGTGAGGACGGTCAAGAATCTTTGCCGTCCATCAGCACCTTCCTTGATTGCCTGAAGCATCTTCTGGAGCTTCACGATTCGGGAGCCCTCGACCCAGGGCGTCTCGAAGTTGATCACCCGGGCGATGTCCTTCTCCTGACACACGCTAAGAGGCGCACACGTCACACAGTATAGGAGCAAGCAAAGACCATGAGGGGAAGTGACAGGAATGACACTGGGGAAGGACCGGAGGCCTCGTGTCCGGAAGTCGGAAGCTAACAGATTCGACACTTGCGGGTCCTCGTCATCTGCATACTCACAGTTGCCGGTCATGAAGGTCGCCAGAGTCAGGGTCTCGTCGAAGTCAAAGACTACCAGCTTTACCGGGCAGTCCTGTCGAATCAGTTCTTGAAAAAGTGATATTCTGATACAGCATACACCATCACTACATCATCATGAGAGTGAATGGTGAAGGACAGAGAGGGAAGTGGAGAAGAAGGGAGAAGGAGAGAGAAAGGAGAGAATCGTCGGGGTGAGGCCTTGCTGAGCTCACTGGGTGCGATGCGCTCCGCGCATCGCAGCCGAAACGTCGCCCTCAGGCTCGCCCGCTCCATGGGCCGCGAGCGGCTCGCGGACGCCGCCACCACACGGCGACCGGGGCCGGACCTAAGAAAGGAGAAGACACGCACATGCTCAAAAGGAATGCTACAAGTAACTTTACAGGAGATCAACCTGCGCCCCAGGAGGGAGGGGGAGGAAAGCGCACAGCAAGAAGTCACTGCTTACTGGGAGGTTGATCTTTACTTTTGGGTTGGCGTCGTTTGCTCGGCTGGCGGCTTCATCCCTACTAAACTCCGAAAGCCAGAGCCCTTGTTCTTCTCCATGCCAACAACGACTAACCGGAGCCCGTAGAGCGTTTAGACCGACACACGGGCCGAGTATCATGAGCGTCAGCTAGAGCTGGCTCCTCCACTGATCCAAGCCAAGAAACAGCAGCCGAGATGGGGGATTAGCCCCAAGCATGTTGGGGATTGCCCCCCCCCCCCCCCCCCCCCCCCCCCCCCCCCCGCCCCCCCCCCCCCCCGCCCACACCCCCTTGGCTGGTTCAGCAAAGCTGTTCTCCGAAAGTTCCTGGGAGGGAGCCTTCGCGTTTTTGGATGTGAGGTGATGTGAGCGCATGTGGCCTCACGTGGTCTATACACAACTGCTCACAACTGCTACACCGAACTCTCTACTCTTGTGAGGAAAGTTGATATCATGTCATTGGTAAGCCATGGGCTCACATAAGCCGAGGCGCCCTTCTTCGATACCGCTGCCGCAAATCCACCCGTGAAACGTTTCTTTGACGCTGCCAGCCTGGCCCATCGCTCTCAGCTAGCAGCTCGTGCTGCCTACCATGAGGCTTCAACGCCAAGAGAGCCAAAACGCCACCGGACAGAGCGAAACATAGCGAAGCCATCAGTTTCAGGAACTGCTCACGCATCACACAAAGAACGTCAGCCACTGCAAACGTTAGACGCATCAGTACGAACTAGGTAAACTAGGCAAGTAGGCCTGCCGATCCGCAATGCGCAGGAGCTCCTCGTGTTCGCGGCTCAGCTCCCAAACCTCGAGAAGCTCAGCAGCGCGTGCGTAGGAAGGTCTCTCATGCTACCGGTTCAGGGTTTAGAAATGTTTAGAAGTTACCCTGTAAGCTTTACCACTTTTGCTGGGCGATGCCCTGGGCACGCACTGGGTACGCCGACCGCGCGATCCAGGACCGCCCTGGAGATGTAGGGCTTCCCAATGGGCTCCAGGGGCTCCATCTTCGCAGGATGGAGAGAAAAAAAAAAAGCAAAGTGGGGGGGCTTACGAAAATAAGGGAACCCTAAAATGGCCCTCCAAGTGGCAGGATTCCCTTATAATAAGGACCCGGCTAAAAAAGAAGATGGTCCTGAATCCCTGGAGCGCAAGGTGGATGATCTTGCGGGACTCGTGCAGGAGCAGGACAAGCAGCTTGGCCCAAGGGTGGAAGCAAGGGATGTTCCAGGAGCCGAAGAAAAGGTGCCGGTTTCTGAAGAACAAACAAAGGAAGTGCCCAATGAGGGAGCCCTGGCTACACCTGGGAAGCATTCCTATGAAGCGGGAGACACGGTCAGTGGTCTTGTTCGCTACATCAATGTGCATGGAGCTTATTTGGACCATGGTGATATGACTGTACTGATTCCTGCAGAAGGGAAAGATACACCTCTTTTCAGTTAGGGATACCCATGCCCCACTTTTATTACACCCCGCTCAACCCTCATTCGTTTTTTCCCTGGGGGGTACCCTACGTTTTCAACATTTCAATAAACCTTTGCTCATTTTTGACATCATCCCCTCAACCATTCCTCACTAAAATCTCAATAAAAAATTAATAATTTTATGATAAAAATTTTAAAAACTTCATCATAAAATTTTCCAAAATTTTCATAAAAAAGAATATTTCAAAATTTTCATCATAAAAATCTTCCAAAAAGTATTTGTTGAAAAATTGCATTTTATAAAATATCTTTGTAAAAAACTTTGTAAAGATTTTATCAAAAAGTTTTGTAAAAAACTAGACATAGCTCGGAAACCCCCATTGGGGAAACAAGCGAATGAACAGGGCTTCTCGGCTCTGAGCTTTCACTGAGCTCCTGGGCTCCTGCCTCGGCCAGGTGCAGCAGGGAGGCCAGCACTCCTTCCTCCAACCAAAGGCCGCTCCTGGGAGCTTCACGGTGCAATTCCCGCGACCCGGAAAATTCGGAATCCCTCGAATCCAAAGCTCAGGATCAAAAGAGTTACTGCTAAATTCTCCGAGTGGCTCGCAGCTGCTGGCGCAGTCGCCTCCGTCTTCCGTGCTGGTGATGTCGGTCTCGTCCAAGGAAGGAGGAGGCCTTCTTGCTGGCATCTCGGTGTGCTCGGTGTGCTCCACTTCTGGCTCCTCCCTGTCCCCCAAACCGAGCCTTTTCTTTCTTGTGGCCCCGTTGGAAGCCACGGAGGCCACGGAGGCCACGGAGGCCGCGTCGACGATGTCTGCGACGTCGACGTCGGCCGCGCTCGGGTTCGCTGGGTTCACGGGACTCGTGCTTCCCAGGAGGGTGTTCAACTGCTGCAGCGACCTCTGGCTCGCGACCTCTTCTGCAGCGCTGACGCTGGACGCCATCGAGGCATCGTGAACCTGAGCAAGGAAGCTGGTAGAAAGTGAATAAAGTACATCAAGCACCAAGAAGAACGCCCTCAGGGACACAGCCCTGAGCTGCACTCTGTGTGCAGCTGCGTCGCTGGGTGATCCAGGACTGGAGGACCATCAACAGGACGATCGGCAGCACTGGGGTGGCTGTAAGCAGTTTGAGGCCCAGGTCGAAGATCTCTTGGAACCCTTCGATCTGGCAGTTCATGTTCGGAGTCGGACAGGCCAAGAGCTTCCAAGATACTTCGTTGCCCACGTGGCTGGGACGTCTCTGATGTTGAAGTTGAGCTGGACCTTCCGAAATTGCAAAGACTTTGCCTACAGAGCACTGGTGCTTGTTAAAAGATGGCACTGCGATAGCCTCGACGGCATCCTCACACAGCACCCCCCCCCCATAAACTTCTGTTTGGCTGCCTGATGGCTGCAGCCACGCCTACAAACGCCGAGACACACTGTGCTAAGGTTATATGCCGACACCAACTCCGGTCAGCATGCGTGCAGAGTGCTATACCAACGGACCTGAATGGGCCACGTGCGTGAACCAGCATGAGGCGACTGGAGTCTTGGCGCAGCACCCTTGAATCGCACCTTCTTATTCAACGAGGTGGGCTTGCGTGGCTTGAGCCAGCGTATGCTTCTGTGGTGACACACACCAGGCTCGGGCAGGGCCCCACAGGACATATAGGAAGCTCCCATGATTATTGGAGCGAATGTTGTAGTGGCTTGTAGTTGCGACCGATCCCATCTCATCGGATAGGCCCGAGCCTCTTCCAATTGACATTCGTCATGGGTAGAGAAAGGGACGAAGACGCTTCGCGTCTCCGGATATAATGCCGCTGTTATCCTGCGCACTTGGACTGAAAAATCCCATCAGCTGGCTCACTGCCAAATTGAGGGAGATGGGATGGGATGCGGCGAAGGAACTTCTAAGGCCGACGAGCGTAGCTGTAGGCCCTTGCAGGCTGCATGCCTTTGAGCATGCAGCGAACCCTGCTAACCCTGTGGACAAAACGGCTAAATACAAGTATCTGCTCGGTCTCTGCCCTGTGGCGATTCACACGATTCTCGTACATATGTGCTGCAGAAGGACGGCACCTGGACAAGCCCCGCACCACTGCGCTGCTCGAGGACGACACAAGCCACAAGCCCTCCACACCACCCGGTACGGCTGTGCGGCTGTGCGGCACATCATTTTCCAGCAGCTAAGGCAAATGGGCTGCAGCCATTCATGTTGTAAAACCTCGGTGAGGATGGTGCGGGAGCCTTTTCACTGGCCAGGGCCAGAATGCTAAATGACAGAGAAGTTCCAAACAACATCTGACCACTTGGGACCATGCGCTTCCGCATAACGCGTCACGTCCGAGGTGCTCTTTGGCCTGCTGACTATCTCGACTGCATCCTCTCACAAGTTAACTATAGGGATCCATTTGGGGACCCCGGGAACGTTTTTATAAAGAACGCAATGGAAAAAGGCATCCAAGAAGGGGACCCTCATGCAAGGCATTAGCAGAACAATCTCTCTCATCCCCGCTAGGCCGCTCACCGTCGCCATCGGGGATTGTTGATCTTTCGGAGTTCAGGAAGGGGTTCCTGCGCACCATCTCCATCCAGGAATACATCATTGATCAACTTTTCTGCAACTTGAAGTTGAAGTGCAGGCTGTTGCATTGAGGGCAGAGCCCCCTTCGGTATGGTTGGTGCCGACAAGGTCCGCTGAAGGACCAGCGACTTGGCAGCGCTCAGGGCATGGAGTGAGAGCAGCGAGAGAGCGATGCTGGAACGCAACAAGGGTCCACACGTTTGCGGGAGTGGTCACCTGAGGCACTCCATCGAAATCTACAGCTTCTGAGAATTCTTCTCAGATTCTAGACTGTGCGTAGAGGCAAGGTAGGACCCCCACTGAGAGCTGCGAATACGGCTGCGTCCTGCCATTCTGAAGGATGCTTAGAAAAGCTCAGAAGTCACAGTCACTGAGCGATTTCACGCTATGAGCTCAGCTCCTTGGCTGCAGAGTGCACGCCAAAGTGCCAGGCATATGACCTTATCATCTAGGAGACAGGCACTTGCCGGGTCGCACCTCTAAGGTCAGTCGCCCCGTGCATAGATGTTCCGTGGAGGGTCTCCCGGCTGCTTGCCGTGCAATAGACTGCTGTCGATGCACTACCTAAATCATCTACACCCTTGCGCTCTCGCTCCAAGCGTGAGCACAACAATTTGTTGATGCAACTGCTTGCCGCCTGCACTGCTGATTCTCTTCAAGCAGGCCGGAAAAGAGGCAACAGCAGGTGACAGACTCAGGTCATCTTCCCCAATGTTCCACCAGGCGCCGGGACTGCTCGAAGAAAACCTTTGCTGTCCCCAGCTAGGCCCGCAGAACATGATATTTTGATGGCAACTCCATCAATATCCAAACTCGAATCTACCAGAATGTCCAACGGGGTAGCAAAGATGAAGAGCGTCTGCGGGCCAATACGAACATAATTGGCCAGCCACCCCTGCCCACAAGTCAGGCTTGACCGCCATTGCAATGCTACTCTGATCCCCTGCAGAAGCTGGAGCCTGCCTTAAAGAAAACGAAGGGCCCCTGCTTCTTGAGCAGCCCTGCGACATTGAGCGGAGCTCCATCCTCCGAGCTCATGACCTCACCGGATGGCGACCGCAAGCTCTTGAGCCTTTAAGCTCATGCAGAAACCGCACCGCATCGCACCGAGCCTTGGTCTTCAAGACGTCCACAGGCGCTGTCACCTAACTAGTTTAAGATATGCCGAGATGCACAGACTGATCTCAGAAGGAAACTCCATGTCTACCCCCCTCCGTGGCGCACCGTTGTGGACACGACCCCAGCCACCAGGCTGGCCAGGATGTGAAGCGGACCTCCTCCAGAAGGTCGGCTTCCCGTCTATAGAGCGGCCTGAACCTTTATTTGAACCTTTGCTCAACAACCGATGGTTGCCATATGTCACTGTCACCCCGTCCTTCAGGAATGCCAGCTCGGTGCAAGGCGGACTTTGCCGATGCCTGGAAGATCCACGTCGGTTCGGGCATGTGGAAACAGGTGGGCAACTTGCCGGCAAGCTTCATACGGAACGACTTGGCTGGCAGTTAGCAGGGCAGATCGCGCAGCTGCCCAGCCGAAGCCCCTTCCAAAAGCTGCGAGGCCCTCCTGGCAGGTGGCAGGTGGCGACATCGTCGCCGAGCAGTCGTGTATCAGCATACTATCAGCAATGGGCGCAGACGGCATGGGGCAACTGCAGCAACACTGCCGCAACCGTACAGCACATGCATCTCCTCCTGCAGCATGCTTCGAAGGAGCTCCAGCTCTCCCGCTGTTCCAGGTCGTGCTTGGAGACGCACTTTGAGCACTTCAAAAGGGTTGCCGACGACGGTGGCCAGCACGCCCGCGATCATTGCGCCCCCGGTTTTGTTCCCCACTTTTTGTTGCAGCGGCTCGCACAAACCGATGCGTACGGAGCCGTAGGTGGCGGCCCGCAAGCCGGCGGCTTGAACGCCGGAGAAAAGGCCTCGTGCGCTTCGTACACCACATGTCAGAACAGAAAAAGGAATTACACCACCGAAGACCCCAAACAGTCAAAGGCACGTCAAAGAAACAGTGGAGACGACGGGAGACAAAGGGAGACGATTCTGCTGTTTCATCTTTTTTCGGCGGTCTCTTGTTGAACACTTCGCACTTCGCACAGGCGTGCCTCGAAGGCCCACCCTGGATTGAAACTTCGCCCAGAAGCTCACGAAGCGTCGGATGCTGAAGGCGTCCGCCTGCAATCTAAGCATGGGGGAGGGAGGGAGGCTGGCTGCATCTTTTGGTTACAAGAGCTGCTTGAGCCCCACAAGCCCCGAAAAGGCCTGGGCATCTTTGGCCGACAGCTGGAGCTGCACCTTGACAACATCGATGGGATGCGTCACCACAGTGGCGCCCACCACCGCAATCCCACTGGCTACCATGTTCTCCGTCACGGACAGCTTCCTCATAGCACAGGGTTCTGTTGACCTCTAGCGGGATCGAGCTCAGACCCGAGGATTTGTTGTTTCCCTTTGGGCGCATCTAGCTCCAATACTCCAAGAATGCCTCCGAGGATGGAAACCCTAAGCCAAGGAACCATCGAGCCCCTAATGCGAACCCCTCCTGTCCTTTGGGCCGCCATGGCCGAAGCGGCGAAGCTGCAAGAGATCGCGGAAGCTCGATCGCATGTCAGCGATGGAGATTTCACGTTTGGCGAGGCAAGCTCTCGTGCCTTCTGCGTATTCTTCAGATGTCGGCAGTAACATAGGACAACTATCCTGGCCCAAGCTGTGCTCAAATGCATCTGATGGCATCTGTCATCTGCGAGCCGAATGGTGGAACGACAGAATCCAAAGCACGGAAAGCTTCAGAATAAATCGAAAACTCAGGCGCTCAGTAGCCGCTCAGCGCTTCATGATGGGAGCCGGGGCTGGTGCTGAGCTGCCCTGTGCTGCCACTCTTCCCTGAGGTCTCACACGGGTCTCACTTAAAGGTGTCTTAAGGTCTCCAACAGCAGCAAATGTGGAGGAATGTGAAGGGGTCCCGGGAGTCCAGGCGCATGGTTTCCCTCGCAGGAGGCAAGAGCCTGAGACTTGAACCGCACTCGCACTCCGTGGATCTGCTTGCTGTGAGCTACGGGGGACACGGTACTGGGGATCCCGGCACCTTGGACTGCACAGGACTTTCCAGCAGCCAGCCTGCAAACAGGACAGATGGCAGCAGCCTGCTGCAAGATGCTGCAGCACGAGGCAAAGGTAGCTCCAGCTCGGACCCATGCGCCTATGTGACTGCACTCGAACAACTATTTCTGCCGACATTGCGTCATCTCGCAACGAAGGTGATGGAGCCTACCCTACATGCTTCGCAGTCTGCGAAGTCTGCAAAACTTAACGAGCCATTAAGCTCTTTGCCGGCAAAACGACGGATGCATGTGAATTCAGCGCCTGGGTTCATGGAAAGCCGGCTGGTTCAGTAAACGACTGGACTACCAGCTGTTTGTGATCTACACACGCGCACAGGATGGCCATGCCACATGGAATCAGGCCACTTGTATCTAGGTACACATCTAGTTGACGGCGTTAAGGATTCTTCTGCAACAGATCAATGTCGATGGTGATGTCTGACGACCTGATAACTTATGTTTGTCCATCCAGCGGTGCACAAGGACGGGCCTGTGCACGACAACTGGAGGAACATTTTGGCTCCAACCTACGGCGTGTGTTCTCGACCTCCAATCGGATTGGAGCACGAAGCGACATAAACAGCACAACCTGTCTGATCACTCTCAAACGGATCAGCAAATCGTTCACAGCATCGATACTCTGAAGTCAACACAAACAGACGATGGAAGCTGACCGACACTTCACTCAAGCAGGCAGGTTGGCGACGTACACTTGCAAGGCCACCGAAACTGCTGCAAATTGAGCACTGTGAGCCGTGCTCTGTGCACTGGCCCGTCCATTCTAGCCATAGCTGTGCAAATTCGTCATTGTTTGACTCATGCAGAAGGAACTTTCAGGCCAAAACATCGGCCCACCGCGTCCCCAACCACGCTTCGCATAACGAGTGTCAGCAGAGATGGACCTGGGTGCAACACGACTCTACGCAGGCAGCACACCGATAGAGGCCCCTGCGATGCGGACTAAGCTCGCAACTTCAACTTGTTTCCTCTTCCCGTCCTTCTTGGGTCCACGTGGAAGCCTGTGACACTTGCTCATCCCGTTGCGCACACATGGAAATGGTAAGAATCTGAGAAAGCACCCTGACAACCCCAAGCCCTAAGCCCATACTCCCAGGCCTCCAGTTTGCCCAAGCTGTGGAAGGTGGTGGAGATCGCCGGTGCTCGAGGCAATCGGTTGCGCTCTGCTCTGCGTCGTCTGGGGCAGCCTGCTCAACAAGGGAAATTTGGGATTATAAGGGACCCTCATAGTAGACCCCTAGATGGCAGTATTCCCTTAGAATAAGGACCCCAATAAGGCACCCCTAATTTCGTAAACCCCCAAGGCTTCGACCCCCTTCTGAAGAAGTTTTCTACAGGCCACAGCTCCTGTGAACGCAAACCAACTACGGTGGAGAGGCTTTATCACCGCCCAGTTGCTGCGAGTCATCTGCTGGAGGCAAGCGCAAGCGCTTCTTCTGTGGCGAAGGCGCTGCCTTGGGAGACTTGCCCTGAGGCGCTGCATCCGGCAGAATGTTGCGCCCACGGCTTCCGCGCTCATCTAACAGCGGGCCTGCAACAAACTTCTCGGAGAGGGGCCCCGTGAAAAAACACATGCGTCGTCATTACGACTGTATTGACGACTCTCACTATCAAAGGTCTACTTGCCATTTGAGTTAAAGTAATTACTCTTTTTTCGTTGCATGCTTTCTTGCGGAAGTGCGGGATTCATGGAGTGTCCCATCTCCCAGCCTGGCTGCTCGCCTCTGTTGCACGCGACGGTGAACTTAGTTCTTTCGAGGACATGCCTCGGCAGCTCGTGTGACCTTAGCAGGCGCATCTTCAGGCCGAGTTTGTGAGTTCTTTAGGCGGCCATTACCCTAAACCCCAACAGCCCGCGCCCCCTAACCCGAGCCAAAACTCTCAAAACTCTGAAACTCTCAAAACTCTGCAAAATCTCAAAACTGCTCATGACTTCCTTCGAAACGGCGTCGTGGTGTCTAGGAAGTGCCCTGCAAAGGAGTTGCCGTTGAGCTCCAAGTCGGCCTTCGTCCTCAAGAACCACCTAAGAGCTCGGATTGCAGCTCCGATTGCTGGAGTTTGGGGGCTTCCTCTTCGGGCTTCTTTTATACGAACTCAAGGGATTCAAACAAAGTTGGTCCATTGTGTTCAAGGGTCTTGTCCACCGGACGGACTGGGTAGCCCTCCGGGGCCATGCCGGTGGAGAGCTCATGAGCTCTGGCCATGGCAACGACTCCCCAGCTCTTGGCACTTTACCCCGACTACTGAGTTGTGCAAGTCATGCAAGTCTCGTCGCACAACTCCGAGCCATGCGGGTGCTTTATTCTGTTCTTGTGATGCGAACGAATCGTGCAAAGAGCCCCTCCATGAAACTGCTTCTACAGGGGGCAACGCTCGGACAGTCGAGCAGCAACGGGAAGCCGTGAGATTCGCACGGTAGATCGCAGACTTCCAGGTCTGTTGACATGTTTCTGCCACATCTGTGCAAGTTGCATACTGCATCTGACATACGATGCCGCTGCCTAGCTCATGAGTAGTGGTCATGGGCGTGTCAAACCTGACAGGCACTGCGGCACAGACTTTGCACATCCTGGGTGGGTCTGGGTAGCTCATGGCAGGTCGCTGACCTTTGTCCACTTCTGAGTACGTGACTTCTCCTGCGGCCCTCTTGCCATGTGCCTTATGGCGAGAACCTCCGAGTTCAGAAATGCGATGAGGTGCTCTTTCCAAAAAGAGGGCACCGGGGCCTCCATGCAGTTGGGGTCCATCCCTTCGGCAGACATTCGTTGTTCTGGAGATTGTTTGATCTCCTGTCAAATGGATGTAGCTGCCGAGCACAGTCGCATTCGGGACGTGCGCGCGTCCTTCTCCACAACTGTCTCTAATCGATTGTGGGCGTGCCTGCCGGGGTGGGTGGGTAATTGCAGCTCACACCACATAGCTAAGCAAACCAGCGACAATCTGCACATTCTAAGACCTCTTCCCCTTGGTTGCTGCGTAGCTCAGGGGCTCTGGCTTGAGGCGGAGGAAGCCGCCGCTGGCGCTGAGCTGCGCAAGATTCATCTGGAAGCCCGATCGGGGGCCTTGTCTTGCTCGACATGTGTGCCATGATGTGCAACAACAGCGGTAGTAGCCAGCAATAGCACCAGCACCAGCAGCAGCAGCAGCGGCAGCAGCACAATGTGCTATGTCATCGAATAGGAAAAGATGCAAACAGATGACAACTGACACGCGAACTGAGCTTCAGGCCTGAAAGCCGCGCTTCAGTCTCCCTGCGAATGCGGTCCTTCCATGTGATCTCCACCTGGCCAATCTCTGGCAATGCAAAACCCTTAGGAACACATGCGTGCTTTGGCTTTGGCACGACATGCACTGAGCTTGCAGTTAAGCTGGCACTCTGTTGCTGCACTCGTCTTCTGGGGTCCTTGCCCTCACACGGTCAAACCTCGAGTCGATGGCGAGTGAAGACATCACAGAATTAAAATGCGACCAGCTACAAGGACAAGCAGAGCCGCGTGCTGGTTGTACATGATGCCTCCGGATGGATCTTGTCGATCCCCCAACTCACCCATGGCTGCCTGATGAGAATCTTTGCAAGAGCGTGCAGAGCAAATATCAAAATCTGACGCCTGCACTCGCCTGGTAATGACTGCCCGAGACAGGATATATGTACAATGTCTGTAAAGGTACTGAGCCGAAGTGGAAACAAGCATCGTCTCCATGCAAACCCCCGACAGCAAGCATCTTCTGGGACAATTCCCCTCGATGCCCACGATGTCTTTTCGCTTGTTGTGGCATGGGCTTGCTCTAGCTGCGGGAGCATCACTCACCAATTCATTCCATCTTGTTTCCGAACAGCACCCGCAAGTTATATAAGTTGAGTCAATTGAACTGCAGCCCGCGCCTAGAGCTGCCATTCGTTATCGGTCGACCCGTGGCACATATGCGCACGAACAAATGTGTACAAGATGCGGGGGTCGCCCTCAGCTCAGGCGTGAACCTCAAGATGGCACAAAACGTGGAGCGTTGTTGGCGCAACGTTGGCAAAACGTTGGCAAAACATTCTCTCCTCTGAAAACCCCGTGCCTGGCTCAGGTGAGGTCCGTCCAGGCCTTAGCGCTCTGCTCCCTGACCAAAGATCAGAATTATACATCTGTGAAAACATTTGTCTTTTAGCATCTATATACATATTTAACATCTACATACACACATATAAATATAATATATATATATATATATATATAAACAAAGACATAGCTTCTTCTTCTTCTTCTTCTTCTTCTTCTTCTTCTTCTTCTTCTTCTTCTTCTTCTTCTTCTTCTTCTTCTTCTTCTGCAACCTTTGGGGCCCCAGCTCTCCGCTCTCTCTTCGGCAGCAACAGTCTCCAAAAAAAGGCACGGAAGGCCCTCTCACCATTTCATAAGAAGCCCACTTGCGCTGACTGCCCGGGTCACAGGCGGAGGCCGTGGAGGCGGCTGCTCATGCAGCATCGGCAGCGAGCGGGGACTCGACACCTCCAAGTTTCAGCTGACTGCGGGTCTCGGAGGCCCCTGAGGAGTCTTAGGTTTTTGGCTGCTATCATACTCGGCTTCTCATCCGACATGGTGAACCCCCATAGACTGCCAACGCCGGCCTGCGCTGGCCTTGGATCCTCATGGTCCATACCTCGTAGCACGCCGATTCATTTCGCTGACGCTCGCTGGCCAGGAGACACTATATCTGCATGCGAGACAAGGACCGTTGACACCGCTCTGGCTCGACTTGCGATCTGTTGTTTCTCGGTGCCCTAGACGTCTTGAGATGCAGCTTGCGTACAGCTGGCGTACAGCTTGTATACACTGGCACTGCTCCTGTATGACACCTTGAAAGGCAACAGAAATACCTTTGTGAAGGCTGCAGCTTTCCAAGACATCCTGTGTAACATATCATTGCTACGATGCTTTGCCAGGACTTCTGCAATAGCGCGTCCCCCCACAGACAGAAAGCCTCTACTGCTCAATCTTGGAGCAAGCTGCTGCGCACAGTTCGGGGGCTCGTCGCTGCCACAGGCGCGGCTGGCGCGGCTGGCGCGGCGGGCACAGCTGCACTTCTTCTGTCCGGGGAGGCCGGCCTGTCATTGCCCGCTCACTTATCCAGAACTTCTCCATCCCTCAGTCCTTCCCCAACTGGGCCCTCGGCCATGCTTCGGTGGGAGCCATTGGCTCGGCTCGGGCCGGCCGTGAGGCACGCCAATGCTGTACCTTGTGCAGAGGCTGTGTGTAAACAAACAGCATATCATATTTGGTCCGGTCCAACACACTACACGACAATCGCAAATCGACAACATTCGATGGCGGCACCTCCCTGCGAAGCTGCTCGGCCTCCTTGCGCAGACTTGCAGCCTGCGATAGCCGAAGGCAAAAAAAACACACCGTATTTGTAGCGTTGAGACTTGTCTGGCTCGCATAAAATGCCACAAGACCAGCAGCAACAACTGCAACAACGGCCACATGTTCCCCTGTCGCATCAGTATTCTATCAGCGACAGCTGAAGAACTTCCAGTGCCATCTTTGCTTATGGGCGGCTACGACAGCTACGAGCACGGCTGAACCTCGCTGGCTGCTGCACTTAGCAGAGAGGGCTGGGATATCATCGATGGTTCCTGAGATCTGCATGCGGTATGGCTGCGCAGCGCTGTGCTGCGCTCGAAGGCTGAGCTTGCCGCCATCCAGGACTTGACTTCTGCTGGCGACATCAAGTCGTGCATGAGGTCCTCCAGGCTCCAGCGGGGAAAGCAACTGCGAAAGCTTACGAAAGTCAGGAAGGTGGGAAAGGCATACCGAAGAACTTGGGCCTCCCGATTCGACAACTTGCTGGCAAAAACCTGTGAAGCTCTAGGAGCTGACGCCTGACCTGGCACAGGCGAACCAGAAACACTCTGTACACCATGGCAACAGGATTTCACGTGGAGCATCCTCGCCTCCGGAGACAAAAGGTGTGAGAGGAGACTCGGGCAACGTAGGTTGGGGTGCTGCAACCTCACGTCATCTCAAACCCTCAGCTTGAGTCTCTGCCTTGCTTTCTGAGCCCTTAGCTGGCTGCGAGCTGCTTGGGCCTGTTGATGCCCTGAGCTCGGTTGTCTCAGCATTCACTGGGCAGCAAAGCTCTGCTGCAAGAGTTACTTTTCGCGGCCTCTCGGTCGGAGGCGGCTGGGAGCGCAAAGCATGGAGGGCCTGTGGTATATATATATATATATAGAGCAAGAAGCCATGTGCTTTGTAGTCCCACATTCTCCCGTATGGGAAAACTGTTGCCCCATCATGTTGCGTTCGTGCGGATTGGGATAAGGTGTTCAAGGTTCAAGCTGCTCAAAGACTCCCTGTGCACAGCCTCCTGAGCCATCTCCTGCTCCACCTGCCATGGGGCTACGTGAGCAGACCAAGCAGTCTCCATATCTCCCGACACTTGCACAACAGTGCCTTCTACCCGCATGTTGAGTACCATATATGAATACCAGCGGGGCCGACGGAGTTCATCAAAGCCCTGCGGAGGCCGTCGCAGACCGCGCTCTCGCGCAAAGCTGCCTCTGCGGCAGAAATCATGTACTCACATGTACCCACAGCACTCCTCCACCTGATGGAACGTTGCCTGCGACTGCTCGTAGATTTCATGGCGCAGTCGCTGCTCCGAAAACAGAGCCTCGCCAAAAAGAAGCACCGGTTTTGCTGGGGTTCTGTTTCTATCTGTTTCGCCATGCTTTGCCACCTGCAAAGGCCGTTGAAGTGGCAAGACTGCACAGAGAGGAGACAAACACATTCCCCCTTCGCTGCCATGCTATCAAGCATGCCACACACGCTTCCTTTCTCAAGACCAAGCATGCAGGCTCAAGGTGGCCAAAGCAAGGAATGTTGAGAAGCGTTTGCACGCACGGCGGCTCACACACGACCAAATTCGCATGAGATGCTAACAAGTCGCCACTGCGTATCGCAACTCCTTCTCACCCTGCCGCCCCGGTTGCTCCGGTCCCTCCGTCAGCCGTCGCCCTAAGGAAGCTGCCAGCTGTGACAGCCGTGGCACTAAGACAACCGCCCCGGAATCCTCCCCGGCATGCAATGTTGAAGTGGGCACGAGCGTCGCTACATGCATTCGATGCCTGGTCCGCCTTCGCTTCCGCCTGGCGATTCAGAGCTGTCGAACATGCATTGATGCAAGCTGTCTGTGCAATATGATGAAGTACAGTGCTGCCGTGAAGGGCTCCGATCTGGTTCAAGTGCGAGCAAAGCCCTTCCCAGGCGCCTCGCACGCAGCTCTGATGGCATCTTGCTTCAGCAGCACCTCCAACGTAGCTCAGGCAGTGCACCAGAGAAGGGGCGAGGCAGTGGCAAGGCAGAGGTGGGGTAGGGAATGGTCACCATGGTCCACCTCTTTCTCAGCACTGCTCTCAGCCATGTGCAGGGCCACTCTCCCTCTGCGGTCCATGGCCTGCGCGAAGTGAACTCAAAGCCCAAGTCTTAGCTCACCACGATGCACCGCGGGTGGAATTTCGGTGCATGCGCGGACGCACCTCGATCTGCAAGATGCGAGCTTCCGCAGCCTCGCATCAGTGCCACGAATACCGGAACCGCTCCCAGTGTCACCGAACTATGGAGAACCCACAAGCTGCACTTTCGCCCCGCACAGATGAGACCCCACGACGCCAAATACGACGGTGCAGCGCAGCCATGCCGGGCCCTGCCTCTGCCGTTGCAACTGCCGCTGTCTCAACCTGCTGCGGGAACGTGAAGCAGCTGACTGCCATAAACACCACGAGAGACCAATATTCACCGTGGATAGGAGCAGATGAAAGCCTCTCGCAGCTCGTGGCGCAGGGTCTGAGCCACTTCTTGCTCGTGACCTGAGCCCCCCGCCATCCCTTGCTCCACACATTTCCAAAAGCTTGGTTGGGACTTTCTCACATCGCCCGAGGTTTCTGAGGTCCCGGCGGAAGGCCTGCCCCACAGCGGAGTCTTCATTGGGGGCCTGACCAGCTGTACTGAGGTGTGTTCATGCACGGCTGATGACGCCTCCACGGCAGCTGTGTCTTTGACACAGCAGCGGAACAAGGGCAACAGTTCTCGAAAACAGCCCGAGAAATTCCACTGCAGGGTACCCCGCACCTCGGCCGTCTGGCCTTGCACTGTTGAGCGAATCACCACAAGTTGCCAAGAACACAGCGGCATCTACTTGGAATCGACCTTCATCTACCGCCAGATGCACCGACTTCCCTTCTAGTCACAGAACCTGGATGTGCATCTGCACCGGCCTGGGCCTGTCATGGCATGCGTGGTGTCCCAAGATGCGTATCTGCAACTCAGTGTAACTTATACAGTATCCGGACAGTGCAGCTATACCTCACAGCTAGTAGCTGAATAGTTAGCTCCGCTCTCCCTCTTCCCTCTCTCTATTCCGGGTCCCGAAGATCTCTACAGCGCCTCCGATTGCGCAGACTCCGCGGAGCGTGAGTGTGCTGCAAGCTCATCCCGCGCCTGTCTCACTCAGACAAGCCAAAAGGGAAGACAAGAAAAAAGCAACGAAACGGCACAAAAAAAGGGCTAAGCTGCGAAGGGAGAATGTGGGGGAAGGGCTGTGTAAAGAACTTGCAAATCGAGCTCGCCGTCCTCCGAGAGGCGTCTCTTCAGCTCTGTGCTCAGCTCCTCCTGCATGTTCAGCGAGCACCTTAAACAACGGCAACTTGGCATAGGCGGCGAGGTGAAGCAGCAAAGTCTTGCGTAGGGCTCAATGGCTCAAGGGCTCAAGGGCTCAAGGGCTCAAGGGCGGTACTTCAGCTGGCGAGCCTCTGCCGCCTAGCAATTTGACAAGCCCATTGAGGTGAAGCTGCTTCCAGTCATGTGCATGCCTGCTTCTGCTCTTCCACCGGGTCTGAAGGGGAGTGCTGAGATGCAGGCACCTGGGGCAACTCTTACTAAAGTTCTGACCAGTAGCTTGTGACCTAGGATTCGACGCACCACTTGCTAAGCGTGTCGAACAGGGGCAAAGCTTGTCCTCTGCTCTACGAGTACGCTTAACGCATCCACATGGTCACAGCTAGCCCTACCGCTCAGCCAGTACTTCGAGCTGAAGGAGGCGATGATGAGGCCGGTACACTTTGCAGCACCTGGTGCTCCTCACCAGGTACACAGGCCGCACACTTCTCTTAAGCATTGCAAGGATGCCGGAGGTGCCATGGCTGGCTCCAAACTGTAGAGGGGCACGTAGTATCCCCAGCTGAACCGAGGTATACAGTCTTCAGAATGCTCGGCATGGCGAAGGCTGCAATCGGTAGGATAGTCCCCTCAACAGTCGGCAGACCGCGGTGCGTCCTTGTCAGCTTGGTCCTTAAGTGCGCGGATCTCCTGGCGTTGCACCCCTCAGTTCCCCCATGTCGGCATGCGCCCGTATGCCCCATGACCGCGTCTGGGTTCACGCATGTTCACGCCTCCCGCGCCTGTTCCAACATCGACTCCTCAGAGAACGACGTTCAAGTTATGAGATGCAACTGTGAGCCCGAAAAAAACCAGGTATTCACAAGTAGTCACTCCCAACATGTCCCAATTCTTCCAGTCTCCGGCCTTTGCTGAGATTTCATGAAGGTACATCGCCTCCCAAAGTGTCCGAGCTCTCGTGAGCTCTCATCACAGAGCGGCTCACAAGAGGAGCCTTTTCGGTCGCCTCCCGCTCCCGCACGCTTCCATCTCCCGACAAGCTGTCCTGCATGGGCCAAGAGCTTCTTAGCAAGTCGGCGTAGCATGCACCCGGAGCAATGCATGGCAAACGTGCAGATCCGGGCGCTTGCAATCCACCTTTTTGTCGGCCTATCTGAAAGCGGAATGCTTCGTCGCAGGCGCTCCTCGGCATCCAAGTCCGAAGGATTCTCAGAACCGAAAGAACAGGGTATGCGGGTTTCCAAACAAAAAAGGAATCTCCATTTGCTTCGAGCGATCCCCACCCTCATGGAAGCTCCCATGAGATTCTGCTGGCGCAGAACAGAGGAGGAGCAGCCTTATGCAAACCTGACTGCTGGGGAAGCAGAACAGAAAGAACAGCGTCTGGGTCTGTGGAGGTCCGTGTAGCCCAGCGGCCGTGGCGGTGAAAGCACTTGTCACCCCACTTGCACCAGCCCTCTCTGGCAAAGAACTTGCATATTTCCTGCAAAAGATCTCTGCAAAAGCTGCAAAAGCGTTGCAAGGATGCCAGCAAAGGTTCAAAGGCTCCACACGAGAAGTCCTGCACGGCGGGCACTGGCGAGGTCACCACCGGACCCGGCGCCTTACCCAAGCGCTCGGACAGGGCTTTCAGCGCAGGACCTGAATGAAGCCGAGTGAAGCTGAGTCACCGCTTAGCTCTTTATGCACTTTGCATGGCACTGGCCCGAGGCCTTCGTGGCGTGTAGATATGCGGGTGTCGCCCCCCTTTCGGCCACCTTGCACCGTTCTCAGCTTGGCAGTTTTGCATCAAACGATATCACTCGCCACACTCTGCTGCCTAACTGGCGAGCAACAATGTTGTCATGTCATGACAACGCTTCACAAGAAACACTCCGAGCAGGCCTTGTTTTCCAAAGAGCTGCCCTGACGTTCCAGCACTTGCGCCTTTTGCGGCAGCAGGCTTGTCCGGCACGTGGGTCTTGCTGGGGCCCGACAACTTCTGCATCACGCTCTGAAGATATGATTCTGGTTCGCCTTGGTGCAGTTTTGACGGCATCAGCCACACACACACACACAGACACAGACACACACGCAGACACACGTAGGCCCTGCCCATCTGCATCCAGGCAGCCTTCCCCTGACTGATCATGAAAATAACGACATTGGTCCCCGAACTTGCACCAGCCTTCTCTGGCAAAGAACTGGCACACCTCCTGGAGAAGAGGGTGGGTGTCAGGTAGCAACAAGCAAAAGAGGCCTCGAAACCCCCCAAAAAAAACTCAACGAACACCTGAGACCCCAACCACCTTATGAGCATTCTTATTATTATTATTATGATTTTTTGTTTCTATTGCTATTATTATTCGTATTATTGTTCTATTATTATGATTATTATTATGAGTATCATTATTGTTATTAGTACTGTTTTACCCTGGGGCTCTCCTGCGTGCCCTGGGTACCGGAGTTCGGTGCTGCGTGCCATGGGGCTGAGAGCTTGGCGGCGACTGCCTGCACGCTATTGGACCTGAGTGATGGGTTGGGGTTTAGGAGAGGCGCTTGAGTTTTTCTTGAGAGTTTTCAGGATTTTTGGGGGTTTCAGTGCGTTTTCAATTTATAAAGGTTTTTTAGGGTTGTTGAAATGTGGTTTTGTTGGCGGGGCCTTTAAGCAGTTTGGGCTTTTGAAACGGTTTTGAGGCTTCAGCGCTGGGTAGTTTTGGGTCTAGGCCTGTCGGGCATTTGGGGTTCGGAGTTCAGGATTCTACCTTTTGAGGAGTTGGGCAGGGTTTGCCGGTGCCCTTACTCCACGACCCCGCGACTCCACGCTGTAACTGGTCTCATGCAGAAATTTGGCAGACTCTTGCATCTTGCGAAGTCGGTATTCGCTGGGAGTAGAGCAATACAATGCACCTGAAGACCCCAGCCTGTTGTTGCCACCAATAATAATACTAATAACAAGAAGAAGAAGAATGGTAGTAACAATAGTAAAAATTGGAATAATAACGATAAGAAGAGATAATGATAATAATAATAATGATGATGCGGTCCAATGCGCAGCTTGGTCTGCGAAGGACTGCGCGTCTCGAGGCCTAGCAGGGCTTCGCACTTCTTTCACAGCCTTTTGTTGCCTTCTGCCTAAACCCTTGGCGGCCCTGGGTTTTTGCAGCGATCTCGGGTGCATCTGGGATGGTTTGGGGGGTTGAAGCGGGGGCGGACGCATCGCTGGCATTCCGCGGCCTTCCTCACCAGAAACATGGGCATTGCGGCACTCATCGCCCCACCTTGCAATCGACATGCTCTTTGACTGATGCGGCAGCTTGCTGGGTGCAAGCATAAGGGCCTACGGCCTACGATGGCTCGAAGCCTGGGGTGCAGACTTGCACCAGCCCGCCTCAGTGATCACTACCGTTCACCAGGCTCCTCTTGTCATGGCCAAGCTGAGCCAGTCGCCCTTGCGAAGAAGCGGCACGGCTCTGCTCCGGTCGCCGGATAAGGGGCGGCCCTGCCTTGCGCACTGAGATGCGCTGTATGTCCCTCGTATGCCAGAAGGTGGCTGAGTTCAGAACCTTGTTGGCTGAAGACACTCTTAATGCCGAAGGGCATAGTCGAGATGTTTGTTCAAGATCTTGCCCTGGGAGGAACTCACGTTCGCAAAGAGCTACAGCTGCTACAAAATTCTGCCCTCCCTTGCTTGCTCATGCTGAGCTGCGAAAGAACTCCTCAAGGGTGTGAGGGTGTCCGCATTACCATGAATGGCCCATGTCAAAGGCTCATGAGGAAGCTAAATAAACTCTGCTGGTCCTAAGTGCTCGAGCCAACAGAACGCAGTCCACGCAAAGTTCAGATGAGACATGGCAGGCTTGGCGGGTTGTACCGTTCTTCTTGGAGAAATGATATATGGGGTTGTGTGCAAGGCCTATAGAAGGCGGCAGTTTTCCTTGCGCCTCGCCCTTGAGCCGCGTTGCGCCTGGTTTCGCGATGGATCTTGCGCTCGTCCTTAAGTCCCCCTTCGCCATACTGTTGTTTGCTGCACCGCGATTTTGGAACATATGCTATTGACGCCCGCCTGTTGCTTACAAGAGACCCTTTTGGAACAACATCCACAACATCCACGTGACGATGACCATAGTCATGACAGTTTTGATCACCATCAGGAGGTAGAATCAGAAACGGCTACTGTGGTTGCTGCTCTTTGCAGCGGCCATTGCAATCCCTGACCAGCTTCATCGTCATCAGCACCGGCGTCGCCATCGACATCACGTGGTGGCGTGCACCACCGTTGTAATCATTCTGAATGGGCGAGCCCCTGTCTACCCACGGGCAGGAGCGAGCAGTCCTCCTTCTTCACCTGCTGTGCCTGCAGACTGAACACGCTGGGTTGCCCTGCAAACTGACCAACCTTGCTGCGCCTTTGACTCGTCCAGCTCAAGTTTCATCTGGGCCTGCAAAAGTCTACAGCATACAACAGCTCTCACATGCTTTTCGCTGCCGCAAAGTTTCGAAGCATGCCTCCTCTTTGCGCATCTGCTCCTCAGCTCTGGCTACACTCTTCCAGTCCAAACGACTAGCAAGTTCCTCAAGTCCTCTTACGCTACTGCCAAGGGACAACTTCGACAGCGAAAGTTGTAGCCTCCTGACCAAGATGAGTGCCAGAAACAAGACCACCACGGTCAGGACATGCATATTCCGCGCGGTCCTCTTGGAACCTCTGGGATCTTTCCTGGCCACGCGCCGTGAGGGCAATCGCAACAGTACTTTGAGGGGAAAGCTTGCCCCAGCGTGCCTCGGCCTGCTTGAACTTCTGCATCTCTTCCTCGGCGAGTGTAAGGGCGGGAAGGGGAGACAGCTTGGGTGCTCCACTTGTTCTGCCAGCACACATTCCTAAACCAGGCCACCAAAACCCTCCGAGCTCAGGAGGTGACCTGATTGTGCTGCTCATGCTGCGCAGTACTTGCAGACCTGTCCTCAGGTTGGCGATGCACATGGGCAACACACAGCAGAGAGAGAGCTGAGAGAGCTCCGCCGCGACTCCGCTCGCAACTGAGTGAAAGTCTGTGGTGGACTGGGGATCCTGGCATACTCAGGCCGAAAGGAAGAGCAGGAGATAGCCGGCAAATGGAGACTGCGCCTCTTCCACCGCAAAACGGACCTTGTTCACTGCGACAAATGGAAGCTGCATCAGCGATGCCACGGAATTCATGGCCAAGAAGCTGTGCTTGAAGATGGCTGAAGCTTCTTCTTGAAGGTAGGCGTCCTGACCAAGTTGCCCGGATCCCTCGGGATTTTGAAGTGTTGGTGTGAGAGTATCTGCCGACCCTGAGCGGCGTGTTGGATGGTTTTGGGGGGAGTGCTTCCCTGCCCTTGCCAAAAACGTGAAGGAGGGGGGGGGGTGTGGCCATACCTAGGCTCCGGAACCCAAGGACACTGGACCGCCGTCTGGAGCGGACTCGAAGGAACCCTCAGGTTTGGTGTCTCACAAACGAGCTGACAACGTCAAAAGGGGACGTGGAGACCTTGGCCTTGCCTCATCCACACGCTCTTCTGTTCCCCGCAGATGCGGTGACATTGATGGGTGGATTGGGCACGACGCACGCGGGGTGCCGCTGCCTGCCCTCCGCTATCTCAGCAGCCCTCTGGCGAAGGTTCAAGTCAAGCCCCCAAACATGCCAGAAATCGACATGAAAGTCGGCAGTGGCTGAGTGGTCATACAAGTTCTTGCGCGTGGCTCCTTCGGGACATCGGCGAAGACGGTGGTGTCGTCGGGTGGGAGGCCTCGCTTACAATGACATTAAAGCACCCGAGATATCGCTAAGCGGTCGAGCAGCACAATGTCGCATGGCAGATGCAACAGGAACTTGCAAAGCCTGCCTCTGCCAGTGAGAGCTTGGCTTTGAGAGACGCTACTTCCTGCGTTTCGACAGACAGCAGAGGCTGCTTCAGCATGTGAAACAACGTTTCGACTCCCACATAGGTGACTTCACGGTCACGGCTCCTTTCGCAGTGCTTGCACTGCACGAGAAGGCTGCCCGTACACCTGACGGAGGAGGCCAGTTCTAGTGAACAGGATGCACCGATGATTCTTCACAAGCTGCTGCCCGACACAAGATGCACGTAACGATTCAAATGCTGTTCGTTTTGGACAAGCAGTACGGTTTTCAATTGCGCCTTCGCCAGCCCTTGCTCAAGCGAGCCCTTCTGAACCGACTCCGTCAACGCCGAGGCAAGCTTGGCACGAAGTTCCGAGTTTTCAGAGTCAGCCTCGTCACAAGTGCAGGGCTTGAACCACCTCCTAAACCCGAAACCCTAAACCCTAAACCCTCTCTGAAAATGTTGGACACTTGGCCTCTGGTGGCTTGGAGCCGGCGGCACCTGTTCGAAATCTGTGTGGCATCTTGTGTGGGATCCTGGAACAATAACATACACACAAGTAACAGCGTGTGCTGTTGGCCTGCACCAGGTTCCGATGGCTTCGAAGCTTCAGCAGTTTCAGTCTTGACCGCCTGCCGAAAATAAATTTCGTAGAACCCTTTCTCAGCATCCGCCCAAACCCCAAACCCTAATGAAACCCTAAACCCCAAAACCCCTAAACCCCTAAACCCCTAAACCCCAAAACCCCAAAACCCCAAAACCCCAAAACCCCTAAACCCCAAAACCCCTAAACCCCTAAACCCCAAAACCCCAAAACCCCAAAACCCCAAAACCCCTAAACCCCTAAACCCCTAAACCCCTAAACCCCTAAACCCCAAACCCCAAAACCCCAAACCCCAAAAAACCCCTAACCCCTAAACCCCTAACCCCTAAACCCCTAAACCCCTAAACCCCTAAACCCCTAAACCCCTAAACCCCTAAACCCCAAACCCCTAACCCTAAAAACCCCTAAACCCCTAAACCCCTAACCCCTAAACCCCTAAACCCCTAACCCTAAACCCCTAAACCCCTAAACCCTAAACCCCTAAACCCTAAACCCCAAACCCCTAACCCAACCCCGAACCCTAAACCCCCCCTAACCCCTAAACCCCTAAACCCTAAACCCCAAAACCCCTAAACCCCTGAACCCTAAACCCCAAAACCCCAAAACCCCTAAACCCCTGAACCCTAAAACCCTAAACCCCAAAACCCCTAAACCCTAAACCCCAAAAACCCTAAACCCCTGAACCCCTGAACCCTAAACTCGGCCTGCGCCTCCTTGGCCTTCATGCCCGCCACCTGCTTGCGGGCCTGATTCCCACCTTGAGAGCAGGAGAGCCCGCGAAAGCACGTGCGCCTACACGTGTTGGTATTATTTTTTAAGTATGACTGATATTAGTAGTATTATGAATATTAGTAATCGTATTTCTATTATTTCTATTATTAATATTAATCTGGGTGGCTGGCGTGCCCTGGCCTGCATTTTCACCGCCGCAGCTTCTTCGGAGTCCATCTCGCGCTCAGTTTTGCTCGTGGACAACCGGATAAATTTATGGCAAGCGCCAAGCCCTCGCCTTCTGGAGCTCACGCTGCTGCCTCTGATACCTGGCAACAATGCTGGAAAACTGTCCCGGTACAAGTGGCACGGCCTTTGCACTGCCTACTTGCCGCTTAGAGGCTCCCAGCTCAGCCGCTCCAGGTCCGTCTTTGTGGCCTGCACAGGCTGCATGGGCATCCAGACGAGTCAGCGGTGTCAAAGAATTGTTGAAAAGAAACAGCCGGAGGTCACCTTCGTCTTTGTTTCTGAGGTGGCCTGAATCACGCAAGTGTAGAGCATTACCTTTGGGTTCCCACACACAGACACACCTCACCTGGATTTCTGCGGCGACCTCCGACGTGAGCTGCCTTTGGGCTTGAGCCTCCATGGGACCAGAAGTGGAGCAAAATGGAGATGAAAACCGCGCCACTGCATGTGAGCCTGGGTGATCTTTGTCTTCATCTGCAGCATGCGAGCCTGGGTGACTTTTTTGCTTTGAGTCGGATCGTGGACATGCAGGATTCTGCTAGTAGTACATGCCATTATCGACATCGTCCATCGCTTCAGATGTGCCTTCTGCCACTTTGCTACTTGCTTTTGGCTTTGTGAGAACTTGATAACTTTTTCCCAGATGGGCACAAGAGCCGAGGCCTCCTCCTGGTTCAGCGCGTCCTTCGCATGCGGAGCTACATGTGGGAGGGCGAGTACGCTGTACAACACACGCACTGCAGAAGCTGGTGCAGAAGCTGGTGCAGCTATACAGAAGAAGGCACCGTTTCAGGTGCACACATGTGTACAATCTGCACAAACTGATAGCTTTATAGCTGTAGCTCCCGTCAACAGTGGCTTAACACGCACTCTCGCCCTCATCCGGCAACGCAATGATTTCTAGAGAGCACGACACTGCCAAGCTGCCAGCCTGCAGAGCGTCCATCTCTTCCAGCAGCCGGGCAGCATCCTATTCGGGGTTTCCGAAATCAGGGGCACCTTTTTGGGGTCCGTATTCGTATTTTGGGGATCCTGCTATTTGGGGGTCTATTTTTAGGGGTCCCTGTTTTCGTAAACCCCCATATGAGCACCGCCACCCTACTCACGCAATAGTGGCAAGATCCTTACCGTTCTTGGCCCGGCTCCAACCCAAGGCTACTCCAATCACCCCAGATTTTGCCCCCAAACCGCATGTGGCGGTGGAGAGAACTTAGACTTTCTCGAGATTCTGCGGAAGGGGGCGTGGGGTTCATCTTGCCGTGCTTCTTGCTTCTTTATCTGCCTGAGTTGCATACATATTTTTTGCGTGTGAAGAGGAACTGCAAATATCATCTTGATACGATCTTCCACACTAAACAAAAAACAGAATCATGCAAACACCATACTAAAATTAAAACTCAAACAAAGGTTTCTTCTACCCGAGCACTCTTTCACACATGCTTGCACGTCTTGGAACCGAACAGGTGCAAAAGAAACAGGCGTCTGTGTCAGGGAACATCTGCCTGGGCTTCGGCCAGCTTCCTGGCCGTAGCAGCAACTTCAGACTCGTGCCATGTGGGGCAGACATTCACCAGGCCTTTCTGCGCGAGAGCTTTTTGCCTGCTCCATGGACAACTCATCCTTGATGTCGAGCATTTCCTGGGAATTAGATCCTAGACTTGAAGCGAGTGAAGCTCCAACATCTGAAGAGAGGGCGGTCCTGAAGCTGGGGAGATCGCTTGGAGAGAGAAGCCCACCACTCCGCTTTCACAAGGTCTCCCTGGACTTCCGTCAACTTGTCATCACGGGCGGCCACCTCTGCCTGCCACTGCAGGTCGATCGCACCTGGCAGCTACAATCTCGCGATAAGGCTTATCCTCCAAGGGAAGAATCTTGCGCCGAGCAGCGTTGGTCCGACCAGCTCTTCACAAGCTTGCGTTCGGCCGCGGAGACCTGAGAGGGAAGAGGCCGAGATCAGAGATGGTCACATGTTCCTCATGCGCTTATGCCGTGCCAAGCCTTGGCCTGCTCCTCCGCAAGGGCTTGTTTCAACTCGGCCATCTCCTGAGTACATTGTAATGGATGTAGTTCACATTGGCCTGAAACAGGGTCCCCACAATGGGTCCCCACAAGGTCCCCATAACAATAAAGTGTATGCAGGAGAGCTGCGTTCGGCCCACGGCCTGCTGTTGGCCGAGCCCTCATCTCTAGCAAGTCAGAATCTGAAAGACGGAGCTCTTGCTGCTTCTCCAAAAGGAAGTCGGTGACTTCGTTCATCTGCTCTTGATGGATGACTTCCTCAGTATTCGGTATGCCAGGGGATCACTCCATTGCATGTTCACTGCTCTCCTTTTCTTTTGGGCTTGCAGCTTTGTGGGCTGCAGTTGCCGCAGACCCTGCAGACGCAACATGTTTCTGTGCCTTTTCTGCTTCGCATGGGAGCCCTCCATGCCCCTTTTGGGCCAAGATGCTGCCTGGACGAGGCGTGCATGGAGGGTTTCAGCCTTGCGCTGCTCCACTGCGAGCTTCGCTCCCAAACCCGTGGCTTTCACCGTGGCGTCGGTTTGGAGCTTCACCGCCTGGGCAGATCTCACTAATGGGAATGGGATCTTCATAATATGATATTCAAGGATCTACATTCACCATGTCGCACATTCCACAGCCTTTTCTCTCTATAACATATAACATCCGGTGAAAAAGCTCTCAACTAAGGGGGGCAAGCCTTGGATTGCTCCACGGCCAGCTGCGCTTTCAAGGAGGCCAGCTCCACTGCGGAGTTGGAGGAGTCTGCCGAGATCTCCCTGAGGCTGGTCTGATACACGGCCTCGGCCTTCGAAAATTCCTGGCGGAGCGCCTTGAGCTCGCGATCTCTTTCGGCCAGGCGTTCCTCGAGGTGTTGAGAAGCTCCCTGGCTTGTCTCGCTCATTGCCAATATTTTCTCTTTTGTCTCATCTTGCTGGACCTTCTGCTCCCCAGTGTCCAGAGCCTCGCCCTCCAGGTTCTCACTGCGCTTCCGCCAGCCTGCCTGAGCCTTGGCTGACGCAATGCGCGCGGTGTCTTCTTTCGTGCCTCGGCAGAAGGTGATCTCCAGAGGCCGGGTTTTGTCAAGCAGCTGCTGGAATCTGCGGCGGTCGATTTCTTGGAGGGACTGCCCCTGCACGGTCAGGAGCTCGTCACCTTCTCTCATCCCAACGCCTCTCGCCCAGCTCCCGCTTCGAACCAAACGGAGCAGCACCCGCGGGGCGGGCGGCCAGCACTCCAGCTCAAAGCCCAGCTCCGATGCCTCGGCCTCCGCGACGGCCTTCAGAATCTCGCCCTCGCCAACTCGCAGCCTCGCCTCGATTTGAGGAAGCCTCTTCGCTTTCGCCCCAGCGCGGGCCTTCTGACCTTTCCAGTTGGCTTGGATCCTCGTGGAGGCCACCTCCTCTGCCTGCCTCCGGTGACCACGCTGGAACTTCAGCTCCAAGGGCCGCTCAAGCTTGACCTCTTGAAGAGGAAAGTGCAGATGAACACACACACACATATGTGCAGACATCTGCAGACATCTGCATGTGCTGAACTGAGCTTGATCTGGGCATCAGCTGGGCCGCTCGGTCGAAGTCCGCCCTGCTGTAGTCTGCGGCCGGCTTGCCTTGCAGCGTCAGCAAGCGATCACCTCAGTCCATCTCTCCCTTGACTCTCGCTCGGCCAGGCTCTCCCGCCCTTTCCACTGTCCAATGCAAGAACAAGCACTTCCCAAATCGCTGAGGCCACCGCCCAGTCTCAGGCTCACAGCCTCTGCCCATCCTCCCTTCTTCACCTTCAAGCTCTTCATATCGGGACTCCATCGCATTATGGAACACATTAAGCGATCATCATACGTGCGCGGTTCTGAGCGGACCTCATATACCAGGCCACGCTGCAGCCGGAAGCCCCAATGCACCACTGACCTGGGAACCGTAGCCTTCAGCGTGTCGTCATCCTGTCACCAGCACCACATCTTGTTTCGGCAGCGACTCCATCACACTCCCAGAACCCATGCCCCTCAACGAGCTATGTTGTCCCAGAACCAGTTGCAGTAGCACAGATTCTCATCAAGATTTCTCAAGACACTTGAGTCCCCCTGCGCTCCGTGCCTGTATCTTTGTCCGGGCATGCGCAAGGTCTTTCTGCAGGCTTTGCACCTGGACATCGTCACCGAAGTCTACACAGATGAACAGCTAAGGCTGAGCAGAATGCTAAAGTTGTTGGATGCATCAGCAGGCGGAACCATCAGGAACATTGAGAGCATACCCACAAGACAATGCACACCATGCTGTTTCCATATCGTAGCCGGTCCCCTCTGAAACGCTGGAATACAAAGACCCTCCATGATCCATCAGCAGCAGTCCCACCGCCCCCATAACACCTGCTGCCCCCCCCCCCCACACAGCTTTCTGCCTTTAAGTGGTCCTGAGGGCATTGCCACCCGCCCCCCCCCCCGGCACACGCCATCCCTCCACCACCCCCGGCCCTGCTAGCTTATCCGTCCTTCTGCTTCGCGGCCTAGCGGTACAATTATGCGGGCATAACAGAGTAGAAAAGCCCTCTCTCAGCCAAGGTCTGGCACTGACCTACAGGAACCATTAGGCGCCATATGCAACCAATATGCCGTGATCCTACTGCCGCATACCGCCGCTGATGTGAAACCCCCAATCTCGGCTTCCTTCTGCTGGAGCTCCTGGAGCAAAAAGCGTGTGTTGCCCACAATAAGGCAGCGTGCCCCAAGTCACTTTGCTCGCCCCGACTTGCCAAGTCAGAACTGGAACTGGATCTGCACGCGCTGTTCGCTGACACACGCCCTTGTAATGGCCTCCTTCAGCGCATGCAGCTCCACCGTCTCCTCATTTGGGGGTTGCCGAAAATTGGTGGCACAAGTGCTGGGGGTCCCCTTAAGGGATTCCATTATATTGGTGTGAAAAGGGGGTGCATTACCCCTATCTTGGGGAAATCCCCTGTGAGAAGAATACCTATCACTTATCATGTTCTTCTTTCCGTAGCTCCGGTAGCTCACGAAGACCACAAGCTATACAAGCTATCAGGCTAAATCAGAGCAGGCTACCCAGTAGGCCGGCGAGATCTGGAAGGAAGCCCCGGAGTCGGGGGTGTCAGCCTTTTCATCTTTGTCGCGCTTTGCATTCGCATCTTCGAGCTCCGCCAGCACGCGCTGATACTCCTGAAGCCAGCTTTGTGACCAGGTTCGCCGCAAGGAAATCAAGAACACCCGACATGGCTATCACACCGCACCCGACGCACCCGCTCACAGATTCCTAGTCAGTATCGCCTGTCCGCCCAGAAGGTTGCAGGAAGCTAATTTCTGACAAGGCGGTTGGCAAACCAACTGCGGATCCCACCACACAGCACAAACCTCTTCCTCTGCACCCAGGCGCGGGAACCCGAAACACGAGTGTTACCATGATCTTGTTGCTGCCCTGGCCTAGTTGCAACCTTTGAAAGGGGGCACCAGAGGCAGCATTTAAAACCCCCCTTATATCCCTGAATGACCGCTCCTCAGCGCATTTGGCCAGCTCTTCTTTGCACGCCGCCAGCTCTGCTTCATGATCAGACGATGCCTGGACCTGTCGGGAAGCAGATCCTAAACCCTGATTAAACCCTAAACCCTAAACCCTAAAACCTAAACCGTAAACCCTAGCTCATGAAAACTCGCTTTGCTCTGTGCCGCCCTGTGCCCGCTCTCTGAACTTGCTTGAAACTTCATCGGGGTCGGCACACCACACAGCACAGCAGACACCAACGCTGTGAACGTGGCAGGCACAGCTAACTCTCAGACGTGCGGCGGGCTCCGAAAGGAGGGCGCTCCCTCCACTCCGAGGGTGGACATCCTGCAGGTTGGTGACATCCAGGTCATGCAGCCTCCCTTCCGCACTGGCAAGCTGATCTCGAAGCTGCGCCAGCTCCTGAACTCAAACCACGTGCATATGCGGATTTCCGAAATTGGGGGGGGTACCTGATTGAGGTCCTTCTTACTAGGGGATCCTACTATTTTGTGGCTCTACATCCCTAACCCCCATATTCGCGAGGCTGTCAAGGAAGTCGAATCTTGCTGGGGCTCCTCATCTCTCTGGACTGAGGTTCCTGAGCTCTCTGAGGCTTGAAGCAAGAGCTGTCCAACTTCCTCTCGGGCATGGGCCAGGTCCTTAGGTCAGCTTTGCACAGAGAAACGGACGACAAAAAGCACTTGCGACTTGCTTGGGGGGCTCCATGGGGGCTCCCTCCACCTCCCAAGGCTGATCCAAGGTTCGGCTTCTTTCTGCAAGAGCTGCTCTTGCAGCTCTCGAACTTTCTCACCTCCGTCCATCTCCGTCTTCTGCGAGCTGTGTTGGAGCTTGGCCTCTGCTTCTGCAAGCTGATCATGGAGCCGCGCGATCTCCTGAACTGCGATGAAGTTCTTTTTCTGATTTTTGTGGGGAGCTTCAACGACTTGAACTTGGTTCTGAAGGGCTCCTGATCCTTTGCATGCAGATCCTCGACAGACGTCTTGGGTTGTGCTGCATCCTCGCACGAACATGTGAAGGCGACAAACCCTTCCGTAAATCTCGAGCTCTGCAGTCGAACATGGGCAAGCGACCGCGGCACCATCGAGAGGCAGCCGAGTGCAAGGACAGTGCGGGTCCTGTTCTGCCAGCTTTGCATCGGCCAGCTCCTTAGCCCAGCAGCCGGCAACAGGGACGCACACGCAACGAGGCTTCTCAAAGGACCCAAACCATTGACGCATCTGGCATATCGCAGCCAAGCTTGGCACGCGATCCCGCCCGGCCAGCTCCTCCTTGAGCTTCGCCTTCTCCTCCGACACGCCTTCGATAGCCTCTAGCTCCTGTCGAAAGCACTCAGCTACGCGGATGCTCCGGTATGCTTCGTGTATTGCCCACGAGCTTCCTTGCACTTCTCTTGCAGCTCGCGCTGGGTCCGCTCCTCAGAAAGGAGGAGATGGGCGCAAACACGCACCCCGCTCTCAACGTCGCCTTCTTCAAGGCAAGCGGCTAGATCGGCCTTCGCGCTGGCGAGCTCCTGATCCTTGGCTCGAAGCTCCGACCGGACGTTCGCCAGATCCTGGCGCACCCTTCACTGCTCTGGCCTCTGTCTTCTGCGAGCTGTGTTGGAGTTTGGCTTCTGCTTCTGCAAGCTGATCATGGAGCCGAGCGATCTCCTGAACTGCCATGAAGCTTTTGTAGTGGGCTTCAACGACTTAAACTTGGTTCTGAAGGGCTCCTGATCCTTTGCGTGCAGATCCTCGACCGACGTGTTGGGTCGTGCTGCGTCCTCGCACGAACTTTTTGCGGCGTCAAAACCCTGATAATGCAGTAGGCTTGAATCGGAACAGCCAGCGTGTGAAGTATCTCAACCCCATGATACATGGCACCGCACAGAGGCGGGAAGTCACCCAAGCCAGTGTTCAGTCGGCCCAAGGGCACATGGATTTTGCTCATACTGTTGAGACGGTGCAGTTCTTGACAAGCCTTTTGACTGTGTGTACGGCCTCAACGCAGCCGATCGTCGCCAGTAAAACTCTCACAAGGGGGGCGGTTGCGGGGGTGGTTTCGGGGCGGGGCAAAATATGCCCAGCGACGAACAGAAGGCAATGCAACCGACCGAACCCCCACTACCTGCACTGAAGAAGAGCGCAGGCCCCCCCCGAATGAAAGGTCTCCCACAAACCCAGTCCCGGCGTCTCGGGGAGCCTTTTCATACGTGGGGGAAGGAACTGAAGATGGACGGCACGAGACTTAGGACTTGATAATACTTGATATGCATGGTAGCCTCAAAAACTTGCAAGAATGGGTCCATCCACGATACGAGATCCATCCTTTGCAAAAGGCATGCAAAGCTTGCATCATCGTCTTCGTAAGTCCCCTTTTGCGGCCCAAGGCCCAGAGAGCCAGCAGGTTACGCCCGAAGTTTCAAGTTTCCCACATTCCTGCGTGGATCCTAGGCCCCCACGAACCTTTGAGCTGCTCACCCACACAATGCCAGCCAAACACCATCTGGTATATCTTGCACTGCAGCAGCCGCTCCGGATCTCAGAAACTCGCCTTGTCAAAACTCGACTCCTCGCAGAGTCTCCGGTGCCTTTTAGAACACACATACGTTCTTCACGTTCTTCAACCACTGCAGGCCCGAATAAGAAACGGCCTGGCCGAAGTGGCTAGTGACAAGGTAGTTTTGGAGACTAGGGACTGGCAAAGACCCCGAAACCATGCGAACAGACACGCACGGATGCGAAACCAGTACTTCAACATCGTAAAACTACAGCTTGGGTAGCACTGCAAGCATGTCGAAGATATCGGAAAACATCCCCCCCCAACGAAGACGAGTGCAAGGACAGTGCGGGTCCTGTTCTGCCAGCCTTGCTTTGGCCAGCTCCTTAGCCCAGCAGCAGCCGGCAAGAGGGACGCACACGCAAAAGAGGCTTCTCAAAGGACTCTTCATATTGACGCGTCTTGGCATATCGCAGCCAAGCTTGGCACGCGATCCTGCTCGGCCAGCTCCTCCTTGAGCTTCGCCTTCTCCTCCGAGACGCCTTCGCCAGCCTCCAGCTCCTGTCGAAAGCACTCAGCTACGCGGATGCTCCGGTATGCTTCGTGGATTGCCCACGAGCTTCCTTGCACTTCTCTTGCAGCTCGTGCTGGGTCCGCTCCTCAGAAAGGAGGAGATGGGCGCAAACAAGCACCCCGCTCTCAACGTCGCCTTCTTCAAGGCAAGCGGCTAGATCGGCCTTCGCGCTGGCGAGCTCCTGATCTTTGGCTCGAAGCTCCGACCGGACGTTCGCCAGATCCTGGCGCAGGTCGCACTAGAAAAGGAGCTGACACTCTGGCACTCTCCAATCGTACGATCTTCCCCCCACCTGCTGAAGTTCTTGCTCACCGGCCGGCAGGACTGGGGGCACACTGCCTTCCAACAAGACACTTCAAGGACTCCCAAGCCATCACCAACATACGAGTAGCAACATGAACGTCTGCACATTTACCACGCCGCGCTCCATGCACAAGTGCATCGAACCAGTTTCTTCGTTTTACATCCCTCGTGTCGTGGGCCGAAACTTGCCACAGCAAACAAGTGCATGAAGAATGCTAAGAACGATTGTAACTTTGTAAGTTAACCAATATCGGGTTCCATCAAGAATCCACGCAGCGACAGACGGCATCAAAACAATAGTGCGGCATGCGCAACACTCGACATGGCCGTCCTCTGACATGCATCGTGTAGGTGCCAGAAGCTTTTCAACGTGCACGACTGCTTGGTCCACATGAACCAAACAGCCACGGAGACAAAAAGATGTCACTAGCACCAATAAGAGACTCTGTCGACGGGATGAGCAGACATCCACAAACAAACTGCATAAAGTGCGCTAGGACAGCTGCACCTTAGCAACCACCAGACCTATGTCCTCTGTAACAAGCCCGCTCCACCCTCAGCCCACTCTTAGAGAAGAGCAGTTTCGCCCATCAACGTTCGACCAATTTGCTCTGCATCCATGAGAGCAAATGTCAATATATGTCAATATGCTACAGGTAGCAGGTTTTGAATGTGGTGACGAGCTTACCACATATCTAGAGCTAGACTCTCGATGCGACCTTGGCAGTCCACATTCACATGATGTACCACTCTCGCAATGATCCTGTCAACATAACACTTGATCCTAAAGAGACAAAAGAAGCAAGGCAGCAACAGAAGAGACCTGTAGGCATGATCCACAGAGTCAAGGAAGCCACGGAGAGGTTCATGAGAAGAACCGGAATCTGCGTGCTCCGCATGCAGGAGCTTCTGAGAAGTATGAGAAGTTCCCTCGCCTGCTTTGTCTGCGTGCTCCTCTTTGCTTGGCGCTCCAGAGAGCAAATTGCCTCCAGCTCACGGACACTGGGTGGGCAAAGGCCACAGAGCCGGTCTGGCCTTCATCCAGCCGATGTGCGGGTTCAGGCATTCGAACGGAGAGCTTCAGCGGCCGGAGCTTCATTTGCGCCTGCGACTACGAGGCAAGGCAAGGCGCAGTCGCTGACCTGAACTTGGGGGGCCTTGAAACTCTCGGCGTCCATGCTTGACACGGATGTCCCATTCATGCTTCGAATCTCGGTATTCACCAGCAGACCAGCACCTTCGTTGTCTGGCAAAAGCTCTGAATGTGCGGTCTAAAGTTTGAAGTAATCTGTGCGCTGGGCTTTGTCCCCAACTTCCCTCCGACACCTGCACGCCGAACAAATTGCACCAACGCCATGCAGCTACAGCATTCGGAGCAAAGCACACTTCCCCCTTCCCCAGCAAGCTGCATGAACGCTTTTCTTCGGCCAAAGGCGTCACGAATCGCTGGCCTACATTGAAAGAAAGGTGTCACCGTCAAAGAGCCTTTCGCTGCTCGATATGACACGATCACTTGTCGACGGCCTGCGCCTCTGTACGCGCTCACGACAATCGCGCCTCACTTCTTCATGGCGTCCACCTCGGCCCTCACCTGCGCACCATAGAAGAGCTCACACACCATGTGGCAAAATCCTGGAGATTGCTGAACCATGCTGAACCATGTTGAACCATGTTGAACCCTGTCTGCCCCCCCCCCCCCACCTCCAAGCGGCGCTTGGTCAGTGGGTTCGCCACGGCTGCCACGAGAGCGGCGCCGTAGATCAGCACCAGCGAGATGCCACCAACCTCTCAAAAGTGTGGGAGGGGAGTCTTCCAGTCCAGAAGTTCCAGAGTTGGATTGGACCTCATCGGTTTCCGGCATACGGCCCTGCCGAAAGGATCCACACACCCACCCGAACTCCTGCATCATGATCATGAGATATCATGAGCATACCATGGCCTGCCATTGCTCTTCCCAGTATCCATTCTCCCGTTTCAAGCTCGCGTCAAAATCTTCAACATCCGATTGTCTATTATCTATTGTTGAACAACAGCCATCGCCTTGTGTCTGCACATCTGTGAGTACGTGTGTGTGTGTGTGTGTGTGTGTGTGTGTGTGTGTGTGTGTGTGTGTGTGTGTGTGTGTGTGTGTGTGTGTGTGTGTGTGTGTGTGTGTGTGTGTGTGTGTGTGTGTGTGTGTGTGGGTGTGGGTGCGTGCGCGCGCGTGCGCGCGCGTGCGCGCTGCGCGTGCGCGTAGGCGTGGGCGTGGGCGTGTGCGTGTGCGTGTGTGTGGTGTGCGTGTGTGCGTGGCGTGTGCGTGTTGCGTGGGCTTGGGCGTGGGCTGTTCGTGGCGTGTGCGTGTGCGTGTGCGTGTGCGTGTGCGTGTGCGTGTGCGTGTGCGTGTGCGTGTGCGTGTGCGTGTGCGTGTGCGTGTTCGTGTGCGTGTGCGTGTGCGTGTGCGTGTGCGTGTGCGTGTGCGTGTGCGTGTGCGTGTGCGTGTGCGTGTGCGTGTGCGTGTGCGTGTGCGTGTGCGTGTGCGTGTGCGTGTGCGTGTGCGTGTGCGTGTGCGTGTGCGTGTGCTTGTGCGTGTGCGTGTGCGTGTGCGTGTGCGTGTGCGTGTGCGTGTGCGTGTGCGTGTGCGTGTGCGTGTGCGTGTGCGTGTGCGTGTGCGTGTGCGTGTGCGTGTGCGTGTGCGTGTGCGTGTGCGTGTGTGTGCGTGTGCGTGTGCGTGTGCGTGTGCGTGTGCGTGTGCGTGTGCGTGTGCGTGTGCGTGTGCGTGTGCGTGTGCGTGTGCGTGTGCGTGTGCGTGTGCGTGTGCGTGTGCGTGTGCGTGTGCGTGTGCGTGTGCGTGTGTCTTTGTGTCCTCTGCGTGTCGTGGTGTCTGTGCGTGCTGCTTGTCCGCGTGCACCTCTCCGCGAGCTCACGCAACCACGTATCCGCGTGTCCGCCTGTCCACGTGTCTGCGTATCTGTGTGGCCACCTGTCCGCACGCCCGCGTGTCTGCGTGTCTCCGTTTCTCTGTGTCTGTGTGCCTGCGTGCCTTTGTGCCGACGTGTCTCTCTCTCTCTCTCTCTCTGCCTATTGGTGTTGGCATCAGTCGCTGTTTATTCCTTCTGTTCATGACGACTCCAGTCCAACATGCGTATCGTGTGCTTTCAAAGATGCTGCATGCTCCGGCTCAACGATGTCAGCAAGTCATGCAGCTTTGACCGCTTTGAAGATGCCCACTTGCAGGCAGGACACCAGCCAGCCTCGGCAAAAAAAGGGCTCATGCATGCTCGTGGGATGCACTGTGGGGGAGGACTGTTGACATGTGAACATTTTGTGAGAACATCTTCGGCAGGCTGCTCTGGAGCATGGCCACCACGGAGTCATAGGCGCCAGCAGGCTGCTCCAGCGCCAAAGGGGTGAGCCCGGCGAAGGTGGCAGCAACCACGCGCTCGTCCACCTGAAGCGAAGGAAATGTGGGGGGGAGGTTGGGGGGAGGGGAATGAGGTTACATGCAGGCATGGGATTGTAGGAAGATCCGCTAGTGCTGTTTCCTTTGCCTGAGGAACGGAGCTCTGGCGTGGGGCGATGAACGCCTCAGCACCCCAAAACACCAAAAACCCCCCAATCCTCTTTCTGGTTTGCAGGATCTTTAAAGATCTTAGGAACCGCGCAGGCACGGCCACCAGGTAGAGTGCCGAGAAGGCGGCGAGGAGGGCGACAACACCAGTTCGTCCACCTGTTCCGATCTTGAATGATTCGGCAGGCACCCTGGTTGTCTCACAGTCCATCAAGTCCAGCCGACTGAGACTAGGACGAGCCATGGTTTGCGGTGAAGCGTCGAAAGGCGGACAGCTCTAGCAGTCTTGGGCAAAAACTTCTCGTGTGTAGATCTTGCAACACGGCATATAATCAGCCCTGCACATACACAAACCAGCAGCATCAACTGGAGCTGAAAACTGAGCTGCAGCATTCTCTACAGCAGCCACATTCAGATCTTGCCTTGGAGATGACGACGGGCGATGGTGGCATGGAGAAAAATTCGAGGCCAAGTGACTGAACGCCTTCCTGTCGCTGACAGCATCGCTGATCTGAAGATTACTCGCATGGCAGCCTGCTGGAGTCTCGCGGCACCTCCGCAAGGAACTGTGAGGCTCCATCTTCGATGAGAGATGCCCTTGCCTGAACCCATAGAACAAGCACAGAAAACGAGGATGCCTGCAATCCAAACATGTCCAAACATGCCAAGCCTGCGCCTCCTGCTCCAGCGCAGCTTCAGTGGTAACAGCCTCACTCAAAGCAAGCGCGGTTGTCCACCCTTCAATGCCACCATGCCACTACAGCAAGCAACCGCGATGATGAAAGCTTCATGCTAAAAAAAGGCAGCAATCTCAGTCTCCTTGCTGGTTCGGGGGCATCTAACCCGGTTGCCTTTCGAGCGGCGCGGCCACCTTCACAGCACAAAACCGTGAAACACCTCCAAGACAGTCAGGACATCCACCAAGGTCGAAGCGTGCCAGAGCTTGGATGGCTGTGGCCGCGCTCTCCTGGGTCTCAACCTTGTCGATGGCCTGGGCCTTCGCCTTGCGAGCAAATATTCTCTAAAGCATGCTGGAGTGATGCCAGCCAGCATCTGCACAGGCCTCTGCCTGAGGAATCTGAAGGCGGAGGCCTCACGGGCGGCGAAGACGCCCGATGCAATCTGCCGACGCGCTCCCCGCTCCCCTCACCCAAGTGCCATGTGCTGGGAGCAGCGCTGACCGGTCGAGCTTTCATGCTTTGCCTCAGAGCGAAAAGCCATTTTTCACAACAGCATTGAGCCATGGTTCCGACCGCAGTGACCGGGTAGGCACCAGACTTGAATGTCTCGGGATTCAGATCTTTGATCTCTACCCCATTCAGCGCCAACAGCAAGTGCCCCGTCTGAATCTTGTGCCTGAGCTCAGAAAACCGGATTCGCAACACAGCTAGAGTACGCTCAAGCTCATGTTGCTGGCTGCTTCTCTGCTTTTGGGGACGCTGCGTGGCTGCAAAGCTGCCCTCGGATACCTTCGCCACCTTTGTTGAAGACTTCTGACCCCAATCCATCCCGAGTCCATCCGAGAGCAAACATGCACTGAAGTTGCAACTTTGTCAGAGAGGTGTCAGGCTGAGAGCCGCTGTAAGCACGCCACGATGACGGGCTCCGGCGGAAGCCCAGCAAAGCCACAGCCTCAGAGACAAGCCGCCATCGCATCAACACGGATGCGACTGGCATTTCAGCCAGTGGCCAAGCTTGGTCTCAGCATCTGCCAGCGTGACTTCGAACCTCTGCATCACCAACGCAACTCAAGAGGTCAGCACGGGCCAGTCTGCCAAGATCGTCTAAGCTGCTTGCCCCCGAGTGGCTTCCGACGCCTTGCCCGCAAGCATTGCACCAGCCAAACAGACAACAGGGAAGGAGCTGAAGAACGGAAACTGGGGAAGCGTGCCTCCAGTCCAGTGCCTTTTCGCGCAGCACGCCCACCTCACTCCGGACCACAGATGCGGATCTCCAAAATTGTGTCAGACCGCTGACGAGCAAGCTATGCTCAACGAGAGCTCCACGTGCCAGAGCTTGGATGGCTGTGGCCGCGCTCTCCTGAGTCTCAACCTTGTCGATGGCCTGGGCCTTCTCCTTGCGAGCAAATATTCTCTAAAGCATGCTGGAGTGATGCCAGCCAGCATCTGCACAGGCCTCTGCCTGAGGAATCTGAAGGCGGAGGCCTCACGGGCGGCGAAGACGCCCGATGCAATCTGCCGACGCGCTCCCCGCTCCCCTCACCCAAGTGCCATGTGCTGGGAGCAGCGCTGACCGGTCGAGCTTTCATGCTTTGCCTCTGAGCGAAAAGCCATTTTTCACAACAGCATTGAGCCATGGTTCCGACCGCAGTGACCGGGTAGGCACCAGACTTGAATGTCTCGGGATTCAGATCTTTGATCTCTACCCCATTCAGCGCCAACAGCAAGTGCCCCGTCTGAATCTTGTGCCTGAGCTCAGAAAACCGGATTCGCAACACAGCTAGAGTACGCTCAAGCTCATGTTGCTGGCTGCTTCTCTGCTTTTGGGGACGCTGCGTGGCTGCAAAGCTGCCCTCGGATACCTTCGCCACCTTTGTTGAAGACTTCTGACCCCAATCCATCCCGAGTCCATCCGAGAGCAAACATGCACTGAAGTTGCAACTTTGTCAGAGAGGTGTCAGGCTGAGAGCCGCTGTAAGCACGCCACGATGACGGGCTCCGGCGGAAGCCCAGCAAAGCCACAGCCTCAGAGACAAGCCGCCATCGCATCAACACGGATGCGACTGGCATTTCAGCCAGTGGCCAAGCTTGGTCTCAGCATCTGCCAGCGTGACTTCGAACCTCTGCATCACCAACGCAACTCAAGAGGTCAGCACGGGCCAGTCTGCCAAGATCGTCTAAGCTGCTTGCCCCCGAGTGGCTTCCGACGCCTTGCCCGCAAGCATTGCACCAGCCAAACAGACAACAGGGAAGGAGCTGAAGAACGGAAACTGGGGAAGCGTGCCTCCAGTCCAGTGCCTTTTCGCGCAGCACGCCCACCTCACTCCGGACCACAGATGCGGATCTCCAAAATTGTGTCAGACCGCTGACGAGCAAGCTATGCTCAACGAGAGCTCCACGTGCCAGAGCTTGGATGGCTGTGGCCGCGCTCTCCTGAGTCTCAACCTTGTCGATGGCCTGGGCCTTCTCCTTGCGAGCAAATATTCTCTAAAGCATGCTGGAGTGATGCCAGCCAGCATCTGCACAGGCCTCTGCCTGAGGAATCTGAAGGCGGAGGCCTCACGGGCGGCGAAGACGCCCGATGCAATCTGCCGACGCGCTCCCCGCTCCCCTCACCCAAGTGCCATGTGCTGGGAGCAGCGCTGACCGGTCGAGCTTTCATGCTTTGCCTCTGAGCGAAAAGCCATTTTTCACAACAGCATTGAGCCATGGTTCCGACCGCAGTGACCGGGTAGGCACCAGACTTGAATGTCTCGGGATTCAGATCTTTGATCTCTACCCCATTCAGCGCCAACAGCAAGTGCCCCGTCTGAATCTTGTGCCTGAGCTCAGAAAACCGGATTCGCAACACAGCTAGAGTACGCTCAAGCTCATGTTGCTGGCTGCTTCTCTGCTTTTGGGGACGCTGCGTGGCTGCAAAGCTGCCCTCGGATACCTTCGCCACCTTTGTTGAAGACTTCTGACCCCAATCCATCCCGAGTCCATCCGAGAGCAAACATGCACTGAAGTTGCAACTTTGTCAGAGAGGTGTCAGGCTGAGAGCCGCTGTAAGCACGCCACGATGACGGGCTCCGGCGGAAGCCCAGCAAAGCCACAGCCTCAGAGACAAGCCGCCATCGCATCAACACGGATGCGACTGGCATTTCAGCCAGTGGCCAAAGCTTGGTCTCAGCATCTGCCAGCGTGACTTCGAACCTCTGCATCACCAACGCAACTCAAGAGGTCAGCACGGGCCAGTCTGCCAAGATCGTCTAAGCTGCTTGCCCCCGAGTGGCTTCCGACGCCTTGCCCGCAAGCATTGCACCAGCCAAACAGACAACAGGGAAGGAGCTGAAGAACGGAAACTGGGGAAGCGTGCCTCCAGTCCAGTGCCTTTTCGCGCAGCACGCCCACCTCACTCCGGACCACAGATGCGGATCTCCAAAATTGTGTCATACCGCTGACGAGCAAGCTATGCTCAACGAGAGCTCCACGTGCCAGAGCTTGGATGGCTGTGGCCGCGCTCTCCTGAGTCTCAACCTTGTCGATGGCCTGGGCCTTCTCCTTGCGAGCAAATATTCTCTAAAGCATGCTGGAGTGATGCCAGCCAGCATCTGCACAGGCCTCTGCCTGAGGAATCTGAAGGCGGAGGCCTCACGGGCGGCGAAGACGCCCGATGCAATCTGCCGACGCGCTCCCCGCTCCACTCACCCAAGTGCCATGTGCTGGGAGCAGCGCTGACCGGTCGAGCTTTCATGCTTTGCCTCTGAGTGAAAAGCCATTTTTCACAACAGCATTGAGCCATGGTTCCGACCGCAGTGACCGGGTAGGCACCAGACTTGAATGTCTCGGGATTCAGATCTTTGATCTCTACCCCATTCAGCGCCAACAGCAAGTGCCCCGTCTGAATCTTGTGCCTGAGCTCAGAAAACCGGATTCGCAACACAGCTAGAGTACGCTCAAGCTCATGTTGCTGGCTGCTTCTCTGCTTTTGGGGACGCTGCGTGGCTGCAAAGCTGCCCTCGGATACCTTCGCCACCTTTGTTGAAGACTTCTGACCCCAATCCATCCCGAGTCCATCCGAGAGCAAACATGCACTGAAGTTGCAACTTTGTCAGAGAGGTGTCAGGCTGAGAGCCGCTGTAAGCACGCCACGATGACGGGCTCCGGCGGAAGCCCAGCAAAGCCACAGCCTCAGAGACAAGCCGCCATCGGATCAACACGGATGCGACTGGCATTTCAGCCAGTGGCCAAGCTTGGTCTCAGCATCTGCCAGCGTGACTTCGAACCTCTGCATCACCAACGCAACTCAAGAGGTCAGCACGGGCCAGTCTGCCAAGATCGTCTAAGCTGCTTGCCCCCGAGTGGCTTCCGACGCCTTGCCCGCAAGCATTGCACCAGCAAAACGGACAACAGGGAAGGAGCTGAAGAACGGAAACTGGGGAAGCGTGCCTCCAGTCCAGTGCCTTTTCGCGCAGCACGCCCACCTCACTCCGGACCACAGATGCGGATCTCCAAAATTGTGTCATACCGCTGACGAGCAAGCTATGCTCAACGAGAGCTCCACGTGCCAGAGCTTGGATGGCTGTGGCCGCGCTCTCCTGGGTCTCAACCTTGTCGATGGCCTGGGCCTTCGCCTTGCGAGCAAAAGGATGCACGGCGGCAATGTGTTCTCGAAAAAGGCTGCACACCTCCGCCTGCGGAATCTCGAAGTTGAGCCCTCAGTCCAACATCCAATCATGGAAGCTCTTCTGACATTTGAGTCTCTAAGGGCAAAACGCACTGGTCGACCCTTCAGACATTGCCTTGGCAGCTCAGAAGTCCCGGCTGCCACCACCACCACCACGAAAAGTCACAAATGGTCAACCAAATATTCATCGAAAGCTTCTCCGCCACGGCACTTGAAAGTTTCGGCGTTCAGCTCCTTGACTTGCATTCCGTTCAAGGCCACGAGAAGATGTCCGGTCTGAATGCTGCTCCTCAAGGCTTGCTCACGGTCTCTCTTCTTCTTATCTTCTTCTTATTGTTATTATTCTTCTTATGCTTCTTCTTCTTCTTCTTCTCTTCTTCTTCTGCTGCTTCTTCTTCTGCTTCTTCTTCTTCTTCTGCGCACTTGACAGCCCCTCCCGAAGGAGGAGACCCGGCTCACTCTCTCTCTCTCTCTCTCTTTCGCTCTCCGCCTGCTCGTCCTCCTCCCTGCTTCTTCTTCTGCGTCTTCTTCTGCTGGGCTCTTCTTCTTCTTCTTCTTCTTCTTCTTCTTCTTCTTCTTCTTCTTCTTCTTCTTCTTCTTCTTCTTCTTCTTCTTCTTCTTCTTCTTCTTCTTCTTCTTCTTCTTCTTCTTCTTCTTTGGGGCATAGGGCAAACCCTGCGCCAAGGCGCGCCCCGATCCCGCGTCTGATGAGCTACTGCTGGGCTCTCTCTCTCTCTCTCTCTCGCTCGCTCGCTCGCTCTCTCACTCTAACTCCAACTCTTGCCAACTCTAACTCTTACTCTTACTCTAACCTCTTACTCAAATGCAAAACACAGCGCTCGTCGGACTTGCAAGAAGCATGTGTGTGTGGCCTCTCAGCGAAGCTTCCAGGTGAGACCTTCCCAACCTGACCAGGGCAGGAACCCTACGCCCTGCACATCTTTGCTCAATCCAAGCGGTTGTGGCCCTCTTCTTTGCTTCGGTACTTCTTAAGCTAAAGCCTCTGGTGGGGACATGGAGGCACAGGCTGCTTCTTCGTCTTCTTCTGTGTTGACTGACTTAATCTCTGGATTTCGCGAATGATGCAAGGCAAGCTTCATCGCAAGCCGAGACCCCACACACTGCGACGAACCCCATGCCACAAGCAGAGGAGAAAGGTGGGAAAGGGAACGCGAGCTGAAGCGCACGGCGGAGAGCGGGCCCGTGCTAAAACCACATGGCACGGCGAGTGTGTGGAGAGGTTCCGACATTGGCATCGGTGCTGGCATCGGACCCGGGACGGACCTCAGCGACCAAGGCATCGTCCTGCGAGCCCACTCGAACGATTCTCGACTCGACAGCAGGCCTGAAAGGCGAATATGGGGGGACACCCAAGTCGGGAGCCGAGGCAGAGAGCGAGTATGAGCGAATGAGTGAGAATGGATGATGATATGCACTGAAGCTCGCTGCACCCCCCCCCCCCGTCCGTGTTAAACCCAAACACTTACACACGCGTGCTAGGTCAGTCAAAAAGGGACTCTGACAGCTTGGGCACGGCTCTGGCTGTACGGCTGAGCAACCCCACCATTACAGGTTCGGGAGGTATCCCAGCAAAACCACAACCTTGGAAGCTTCGAAGGATAGGCTTCAATATACTTGAGCTTCCTGCGAAGGGAGAAAGACGAAAATGTGACGTCTGAGTCAGGATCCAAGTTTGACCTCAGCATCCTCCAGCAGGACTTCGAACCTCGCTCACGTGCATTCTGGCTTGGACTCTCCTGGTTCTGGCTCAGTTGCCAGGGCCTTTGCATGTTGGAGGCCTGGACGTGCTGCGACGCAACTTCCTGCATGGGGGCACAGGCCTCGTGGGCCTTGCTGCAGTTCAGCCATGTCTAACCCTGCGCAGTCCTCAGGAACTTGAAACCGGAGCCCTTGGTCTGCGGTCGCTTGTGGACGATAGACAAATAGGTTCACACAAGATGCGAATGGGCGAGGGCAAGACGAACAGGTCTCGCCTTCAAGCGGTCCCTCAAAAGAACGGATGAGTGGAAGCCTGTACTGCGCTATTGCGTTGCCAGGTTCCCCTGCCTGAACGCGGCATCGGTCAGATCTTTCAGAGCTTCGCCGTTCACAGCCACGAGCACGTGACCAATTTGTATCGAATTCCTGCAGCAAACTTGACATATTCTGAACTAGTTCAACCGGAGCTGCAGTAGCAGGGTGCGGGAGTTCCGGCAGGCGCCTTTCTGCAAATGACCCCGGGGAAACTTTGGCCACCTCGGACGATGCACAGACGACACGAGACGATGTTCGACAGACTCCCAGAGACCTGGCGCAGGATCTTCAAGCTTACTGTTGGTTAGCAGGAAATGGGGGCATGAGGTACCCTGCATAATCCCTTAAAGTGTATATAGGGCCCTAACTGCCCCATTCCCTGCTAACCAACAGTAAGCAAGGTCCAGGAACGTGGCCACGGCATTGGCAGGAGGAGCACCGGAAAAACTGCAGCCTTTGTCGTCGGCACGGTTAGACTTCCAATGCAGCTGGGAATCATCTTTATGCGCACCCAGTTTCTCGGCTGCATCTTCGAGAACCACTTCGAACCTTGCAACTCTTTCAGCGGATTTCAGTGACTCAGCTTGGTGGCAGCAGCCAATCAGAGACTGCTGAGCTCTGCTGAGATCTGCTGAGCGTTTGGCACTTTTTGTTCGAAACAGATGCGCAGTGGGCGCTGCTTTACGGCTGCCTCGGCAGCTTGGTCGTTCAAGCGCCCATATCGACACGGAGACACAGAGATGCAAACACACAAAGACACAAAGACACACAAGATGGCGTGGCCGATCCTTGAAGTCGGCATCTCTCATGCCGGCAGCAGGAACCCCATTCAGCTGCAGGAGCCTGCGCAGATGTCAGACACGAGACATCCCCGGACCCGCTTGGAGCACGGCACCCCCGGACCTCGCCCCAGCTCGAATGCCCGCAGACTCGGCCCATCCGCCCTTGCTGACATCCTGAAACCGAGTTTCAGCTCCCTCTTTCCTCACCAGGAGGTGCTCGCCCTGCCTTCACCAAGACCTCTCCTTCTGCAAACTGAGGGACAAGACCGAGCTTGGCATCCTGGCACCGTGGCACACCGTGTAGCACACCGTGTGGCGCACCGTGTGGCGCACGGTCAAAGGACCCCTCAACACGTCTTCCAATCCACATGTCCCGTGTCCTCCACTTTGGCCACCTCAGCTGCAAGCCCGAAATTCTTCCCAAAAGAATGTGTAATTTCACGCAAGTCACAAAAAGAATTGGCAGAAAAAAACAGCACCTTCGGCCTATGCTTTCAAATCTGGTCCATGCTACACTGCACCCCATGGCTACAGAGCCCGGCCGCTGAGGAGGGCACTACCTCTTGCATCGCCTGCATGCTGGCCTTGAGCAACAGAGTTTCTTGAAGTGTGCATCGCTGCAATTTTCTGCATGTTCCTGCATGTTGGAAAACTTCTAAGGAAAAGAAGGCCCTAGAAAGCTTCAGTTGCATCATTCTCTGGGGGGTTCCCTCTCCCAACTGGAGCTCTACCGAGGTCCACGCTGTAACCAAGCTTCGAGGCGTGGGACACCTCCCTGAACGTTAACTCCGGCCTCAGCGCATCACAGGCGACCCATCGCATCCCGCGAGAACTCTCAACTTCTGAGCCCCACGCCAGGCCATTGTCCTGCCTGGCGAACCCGAAGGACAATGCGAACAAATCTCCGAGCGAACTATCAAGGCCTTGCCCTCCGATGCCCATGCAAACACATGGGCAAAGTTGACAAGGCTTCAGTACCTGGTCCTGTACTTTCATATCTTGATCTATGTTTGAAATGGTTCACGATTAACGGAGTTGAGGGAGTCTTACATGCCGAGACTCGGAGATCCTGTCTGAGATCTTCCAGTGCAAATACAGATGAGATCTTCCAGTGCAAATACAGTGCTTCTGCTCAGCTCCGGCGCCAGTGAGTCTACAAAGCTCGGATATGCTCTCAGAATGCTTGAGAAGGCTTGAGAAATCTTCAGAAAGCTTGAGAAAGTTTGGGAAAGCTTGGGAAAGGTTCAGGGTTCGGACGGTTCAGCAGCACAATATGTACTTTTTTGTCTGCCAGGCCAGGCACGCCGCGTTGACTTTAGGGCCCTTTGCGCGGTTGCCTGGCGAGCACAGCCCCACGACATGCTGCACCTTGTGGTGCGCATTGGCATGGGGTGGCTGAATTCAGCGAGCGCGTTGTTCGCAGCATCGCTATATGCTCGATCTCTTCTCAGTGAGCGAAGGGCGGGTCTCGAGGAGGGTCGACCACACGTCAACTGCACAACGGGCATGCGCTTGGAAGTTCTCGAAGCTGAGACAAATTCTGGAGCTGGAGCTGAGGTCTTGGCGTTGATCGGCACCCTTTGTTGCCGAGCGCACGGGTCGATCTAAGGACGTTCGCATGGCGGAGTTGCTCCGAGGAGCCGCAGGCCATGTAACCATGCGCTAAGGCTGCTAAGATCCGGGCTCAGTACGTGGATTTGAGTCTCCTTATGCTCCTTGCCACTATGGATGTACTGGTAACACGGTGGCTGTCGGAGACTCGGGTTCCGTCCTCTTCTGGCTGCATGTACTCGTTGCTCTGAGCGTCGAAGAAGACGAACTTAATTTGTAGCTCCTGGCCAGTTGCAGCTTTCGCTATTGCAGCCTTCGTCTTCCGAGTCTATCCGAGTCTCTCAACGTATCTCAAAGCATCTCACAGTCGCCTCTGGGTCACCGGTGGGAGGCGCATTCGCACCCTGAGATCTCTCACATCCCATCTACATACTGTCGCCCTTTGACACACAGATCGAGACCTGCTCGATTCTCCTCAGGTGCTTGCGCCTTCGCGTGTAAGGAAGACGCCTCTCCGTACCTGGCGAGAAATGCGAGAACGCATGCAAGGCCGGACAGACAGAAGATGACACCAAACAAAGCAAAGACACTGGCCGGAGCTGCACTGTAGAGCTTCGCGTGCTGCAGCGTTCTGCGAAGCTGGCATGCACCGCTTGCCTTCACACTTCGTCGCGCTGCAACCAGGAAGCTAAGAAGACAAAGCACGAACACCCTCAAGTCACAACCTTCACCACCCATTTCTGGAAAACTGAGGATGCCGCATGCAGGGAAAAAAGGGCCATCTCTTCCGGAAACACTTTGCTGACCTGCATCTTTTTTCATCGGCCAAGACGCAACCACACTGCTGCGCTGCCTTGCCCTGCCACTGGCCCTTCGCGTGTTGAATCCTGCAGAACAGAGCAAAAGCAGAAGCGTCGGGACTGGCCAAGGAAGGCCAACTTAGTGTGCGACCACAAGGATAGGTCGGAATATGCTTGGCCGCAGGTGAACCACATGCTCGGCAGCCCAAGCCTCGACACTACGAAAACAGAGTCTTTCTGTGGCCAGTGGGCCGGAAATTTTTTTGGGGCTCGAAGTCTATACACCCGACCCGCCGCTTGTGGCTACACCTCCACCGAAGTCTTGCAGCAGCAGGCAGCAGGCAGCAGGCAGCAGCAGAAGCAGAAGCGAAAACGAAAAGTGAAGCTTCGGCATTGAAGCTGGCTCAGGCGCTGGCCATCGGAACCTTCGCCTGGGCGGCTGTTGGCAAGCTCATGAGATCTCATCCGTGTCTATCGTGTCTCCTTGGATTTGTCTGGCTTCTTTAGAATCGGGCGGAATGCCATGACGAGATGGATCCCATGGCCTTGAGACCCACTGTGCTGCAACTCCCACAAAACTGGTAGAAGACTGCATAGACTGCACTGCATCTTGGGCTTCCGCTCTTTCAGCCGCCGGTCCCACCAAGGCATCACACACTGCCTGAAGCAGCACAAGCAGCAGTGGTACAGAGAGACTTCTGGGAGACTTATAAGTTGAGCAGCCCTCTGTGTGGTATCTGAGATATCTGAGGACTATCTGAGGTGCTGGCGTCTCTCGCCAGTACAGCCATTCAAATGCTGCGTGGAAGAGCAGCATCAGCGTGCCCACCTAGAAGCAGGTTCATGAGTTCATTGGGTTCATGCTGAGCAAAGCTGCGAGTGAACAAGCAGAGCGTGTTTCCGGGTCTGACCAGGAGCAAGGTGGCATAGAACTCATCTCCAATTGCCCAGACCCTGGCACAAATGGCATGAATGCGACGAGTGTTTTCACAGCAGTTTGAATTCCCCCGGCCCTTCTGTGAGCTCCATGGTCCATGCGTACACCACCATAGACCTCACGCAAGGATCACATAGCACGACGCCGAGTCTAGGCCGGAACCGACTGGGAAGCAAACCACATTCCGGAACAAAGCAGGCCAAAGAGCAGGATGATGAGCACGGCCCTGCAACAGCAAGGATCTGTGAAAAAACGAGCCACGGCTCTCCTTTGCTCAGCTGACACCTCCTCCGACGGCCTGTGCGAGCGAGAGTGAGGGCCTGGGCAGGGGCTTTGGGCAACAGATTTGTCCTCACTGCCGGCATATCCACGCCAGCCTTCAGCAGCCTGTTGGGATTGTCCACACTCCTGTCGCAATTAGCTGCGGTCCCCAAAAACATCCTTGAAGTCCCAGAGCCTCGAACCCCCTACAGTGCAAGCCCTACAGTTCCAACTCCCTAGGCCCTGGTTGGTCCTCCCCATGCAAACACCGTGATCATCCTCCAGCAGGTCCACAAGATGCTGGTAGTCACCTGGATATCTAGAGAATCTAGAGCCTCTTGCAGACGCGTGCTTGCCACGTGCTTTTGCCGTCTGCTGAGGCCAAATCTGATGTCCATGGTGTCGTAGTGAGCAGCGTGGAAGCCGTAAATCACAAACAGGATGGCCACGAAGAGGACCTCAGGCTGCGAAAGTGCACACATCACCCCCTTGCTTTTGCCCAGCTTTGCTCACAGGTGTCCGGCCGAATAGCCAAGCTGCCAAGGATTCCCGGCAAGAACCAAGGTTAAAGCCTGAGACAAAGCGTAGAACAAAACTACCGAAAGAACTAAGAGAACACGGAAAACAACCGAGCACCCATACTGCGATGGCTGTGGACTTGATGAGTTCGTGAATGATGGCAAAGACTTTCTGCAGCCTTAGATGCATTGGAGCCCAGGAAACATCGCTGGGTCTGCAAAGCCTACGAGTCGCAGTAATTCAAGTCCAGGGAGCTCCATGAGCCGTCTGAAGTTCACCACGAAGCAGCGGCCTCAGGACTTCCCCCCAAAACCCGGAGAGAAGAGGGGGAACAGTAGGAGAACTTTGCCCGGCTCTGCTAAATCGAGTAGCGGAGGTATTGGTCCTTGGCCGAAACGTCCTTGCTCACTCTCCGCAGCCTCCTGGAATGCCCCCAAAAAAATCTTGCGGAATACTCGGGATGCTGACAAAAGACACCCCAAGAGAGCATAAGAGGGGACCTCGAGGCGCCAGGCCCCTCGTCTTCCGTAACGGCGGACAGGCTCCGCCTCGTAACGAAGTGGCCTGAGGTTTGGATCTTAGCTTCAGCTAGAAAGGCACGCCATTTCACACCATGCACACCATGCATCTCGCCGGAGCTTGACAAGAAACGCCCTTTGATTACTCTCCCAGGTGTCCAGGAGCCATCGCGCTGTTTGTGCGGCCATATTTTCTTGGCCACTTTATAAGAAAGTGCACCTTGTGCGTACATATTGTGCGCAGGCGCACGCAACGTTTAGCTCGGACCGTGGCACTCTCAAGAATCCTGGGTAGATTCGTTGGTGAAACTGAATCTCAGCATGCACACAGGTTCGGTCTGCGAGTCCGATGAAATCCCTACCGGCGGCGTCGAAGAAGGACATCGGTGACCCTGTCCTCCAAATTTGAGAGCACAGAAGCCCAAGCTGCACATCTGTCGACCCCATACTCACACTCACGCAGACCTTTGCTCATCTGCTTCTGTTCTGCCGAGAGGTGCTTCAACTCCTCCCGCAGCGCCTCTGGTGCCTCAGGTTTGCCGCTGCCACGCCTCCGCAGAACTTCACTCCGGCTCCGCTTCAGCCCCTTGTGGCTTCCCGTGGCGCTCCTGGCGCTTCTGGCTGGGGAGGCAGACGAGGGCCTCGCTGCAGTGACATTGGCCGCCGTCACATTGCGGCAGGTCTCAAGAATCTGGAGGTCACGCTTGCACTGGCGAGCGAGGCACCGCAAATTCTTCTGGCTTGTCGCAAGTTCATGGAGGAGGACGTTTGAGCGCTGCGCTTGAGTAGCCTCGCCTTGGCTATTTGCCTTAGACCGGTTCTCCGGTTTCTTCAGGGTCCATTCGGCACAGGACATCGCAAACTCCACATCTTTCAACTGCGTGTCGAATCTTCTCCTCAGCTCTCGCTGCTCGCTGCTACATTGGGTCAGGTACTCCTGAGTGGACCGCTGTGCTTTGGCACATTCCAAATCAGTGTATTGGATGGTGGACGAGGCTTTCTTGCACAACTGTTGAGCCTCCGCCTGCGCGGCCTTGACACGCTTTGCCCAGAAGCGCCAGCTGTCCCCAACCGACATGTAGCCTACACCGTCGCCCTCCTGGGTGCGCTTGGCTGCCGTGTCCTGACGCACCGCCGCGCGGCGCTGGGCCATCTCCTTCTTCAGGCATGTATTCAGGTCCTGCAGGTTTTCACTGGCTGCAGCCAGATCACCCTCTAGCAAGTCCAGCTCTCTGCGCATGAGCAGGAGTGCCTCCTGCTCTACCTCCAGCGCCTCCATCAAGTTCTTCTGCGAGGTCTCCGGGGCCCCCTCTGAGCTTAATGTGCTGGTCCCTTCCGGGACTTTGCCTTCGGCAGAAGCTCCGACCCAGTCCAGGTCTTGCAGCAGCTCCAGTCGCCGTCGGCAAACAGATACATCGGCACAGCGAATGTTCCGAGCATGCCGAACTCGACTCCTGGCATCCTCAACGTCGACCTGCTGGGCCTCAAGGACCCGGCATGCCCCTGAAATCTTTGCTAGCGATGAGACATTGGCTTGGATGCGGCTATTTGCTGCTGCACACTCCTCACGCAGCTTCTGGACGTAGGAAGCGTCCGGCCGGGCTTCTGACGGCCTGGACAGGTCTTCCATGGCCATCTGTGAGAGAGCCCGGGCTCGAGCCAGGGTAACACTCCCGGATGGCAGAGACGACTTAGACGACTTAACCGACTTGCATCTTGCTTCTACAGCAATTGCCGGTGCAGCTGCTGCTGCTTCCGCTGCTGCTGCACCAGCTGCTGCTGCTGCTGCTTCAGCTTCTTGATGCTTTGCTTCTCGTGGTTCTCGTTGGTCGAGGTCATGGCTGAAGTCTCCAACCTGGTCCTGGTCCGTGGATCCAACTGCTGTGCTGGAGGTCGCAGCAGATGGAGACAGAGGCCACCAAAAGAGGTCGGCTTCATCTTGTAGTCTCCATAGCGGTGGCTCGGAGCCGGGCGTTTCCACACCTGGATCGGCCATTCCACACTCCCTCAACTTCCCCCAACTTTAGGAAGCTTGGGCCCACAACAATGGACAAAGTGGAGCTCTAAAGTGGAGACACTGAATATGAGCCAGTGATGCCAACTTCATCGAGCCTGAGCTGGAGCCAGCCAGGACCAAGCTCGCACTGCTGTCCTGAATGGTGCTCGGAAACGTTCGTCCATACCGTCTCTCGAAACCTGAGTTTTGCTTTTTGTGAACATTCATATGGACCTCTTCAACATGCTCTCGCTCTGTCTAACAAAGCTTCTCAGCATCGACACTACGTAGGAATCGGAAAAACTCATCAAACAAGTTTTGGGTTTAGCTAGGGCCTAGGGTGTTCCGCGCAATGCGCTGGCCCACCACATTCTTTGGCTGAGGCCCAGCATATTAGCTGAACTTCCCACCCGCCGACCAGATGAAACCCTGTTACACGTTTAGGGTTATCTACCGCCCAACTTAGCAACATGGCCTTGCCACCTGGTCAGCCTGTCTTTCGGGGGGAAACGGTTTAGAACATGTCCGCCGACCCTGCCGGCGCTGCCGCCCCCCCTTTAATTTGCCGGGGTCGGTGGCAGTGACGCTAGCCTTCAACAGCATCTAACGTTCTTGTTCACTGCGCCCATTCATTGTCAAGAAAGCATGCTTGCTCTTGGGAGAGAGTAGTCCTTCATATCGAGAGCAGGAGCCCGAAGAACCTCAAGCGCCGGTGACAGCGCTGCCACCTGCTCCTCTAAGCTTTCGAGCCTGCCCAACATTGCAACCATCGCAGTAGCGAAGCTGAACATCAGAGAACGCAACCGGGGGCATCTGGGTGCCTGCTGCTCAATGCCATGGCCACAGCATCAGCCACGCGGTCAACTGCCTGACGCTTCCATCTGGGTTAGACACGAGATGACACGCGTTTCGTTGGGATTCGGGGGTCGCCTCCAGCGGAATCATCGCAGCCCCTGGCTCTCGTTTCGGTCTCATGGCCTGATAGAGCTACCAGGCTACAAGTCGTGAGAACCGAATGAGAGATGCTCCTATAAAAAAAAAAAAAAAATATATATATATATATATATATACATACATACATATATATATATATATACATATATGGCCTCCACATGACTCTTCAGGGTAGGCAAGAGCGACTTCGCCACGAGTTCGGCCAGCTCCGCTGAGTCCACCTCGCAGTCGCCCAGGAAATGCACACAAGATACCAACAATGACTTGGGACGTTCCCCCATATAGGGATTATAATGGAGGGGTACTATAATCCCGATTAACGGCTGCTAGCATAAGGGGGAACATCCCAAACAATGACCATCAAGTGGCTTGGGCACGCGGATTAAAGTGGCCTGCACGGTCGCCTCGTTCTGCGTCTCTGGCTGGGGCCGGTCGGGCCTGTCAGGCCTGTCAGGCCTGTCTGCGCGACACTACAACAGGTCACCTCCACTTGCCGAGAGACTCGTTTGGCGGCAGATGCGCTACACGGAGCTGCGCATGTAGAATTTAAGGCCTAGACTCAGACGCTGAACTAGCACGTCCTCGGTGTCTGGTGCTGTCCTGCACGCTATGCCGCTGTGCCCCCCAGTACACCTCTCCGAACCGTTCCATGCCTGATCCTCGGACACAGCTGTTTGCGGAGACCTGGTCTGTGGGGACCTGGTAGCTTTGTGCCCCGCAGGACATCACAGGACACAGACCGTGAAGAACCACGCTGCAAATTCATTTAGCAACCCTCAGCCAAAAGCACAGGAGTGGGCACTGGCCGAAGGCTGCCTAGTGTGAAAATGCCCCGCGCATCGGACGCCTCGGATATGAGACCAGCGCGGTTCCAGAAAACACTCGCAGCCGATCCCGCAAAAAAAAAAAAAAAACGAGCTCACGGCAGGCTCTAACATGGACATGCCGATGTGATCACAACCACTATTTTAGTATATTTGGGAGCATCGACAGCCACAAAGGATGCTTCTGGGGCTTTCTGGGGTCACTGAACTCAACAACACAAGTCGGCGTATCTCCTGCTGCAAATACCTTTGTCCTTGAGCCAACAGGAAGTAGCACGTCGGATGCGTGCATTGTTCACAGCCCTTGGGCGAAAGTTTGGTCTCAAGACCGCCCGGAAGAACCCAAGCCCCAAGTGCGTTTCGGCACTCTTGCAAGTGACTCCGCAACAGTGGGCCCTAATTCTCGGATCGTGCCATCAAAGAAGTCGACACAGATATGCCCGAAAGTCAGAGAGAAATACACGGGGAGTGTGCATCTTCGTGTTCTCACTAGTCAACAAACAAACGAGACACCCCTGCACTCAGAGCGAACATGCCAGACGCTCGGGACGAGCATCAGGGCCCTTCTCAAGGCCCAGAAGAGATATGCAGCTTAACCCATTGGCACACTTCGATGTCACAACTCCCATGGCAAGGGAAGGGGACATCGAACCATGTGGGACCATGCACAGGCTGTAGAAAGGCAGCACCTCTTTTGTAGGGCAATGCACGCAGGCTGAGGTGGCTAACGTGAGCCGACCACACAAGAACCGAGTCCCGAGTCGACTGTTTGCCTCACATACACCTGTCTTGAAAATGTTGGGTGGCATTGCGTGGCAGTTGTGTGGCAGCACGTTCTGAATTTCGAATTTCGACATTTGAATTTGAGAGGTGAAACCACGGCTTCTGCTGCTGTGTAGCAGACTTCTTTCTCAACAATGTGGTGTGCAAATATTACTGAAGCCCTTCGGTCAGGACCCACCAGCGGAGGCCAGGCGCTCCTTTTGCCAAAACTCTCGGAGGAAGCATCTGCCACTCGTATGCAAGACACCTCACTGCATAGCTTGGACTGTCTTTGCAGCTCCTTGACGTGCCGATCCACGATCTTTTGCAGCCGTTCTGCTTCTGCTTGAGCCCCCCTCAAGGAAGCTCTCAAACCCCAAAACATCTGCCAAAGCAAACCACAGACATCTACCTGTTTTGCCACAACGGCCCGACAGCCTGGCCCAATGGTGACTGCGGGGCTGACCAGATTCACAGTTCAACTTGGGGCGGGGCTGCAAAATACGCTCCCGCTGCTTCTCACCAATCCTGGGCAGTGTCTCCATGGTTGCAAGGACAGGACGCCAGAAGAGTGCCAGAAGATGCACCTCCTGATGAGATCTTCCAACGTGGCAGTCTCACCTGAAAAGAAGACCACGAGTCAGGACGCAAGGACAAAAAGGATGATGCTCGGGCGCCGACTCATCTCTGCCAGGAGGGTCTCGAGGTAGTCCTCCGGGCCATGGTACTGCTACGTGCTCACAGGAGCACTCTTCAGGGCCTGAGTGTTCTTGTCCACCATCGGGGCCCGGAGAACAACACCTACGTCATGTTTGGAGTCGCATGAGTCGCATGAACAACGGGGTCTCCTGAGACTTTCCATGCTCCGCGATGCCCTACCCCTTATGACCTCGGTGGCTGCACCACAGCCCAGTCGGGCTCTATCACAACCGGAGCCAAACGCAAACGCTGCGGAGGAGTGAGCAGGTTCGGCTCAGACATTTCCTGGCAGGGCCTATGTATATATGTCTATATGTATATATACATGGATATATATATATATATATATATGTACATGTATATGTATATATATATATATATACATATATGTTGTACATATATGTGTATTTGCAAATTAGTGTGTGTATATATATGCAGACTAAATTTAACATACTTATAATGAGGAACCCTAAAGTTGCACTATGAATGATTCAGGCCTTGTCCACTAGGGTCCAATAGTAGTGAAAGTGAAGTTACGGGTCAAGTGGCTTCAATTATTCGTTCAGGACATTCCATCGTCCAATCGAAATGCAAGCGGCGTGACTCAGAAAAGCGCGGACCCCACAACTTTATCTTTGCAATGCGACTGAACTCCCGCTTGCTGCTGTAGCGCGGGGGCCCAGCTGGTTCCAAAGCCTTAATTACCGCCAGCCTCTCCGGGCTTATGAACAGGCTCAGCGGTCTGCTTCGAATTTACGCATGATGCTTTGGGATGTTCCTCCTCATACTAACAGCCCTTAATCGGGATTATAGTACCCCTTATTATTAAAAGGGGGAACACCCCCAACGATGCTCCACAGGGGGGTTCCGGGCTTCGGTTCTCCTGGCCTCTTCGTACCGGAGACTTTCAAAACAATGAACCACTAAAAACTACTGTATTTCCCCGTATTCTCACACACATGTCTCAGCAAGACATGTCCATCTCTTGTGCTTGTGCACACTGCGGCTGTTGTTGTTCGATCTTGAAGAGTATTGCATACCGTCTTCTTTGCCAGTATGACGATCATCATCACCTTATGGTATTAAACGTTCTGGCTTGATTTTTGCTCCTCGTCCACAATGTCACCGCCGTCTCAGCCTTTCCTAATGCAGGTTTTCCTTACGGTCAGACATCGTGGCACTTGTACTTGTTGCCTAAGGAGGGAGCCCGGAGAGGTCCAGGGCGACCAGAACGCTGGTTCTTGTCATTGTTTATGTTGGTGCAGGAAATTGTGCTGCTGTTGGCGCTCTTGGTATTGTGGTTGCTGCTGCTGTTGTTGCTACTTCTGCTGGTTGATGTTGGCCGAGGCTGCTACCGTCGCTGTTGTGGTTGGTGCTGTTGTCGTTGCCGCTGATGATCCAGGTACTTACTCGGGCTTATTCTTGATGATGCTTGCCAATTCCCTTTGTGCTGTTTCTCGTCTTGTGCATCTGTGTGCCACGCGCGCCACACCACATTGGAAATTTGTAACTTTTGCTTGCTTCGTCGTCGTCGGAAAGCACTGTGAGTCGTGATTGGGAGCTCTGCTGCTTTTGATGTTGACATATGTTGACACGATCACTCGCAGTCACTAGCATCAACACTGCAGCCATCACCATCATCATCATCGTCAGCAGCAGCAGCAGCAGCAGGAGGGGCGGCACCGTCGTCAGCATCATTATCACTATCATCATCATCATCATCATCAACACAGCCAGCACCTTCAGCTCAGTCTCTCTTCACCATCGCAACCTTCACCATCAAAATCATCATCGTCGTCATCGTCACCATCATGTTCATGATCAGTGTCATTGTCCTCACCGTCACCATCGTCACCACCATCACCAGCAGAAGCAAAGGCAGCTACAAGGCAACAGCAACTACAGCATCACCTGTGCTATGACCGGCATCATCATCAGAGGCATCAGGAGTTTCACGAACACCACAGAAATCACAAATAACATCACCATTGTCACTGCCATCGTCCATGCTGACACCCTCAATGCGAAGCAGCAGCAGCAGCAGCAGCAGCAGCAGCAGCAGCAGCAGCAGCAGCAGCAGCAGCAGCAGCAGCAGCAGCAGCAGGAGCAGAAGGAGCAGAAGCAGCAAAAGCAGCAGCAGTACTGGCACCACTGAAGGTATTTATTTCTGTGGCAATCGACTCAAGCTTTTGTCAGTAGCAACGAACAGTACGGTGTGTTCGCTGCCATGTTGCGATCAAGAAAACAAGGTGGCCACATTGCTACTACTGGACCTGCTACGTGATTAGGAGGCTGAGGACTGAATATGGAAATGACAAAACCCGGCTTTGCGTAGGTCAAATCTACGTCTGTACTGAAGTCCTGCTGATGTTTTGGTGGTGAGAAACTGGGCCGCACCCTAGTCGAGGGGCGCTCTCAAAGGAATCAGCCGGGTTTCATAGCTGAAGGCCTGGTAACCTTCGTTGTCGTTCACGATCCACATTCTGCGCCCCTCCCCATCTCCAACATGGCCCGTCACGGCCAGGCTGTCGAAGCCCTCCAGAGCCGAAGTCTTCGGATTCTTTAAGGGGGTCGGGGGAGTGAGGGTGTAGGATTCATGGGCTTGAAATTTAGGGTCGGGATGTTCTTGCACGGTTTTGAGGGTTGTTGGTCTGAGCGGTTCACAGGGCTCTGTATCATATGCCATACCATCATGGCGCTTAGAAGCAATTCTAGCGCGTTTGAAGTGAACTTTTTGAGACGCTAAAATAAAGGCCTATTGGAAGAAGTCCAGAGGAACCCCAAAAAAGATGAAGGACGAACCCACAAAAAGCTGAAGGTCTTAAGATCCTGGCTAAGTCTCAAACAAATACAAGAAACAGCTTGTGCGGCAGATCTTGCTGTCAAAACGGTCTATTGAAGGTTTGGGTTTCCAGCCGCAGCGAAACTGATTACACTTCTTTGGCCCTGAGCAGACCCTTGCCTGGTAAACACAAGCTACTGTTTTCTTCAGGTTTTCTTGCACACGTTTAAAGACGCATGTAAACGGCGTGAAGAGAGGGCGACGTCGGACACTACACCTTTTTGCGTATACAGTGCCCGTGGCTTGCACGTGCATGGTACCAAGGATATCCGGCAACCGCCATCTGAGCTCTTGCAAAGGGCTTTCTATGGTGCAGATTACGCCGCCATCACGTTTGCACCAGTACAGGCACTGCATTGCCCTGTTCCATTACGTGCTCCTGTTGCGGTCTGGAACTGTTGTACGAAGTTGACAAGAGCAGCGTGCAACCGGCGCAAGGCTTGAAATTGAAATTGATATTGTATGTCGCCCTGCAAAGCATCTTGGGGGGTCCGCAGATGCCTTGCATAAACCCCAAAGCCCTAAACCCCTGAAGCCCTTAGGCCCTAACCCAGGGCTTAGGATGATAAACTCCTCACCAGTCACATCCCGAAATCCCAGGCATCTCGAAGAGGAGGGCTCCCGTGTTCTGAATGCAGTCTTGGAACAGGTCCGGGCTTCGGGTCTCTACAGTCCAGAACTTCTGGGTTTAGGGCTTTCGGGTTGGGAATTTCATAGTTGGGGGGTTTGAGGGCTTAGGTGTTCACGGTCTTGTGTAGTAGGGTTGGGGCTTGGGAAGCCCCCACCCTAGGCCCAAAGTTCCACATCCCAAGCTTTGTTGAACGCGTTGCCTTCAGCACCTGCCCTCGTAGGTCGACCAGGTCCAGCAAGAAGTCGGCCACCAAAGACCTGAAACTAAACCGGAAACTTAGGGTTCCAGGGTTTAGGGTTTAGGGTTTGGGGCTATACACCCCTGAAACCTCAGCCCCCATACACACTAAACCGTATTGCTGAAGTGCTAGAGACAATGATCGCTGCTAGCTTGTTCTGGGCTTGACTACTCATCGCAAGCTCAAAGAGTCGGGACTAGCGCGATGTATTCATTCAGTAGAATGTAACATGTTGGGCAACCATGCCAAGAGGCTTCGAGAAGCTGCCCCCAGATTGCGGGAGCTCAGCCTTGAAGTGCGGCTTAGGGTTTGGAGATGTTTGGAGTCTATGTTGGGTGCTTAGGAGTTAAGCGTCGGACCTTCTGACTGGAGGGATCAAGCGAGGCTGGAGTGGATTGTTGGGGCTTTGGATTTCCAAAGAGAGCTTGTAGTCTGTAGTGTAGGACAGAGACCCATGCGAGTGGGTGCAAAGGCCATGACAGCAGAACTTGCACGTGCGGTTACATGTGCTGCGGTGCTGCTGGCGGTTGTGCAATGACGCATATCATCGTAGTGGTAGCATTATCAAAGTACCCCCACTGAAAAATCTTAACGAGAACAACATTGCTGGCATTGCTGGAGGTTTCACAGTTTCGTCGGGAAATACTAAACCTCTCTCTTGTGCAGCATCGATCTCTTCTTGAAAAACCGACAACGACGCTGAATCAACCAAACGCACCGGTACTGGTCGACGGTGGGAAAGTACGACTGGATATGAGAATCGTCTGATTAGGCCTGACAAGGGTTTACAATGCTGGGGTGTTGGGATTGTAGGCATCGCTGGCTGCTGACCGCAGTTTCGGGGGTAGGTCAAGGCAACTAAGGAACAGAAGTTGGACTTGCCGAGGAGCCTTGTATATCCTGCCGACTGCAGCATCAAAGCTGCCTTGGCCATCTGTCTCCAGGAACAGGAAGGTGCCTCGGGACGAACGAGTACAAGTTGGAGTCTGAGAAAAGGCTCCGAAAATTTAGAAACCCTCCAGCATGAGTGTTTGGAGTATTGTTTCGGAGCATAATACCATGCCACACCTATGTAAAGAGAGAAGTCGAAGGATGTTTCCACTCTCATGTTCTGCCAGTCATGACAGTCTTGTAGTTAAGGTGCCATTCCCAAGTGCTGCCACGTCCCGTAGCTCCACAGCACCGTCCGTGTCCTGCGACAGGATTCGGGGCTTAGCTGTTGGGTTTGAGGCCAACTCAGACCTGGAGCGTCCCTCCTTTCCATGCTGCGTAGCCTTCGGGCATTATACGAGACAGGGCTGTCTTCCCCGAAGGCGTTGCGGCGTTGAACCCTCTCAGAACATAAAAGTGGTTTCCTGCGACTCCCTGGCATCCAGCGTGTAGCTGAAGTTGCTCAAGCCACAGGCGGGCTGCACATCGCACAACTGCACGAAGCCGCTGGTGTCCGTAAGCAGGAGGCCAAGACTCGGATCGTAGGCCACGCCACTGAGGCTGTCGAAGACTTGGACCTCCAAGGAGGCCTGAAGCACACCGGAGGTGCTGAGAAGATGGAGACGCCCAGACTCCTCGACAATCGCGAAGCCTGAAGGTATGCGCTCGATCCCCTGAGACTCCAAGTCCTCCACCAACGTGCCATTCGGGTATGTCACGGGGATGGTTTCCGTGACTAGTGGAGGTTGCTGCTGGCTGTCAATGACCAGAATTTGAGTTTGCACCTCCATTTCCCCTCCCTCGATGCCATACAACGTGCCGTCTTCCTCACCGGTGAGGCCGGCCACCTGTGTCCATGGAATGGGCGTGCCATCTCCCGCATCCCCGGACTCCAGGAAGGGAAACTGCCTCGGCCACCGTGAACACTGGTACAACTCCAAGCCGGAGTCCTGGTCCGAGAAAAAGCTTCCCCCTACCGACATTGACACAAAGAGATGCCGGTCGGGCACCACCTTCCCTTGCACAGGCCTTCTGATGGCTGGCAGTACCTGCAAGAATTCAGGCCTAGAAGGGTCCGAGACCTCAAAGACAAAGGTGAGGCTCGCCCTGATACACTGGACGAAGAGCATCTGGCAACCGTCGACTGTGCCGAACTCCACATTCCGCACGTCAATGCTGGTTGAATCAGAGGATGCGTCAGGATAGTGGCCAAGAGAAACCTGCGTGTCCAGTTCCCTACCGGGACACGACAGGCCTTTGGGACTACATTTGGGGGTTACTGCCACCCAGGATGCTGAACCCTAAACCCCAACCCTCAGAAATCATGGTCACAGTCAAACCTTACTTAATTACGTCATTGCCTCTTCTGTCAGGAAACAGCCAAGTGGTCAAGTTGATTCCCCGAGGTGAAGATAAGCTCTCCACTCTGGTTGAAGATGCTGAAGCCTCCTGGGCTTCGGGCTTAGGGCTTGCAGGCATACAACAATCCCTGATTGAGCGTGGCAACCTATATGAACCAAGGGTCGACTCTCCCTGTCCGCCGTAGCAAAGAAACTGGAGTCCCCGAGCCAAGCAACCCCCCATGGCTCCCGCTTCACATCCGTGAGGCTGGAGTTCAAGTTGATGAAGCCATCCTTGCGCGAGGGTGCTATGCACAGTTGCTCGGATCCTGTTCAGCACATTTGCAAGCTTTAATCTGGGCTGATCTGGGTTGTTTGTTTGTCTAGTCATGACTAGAGAACCCGACCCGAAAGCTGGCGAGCAAACCAACTCTACGTTGCAAAGTCTAGGTCGTATAGCTTGTCCTCCACCGTGTCGATGCCAGTGAGGTTAACTTCGCCGGCAGAGAACCTGTCAAGGATCGTGGCATCCGTCAGGTTCAGTATGATGATCGAGTTGCTGTTCAAGGTCAGTACTGCGATGTTGTCTGCCCGAATTTCAACTTTGGGACCGTCGTATGTAATGTTCGTAATATCGCTTATTACCTGCGTTGTCCAGGCCACTGGGTCCGAATCAGATATGTTCACCTGGACCATGTAGCTACCGTCAGTTGTAATGGCTGCAATCGTTCTGTCTGGGCTGATAGTAATGTCATTTGCCCTTTCTCCAAGCTCGATGGTGTGCACGGACGTTTGGGATGTAATGTTGACGACGATCAGCTGGTCTTGGCGGATGGCTAAAGCAAAAGTATCGTCCTTGACTGCCACCTCGTCGGGATTCCAAAAGCTGGTGCTCAAGCCCGTTCCAGCAGGGCTGTACGGGTCGGTAATGTCGGCAAAGCCCAGCTGTGCGTCATCCCTGTAGACTACAGTGCGCTGATCTGGTGCTATGTCGAAGGCGAAGTTGTCTGCACCATTGATGTGACTCGACAAGCAGGTGGTGTCCTCCTGCGTGCAAAATGCGAAGAATCCGATGCGATTGAAGATGCAACACTGCTTCCCAGGCTCAGGAGCCGGTGTCGTAGGTGGTTCGGTTGACCATGCCGGTGTCGTAGGTTGCCACACCATAGTGTGTGTCGTAGGTGATTCGGTTGACCACGCCTGGCGACGGTCAAAGCCCTGGCCTCTTCTGCGACGCCGCAAGAAGCGGCGAGGTCGACGAGGCCGGGCGCGGGCGGGCCGCGGGCCGCGATTGGGTGGCTGCCCTGCTTCCTCGGCTGCTTGATGCTTCACCTGAGCTTCAGAGAGGGTTTAGGGTTTAGGGCTTCGGGTTGCAGGCAATTCAAAACACAGCCACAACCATGAAACTGATGACACTAAGCTAGACACCCCAATGTCTTGACCCGATCTCGTGGACCCGGCACCCTAAACCACCCTCACGTCCGACGCCCGAAGCCCCAAACTATAAAGCATCAACACGTGAGATCTGGCAGTTCTAGAAAAAGGGGCCCATGGGGACCCTAATCTGAAACCCTAAGTACAAAGAATCCTGACTACAATCAGGAACCCCTACATAAGGTACCTCTGCTTTTCTGAAACCGTCATGTTTGGTCGAGCGTGTGACCTGAAGGGAAGATGAGCCATCATCTTCGCACACATCTTCCTGCACTGCTGGGCAGCTGATGAGGAGCAGGCACAAGAAGACTGCCCTGCACCGCAGCGATTAGGGTTTCGGGGTGTTATGCTGCCCTGAGAAATACCAGCAAACAACTTCTCACGAAACTGCAAGAGCACAGAACGTTTGCAAAGCTTCGGGCGTAATTTCCGGGGAACACGGCCGCTTTGGATTTTTTGTGGCTTAGGGGTCAAGACGGCAGCCTCAATCCCAATAGCCCTGGATGACTCAAATCCTAAACCCTAGCAGTCCAGGTGTGGGGGGTTGAAGGGTGTTGTTCGCAAACATCTTGAGGCAGTACAGTGGTGGTCAATCATGTGGTGCCATTCTCACTGGTAGGAAATATTGCAACTACAACTGAAGTAGGAATTCGGCAGGAATGCCACTAATTACTGCAAAGAAAACTACAAGTGAGTTAGACGCGATACTGCCAAAAAACACGATTTCCATGCTGACTTTCCTATACCTTCCATTTCAATGCGACTTACCTGCTTTCCGCAGGGTTTGAAGCTACAGATTGTGCATTGGGAAAATTACAGGGAAATGGAGGCTGTCCACCAAGAGGATGCAAACAAGGGTTCACAGGAGGCGGTTCGTTGCTCTTCGGGCCTAAGCCCTAAACCCTGAACCCTAAATTCGAAAAGGCTGGGGGATATTTTATGCGATTCCAGAAACCGTAAGGAACCTTATGAGCTCATCCTTCAGGCTTCTAGACTATCTCTTCTACAGACGAGACGTCCCTTGCCTCCAAAGCTTTCAACCTTAAACCCTGCTAACCCCAAACCCTTAAACCCCACATCCTTAAACTTGAACCCAAACTCAAAAACCCAAAAACAACCTAAAGCATGTTGTGATCGGGAAGTCAGGGTTCTGCAAGGCCTACTCCATGCCAGCTCCTGAAGACCAATGTTCTAAACCCAGTGTGGGGGGGGGGCCTCAATCATTAGAATAAAGCCTCGAGGGTGTACGGATAGAGGCTTTTGGGGGTACACTCTAGTACACTTAACACATGAGGAGACCGAACCCTTCAACCCTTAAACCCTAAAACCTACTAGCTCCTCGGACCCTAAGCTCGGACGTCGGGTGCAGAGTCGACAAGGGTTTCGTGTTCACTCAAGTAACCTACATATTCGTATGTTCCGCCAATTAGAAGCCCTCAGGGGACCCACTAAAAAGTAGGTCAATCACTCAAGCTCAAGGTCCACAATCTCCAACGTCGCCCTCACAAGGTCACACACACTCGAGAGAACAGTCACAAGAGGTTGCACTCTTTTGGGAAAAGCACATGTCGCTTCGCAAAAAACAACAGGTGAAAAACGTTGAGAAGACTTCAGCCCATGTGTGCATGCCAAGTGGAATGTATGCATTCGAACACCAACCACAGAAAAAAAATGCTATACTTTGCGACAAAATCTTCGAAAACAAGTGGAAGTTCCAGTGGAAGTTTCGGCACTTGGGGGTGTGGAAGTTTCACGAAGGCCGTGTGGAAGTTTTGGTGGAAGTTTCGGGCCGGGAAGAGTTCCCGATATCGGCGAGAGGCTACACTAACCCTCAAACAAGCAGACGAAAGGGCAAGCTACTTCAACTGGCCCTAAATCCGAAGCGGCTTGAAAGCTTCGAAGACCTCTGAAAAACAAAACCTATTGACCGTACCTGAAACTAACGCCTGACAGCAAGCCCGCAACCACGAAGACCTGAGTCACAGAATCAGAAACTTGTAATATCCCGATAACATCGCCCCAAGCCCTCAACCGGCCTCCAGTTTGCTGGACACATGGCACTCTCAGGGCTGGGCTCTTCCTACCAGTAACTTTTTGAGCCGAGACACATCAACCGGTTCCAGCTTTTTCTAGAGACCTTAAACCCGAAACCCCTCAGTCCGAAGCCCTAAACACTACGTCAACCCCGCAACCCCTCGGTCCTGAAGCCCAAAAACCCTAAACCCCTATCGGCACATGGACTCAGGGAGTTCGGAGAGGATGTTTTTGGGTTCGGGCTCTGCCTTAAGGGCACCAGGATATATTGACGTTCCAACTTTCTGGCTTCGACTCTTGTCCCTCTTTACTGCCACTTCTTGAGCCCCAGGGATCCACGAACATGGTCCGGCCAACACAAAGGCATATACATATGCATACTCGTATATGTATATGTATTTGTATATATATATATAGACTAAGTATAAATACACGTCTATTGAGGAACCCTATGAAATTGCACCATTAATGATTCCGGCCTTGTCCAGTAAGGTCCA